ACAAGGAATCATTTTTTTCGGATATGTGTCAATTTTGGCAACCCAAATTTTCTAAATTGAATACCGGCAATACTGAAAATAAAACGGAGAACACCATAAGTTTTGTTTAATGATTTTCCGAGACCGATTAAAAACTCTTTTTTTAGACATTGCAAATCGCAAAATTTCGGGTGCTACCGTAGTATACGTACCAGGGCATTTTCCCTCTGGATTCTTTGCTTTACTGCCTCCACATTGGTACGTACAGTACTGCAGCGTCGCAAGTGTTGTACAAACATCTCAGATTTGTCGAATTTACAAAAATACGAATAAAAACGAAATATAATAGTTTATTTATCGTCATCAATGTCAATTTACCACGCATTTTTGTGTCCATGGATTGTCATAATATTTTCTGAGTAGTATTGCTTTTGTTTCGTGAACACAACCGCAGATAAGATCACAATTAAGTTAATGATAAAGCAAGGCGGTGAATATGTATTTTTGATTTACTAATATATATATATACTTTAAATATATTTTTAATAAGTACTAAATCCAGTTGTACTTTTTGGAAATTTATAGCAGATAGTAGGATTTTTCTAACGACATTAACAAATTCGCAAGATCGCAAAAAATATGTATCCAAACTAAATATAATCGGGCAATATATTGTCCGATTAATATGTTCACAGACTGCCGTGCCATTTTTAAGAAGTAATACTTTCATCTTGTCGTAAGTCGATGCAACTTGGAGTTACCATGAAAACAATTAAATTAAAATAGAAAGATATTTTATTTACTTGTCGTTGTCATAGATTGACTATTCTGCGACAGAAAAGGCCATCATACATTAAAAAAATCGGCTATTTTGACGAACGCGTAATTGTGGCAAATTTCCGATTTTGAAATTCGTTAAATTTCTGTTGTGTTTGGTTTTATTGCTTTTTCACGCAGAGTACGGTTGCAATAAACGCACCTTGAGTCCGCAAAGGTTTTCGCTGGTGAGAAAATAGTCCGCGACCAAAAAAGGTTGGGAAACGCTGTTCTATTATAATAGAAAATAAAATTCGATTGAAACATGGGGTAAAGCAACAGCAGTTGTGTATGTATCATTAGAGACAGTGATTTCCCTACACCCCAACCGTATAATTGGTCAATAACCCTCCCTCTGAAATTTAACAGTAAAGCTTATGTGAAACGTGAAAATAGCAGCGCTGTGAAGGCTAGAATGAAAGTTTATAAATGACCTGAATTGACTCGAGTTACTCGAATCAAATAACTTAGACGCAACTAACCATCGATGAGACTCAACTCAGTGATTGCATATAGAAGAAGAGTTGCAATTTTGCTAAAAACAAGCTTCCAAGCCCCCAACTAGGAATGGAAAGAGTATTCATAGATGATCTCCAAGTTTGTTCAAAGCAAGGTATCGGAACTGAGGCCATTGGATGGAATTTACACAAACATTTAACTAGTGGCAATTTTCTTATGTGTGTGTTGTAACTTCCAGTCCAAGTTTTGAATAGAACTCGAATAGACAACAACCTCTAATGCTAGAGCTAATAATCTATAAACATGAATAAAAACCAGAACAGTCAAGAGTGGGACTAAAGAATGTTCTATCCGTGTTTTTATCCAATACTGTAACTGTCGAAAATCTAGCATTAAAGTGCAATATTTAAATAATAATAATAATACAAACATTTCACTTGTACTTCACCTTTAATTTATTTATTCTCATGTATATCCAAATCTAAAATTTGTTTATTTTACAAATTAATTTTGGAGTTAGATACAAGGGGCATCATCATCAGAAACTCAGTTTGGCACGTCCCTGCCCCCCCTCCCCCTCTTCAAGGGTGTAAAAAATGATGTCGGCAATGCGGAAACGGAGAGATTTATCAAATAATAGTAACTCATATCAGTGGGCGCATGTACAGAACCTTGTTAGGAGCAGAAGACCCGAACAAGTTTAGTATAATATGTATTAAGACGAACGCTTCAACCACTTGTCTCTCGCGCCGCCCAAAACAGTATGCGGATGTCAGGCATCCTAAAATAGCTGTGGCAAAGACAATTCCTACAGTGAGTTCTGTGGTAAATTTACTTTTTATTGATAGCAGCTATCCTGCGTTGTTAGCATGGATTCTGAAAGTTGAGAAAGTTTAAATAGTGTTTATGGTAATTGCTCAATAATGAATCAGATAATCATCACACACACACACACACGGAAGCTAGAAATATAAGTGATTATGCACCTTTTCCGTTCATTCTCACACAAACTTTTTTATATTTTTGGATATTTGTGGTATGTCAGAAATATCGCCACGTCATTAGGTACTCCGATTTTAAATTTGATTGGCTGACGTCCAGGGGTGGGCAATTACTTTGGACCAGTTACCAAAATTGGACTTACTTGACCGGAGGTTCGTAACACGATCGGTAAAACTATGAATTAAAACAGTTTATTTACAACAGCTAGGCTAACATTGATATAACAGGCACAATGTAACAATCAGGAATGATATTTTCAACATAAATTTATATCCATAAAAACTATAGTCGTAATTTAAGCAGACACAAATGGGTCGGATGAATCATTTTGGTGGGCCGCGGGTCGTAATTGGCCCACCCATGTATCAAACACACGCGAACGATATTTTTGTGGGAAATTTACCTTATGTGGGAATTACAAGGGAGAATCTAACTAGAGTCTCACCATATCACTTCATAGCAGCGGTTCTTAACTCATTAGCACTTTACTTAGATTACTATAGGTTTTCCCCGATTCACTCAATAGTGCTCATTTATTGGAAAAAGAAATAAAAATTATTCATTCTATTTAATTAATGTTACGGCTGCCTTTGTTTATTGGCAAATAGCTGTCCAATGTCTGTTTGAGAGCAGTGATTTCCTCACATCGCTCTGAAGGTGTGACATACCCTTAAAATTTTGAACACGCCGGCATGTGTTGGATCATATTTGCCGCAAAATATAATTTTATTCCAATTATGTTAGGTTTTTATAGTGTTTTGGCTTTCAATTCAAACTTTTATTTACCCCTGCAATGAAAGGTTGCTAATAATCAGTTCAAGTCGTAGAAGGTGTGTATCGGGATAAAATTGACGCGATAATTCTTGCCCAAAGAAGATTTCTCACAAAAATGTTGTTTGAAACAGTATGACCGCGCCTGCTGGATTCGTCACGAACCCAATAAATTTGAAATCATAGTGTCAAAAAATTATGCGGCAATTTTCCGGCTTACGGTTAATATTTAAAAAAAATGGGAGTGGGGTACAGGAAAAGGACACGTTGCATAACACAACAATAATCACTACTATTTCTAACTCAGGAGTGTGTGATCATTGGCTGATTCAACAGTGAGTCACCGACATAAACTCTAGTTTACCTTTATATCAAAACATTACAGTCCATCGCGTGCTAATTATGATCAAAAAATTCAAACTATTATCAAACGTTTTACGTGAATTAACCTTTAGACACCAGGAAACGCGCGATTAAAATATTTGCTGTTTCGAACTAGCATGACCCTGATAGACTTTACTCATCCGCACCCATGCCAACGCATTAGCAATGCAAAAAGAAAATAGCAATCTATCGCGCCTTTGTCCGCTGTTATCTGAATTTTCCTCATTTACCTCTTTGCGAATTTAAAATAATGCGACGGAAAAGTCTTTGGAAAAAGGAATTTCAACTTGGCATTGTGCAGATGTTTAAATGGATTCCGTTGAGTTTCCATAACTTCAGTCATACCACGCAGCAATGCTAATTCCTCTTTTATAGCACGTAGGCCGAGTGGTTAATAGAGCGTTGTTTCACATCTCGAGTTCCATACTCACCTCCTAATCCAAGGTGTGATACATTGGGTAGGCAATGTGGAGCCGGAAAAATTTTGGTATTTTTAAATAATATTAGCTCTCTACATGTCTTTAGATATCAGTGATAGATCATACAAAACCTTTTTAAATCAAACGGCGTGAATAAGTGCCATGTATGAAAAAACTCTATCCATTGCCCATCTATGATATCAACGCACGTAACATCCTAAAAAATCCTAGACTCGACGTCCAAAATTCTATATCCGACGTCTAAAATCCTATCTATATTAGACGTCCAAAATTCTATATTCGACCTCAGAAATCATATATTCGACGTCCTAAATCCTATATTGGACGTCCGAAATCATATATTTGACGTCCAAAATCCTATCTTCGACGTACAGAATCCTATCTACATTAGACGTCCAAAATCCTATATTCGACTGGTGACCACCGCTAAACTGTTATTCGAGTTGCCAGAAGCGGAAATTTCAAGACCAAAAGCATCAGAATATTTGCACCAAAATTTATAGCCAAGGCTAGCCACGCTAGCAAAGATCTTGGTGATGATGTATGCCTGGCGCTAAGAAAATAGAGCCGTGCATTGAAAATATTAGGAAATTTCAGTTTTGTTGATCCCACTGTTTCTAATAAATCGGGGTATTTTGTACAACGACCCCATAAAAAAAACGCCAGCGCTAAAAAAAAAATTAGTAATTATCCAGCTAGCGAGAGTTCAGGGAATGTAGACTGAGCTGGTAATTACAATTTTCGAATCATTCTTATCCCCAAATTCCTAATTTTCAGTTTAATATACTTATATTTATCCCGAGTGGGCTAGAGAAATCCGTTTCGCCAAAAGCCTTGCAATATTTGAAGCCGGCAAGACAAGTTTGACCTGTATTTTCAAATTAGATTCATGGTGGAGGTTAATATGCCATATCGCGCAAAATTTATAATAATTCAACCAAATATTACTCTACACGGGCGTGGTAGTGACGTCGTCGTCATTTCATAAAGATAGAAAGAGCAGCATTCACCAAACTCTCTCTCTTGTGACGCAACACGTATTCTAAAATTTAAAAAAGAGAAAATATTTTCTTTACGTTCTAGAGTAGTGAGTGAGAATGCATATGATATATTCCGAGGCAAATACACTGAAGCTTCATTCTAACCCACGCTGTTCGGGAATCGACTTTCATTGAAGCAAAGTTGACGAAATTTTTGGATTCGAAATGAAGATTCCGATTCGACACAGTTTCATCAGATTAATACTGTTGATGGAGGCTTGTTTATTGATTAAAGGTCAGTATGAACGGTGCATGCTTTGATGGATTTGCTTTCTTGCCTGATTTTTGGTGTTTGAGGGCGCGCTATAAAATAATTAATTTTCTTAGGATATTTGATACCCTGCTGGTGGGTTATTTCTTACTTAACGTTAAAGTTTTGCCTCGTTAAATGCGGCAGAATAATTGAGCTGCTCTAAGCGAAGCTGCACATTGAATAATTAAGCATGAATAATAATTTTGTGCCAAAATTCCATAATGTTAGCGCTGTTTTATTTTTAATCGGCTATTATTAATTGCTGATTTTATTGAAAGCAAAAAATGAACAAAATATTTATAAACCTACCCAGCGATTTTCAAATATGAAAATGCTTGGTTTGTACATAAGGTTATTTAAAAATTATATCAAAAATCAGGCCATTGATATTTAAACAGCATGAATGCTTTATACTCTTCTAAATATAGAATCCATAAATGTACCAATATAAGTTCCTAGTGTAATAGTGTATTGGGTGCATTATTTTTATGAATTCTAATATTTTTTCCGAACCACGCCAAAAAAATTGTGAAAAAAGACGCTGAAAAAACACTTTATTCAACAAATTTCAACCTCTAATAAATTTATCCGTAAATCAGCGCTTTAAATTATACAGGCGACACGGCGTAACTGAATTGAAGCAGTTTTTTTAGCGAATTTCAAATCTGTTTTCTCGCGTCCCGGCTGGTATATTTGTATCAGAAAGAATATTCATTTATTCCGGCGTAGGCGGAGCCAGTATGCCGGTGTAATAACATGGCGAACCTCGGTCTCTCGGTGAAGATTAAACCGAAATTTAAATTTGAAAAATAATGATCTTTTATTTGATTTATCTTTTTTCCCCGAATACCTCGTTTATTTTTTCACGTATTGTATGTGTTGCTGTACCGTAAACAGGGCTGGATTTACCAGGCAAAGTGGGCCGCAGTCTTGGGGCATCAAATCTTAGGGGCCTTGGCATTCAATTTTGAACTAATCAATTTTGAAGATGGTGCGGTTTAGAATTTCACGGAGCTGATATTATTCAAATAAATTCTCGTCCCAAATATTTACCGTTTTAAAAATTAAAAACAGTATTAATGAATTTGCATAAATTCAATAAACCGTACTCCGGTGCCATGGCGTTTCGTTACGGCCAAATTTTCTTTAATCTACTCTTAATCTACTCGCTTACGTATTTTGCCATTAGCGAAAATGCCACGCAGTTTATTTTTGACGTCATAATGTATTTTTATGACGTCATTATTTTTGAGGAGCCTCACGAACGGCGCAGCCTAGTGCCTCTTATCGTCTAATTCCCGCCCAGACCGTGAATCTTAATAAATGTTCCTTCCTTCGTTGTAAAACGATTTTGGTTTTGAAATCTCCGATAAGAGGATTTCCTAATTTGAAACTGTTTGGTTTTTTAACTTAAATTTTAAATATCGTAATATACACTCAAACGCTCAGGAACCTCGGGTTCAATTTTATACTCACCACCTCACCAAGAGCGTTGTAAACTGAATAAGCAATGCCGAATCAACAAGATTGCTAATTAAGCTAGGAAGCTAATATCGTATCAGAGGCTGCTCGCTTTACTTCAGTATTTGAAGTATGTATGTGTATGTGACAATATTTTCAAATCAAAAAGTTTCAAATGTAGAAATCTTCTCATCAGCTGCTCGCACAGAGCGTTCTTTGGGAGAAAGGCGTATAAAGAAAGCAGCAAGCTATGGAGGAATTCAGCTTTCCCCGAATTTATTGCTTGTCATAAAATTAAAACGATTCTCAGAAACCAGAAATTGAATCTCGGATATCAACCAAATCTTCGCCCATGCCAACAAGACCGATATTGTTAGCTTCCCAATGGCGGGCGTAATAATGATAATTTGATCCGACCAATCATCATCGAAGAAAATAGTACGTTCGGATGACGTGCGTAGCAGTATGAAGTTAAATACGGGAGGAGCGAATTCACGCCATAAGGAAATAGGTACTGAATTAGTCTCGATTTTAAAAAACGTTCAGTAAAATAATTTTCGTTTATCTGTTATAAACCCATTTTTAAATGAGCAACTTGCTCGATTTCTAGTTTTAATTTTCGCTTTAACAGGCGAGGAATGCTGGATGCCTATGGTTTGCGACGGGAAACCCACCTGGAAGAACGTTACGGTGAGAGCTTTAGTTGCAGTTTCATATTGGTGGCATTAGTTGTAGAAATGAAACTAAAACTGATTAATTTTGTTTGAAACCGATAAACTAAAATAAGAAAATAGAACTTTCTAGAGATTTCTTCCAACTATAAGTACGATATAAGTACAACTATAAGTTTCTTCTACCGATCAGCTAAGACCTTTCTGCACTGGTGTGCAACCTTCATGTTTAAACATTTCACTCTTGTTCTATTTCAGCAAGGACATTGCACAAAAGAAGAAGAAAAGGCTTTGGAAGGTCCGCAATATAATATCCACAATATAATTTCCTTCGAAATACGTTTGGTATTTTTTCATATTTGTCAAACGGTCTGATAACAAACATGCTCCCAAACAATCGTTTTATAAGTAAAATTTGAATCATTTTAAATTTTCAATGCGTCGTGTTTAACAATCAAATGATGACGTGTGATTTAGAAATACCCATCTCATATTCTTATTTTCAAATCAGAGAGAGTGGGATTCATATCTTCTAACAAAAATTTCACTGGGGTCGTATTGTGAAACTGATGGCTCAATTTAAATTCTGTTTATATTTATGTTTCACAGCTTTAACGGAACAATTAGACGGGATGGAAATTAAGCTCTATCATTTAAAAAAGGCGATGGAAGAATCAGAGACGAACTCAGTGCCGCCCTCTGTTGCGGGTGTCAAAGAAACGACGACTCTCCAGGGTATGAAAATCTATGTCTTTTGGTATTGCATGCACTAGAACAGATATCACAAAAGTGTTTTTCTTGTCACAGTAATCGGTAATGAGGCGGATAATGCAAAAACGCTAGAGAAGAAAATTTATACATCTTGCCATTCAGTATCTCATTCCTACCTTAAAGTAACAAGACTATAAATCTTGCGATAAACTTGCAATATAAACTCACTTTTTCACACAGGATACAAAGACAAGAAAACTTCTTCGGCCCGTATTTCAACCGTCCCTGCTACAACCCCGTGGTCAACTAAGGAATCATTTCTCTCTACTGTGCGCCCACAAACTACAAAAGTTGAACAGAATACAGGTTAGTGTGGCCTCCTCATTCTCGTTTTTCACTCGGAAAATATTTCTCCCTTGAACGCTTTTTAGCACGCGTCAAATATCTTAATTAGCAATTCCCCAGACCTGAGATCTAGAAGAGCAAAAATTGCGATGCTTTCGAGAAAAGTAGTTTCTTATGTATTAGTAAGTGTCTTGTCTACCGCCTTGTTTAGAGTAAGATTCGAAAAATAATAAAAAAAACACTAAATGTATTTGCTTTATTATAAGATATCAACGTGTTCACCTAAAATTATTCTTGAAAAATGAGTTCTTTTATGCCTGCAAGACGCCTTGATATAGAACAGAACAAAGTTGTCTCAAAATGGCGTCCGTAGTCTGAGCGTTGCCTCGCTTTATGCCCTTTGATGCTGTCGTTTCGCCTTGCGACTCGAGAAAATCAGGGTCTGGTATAGTTTAGAACTACAAGTACCAGCCCAAATCGAGCAAACTACGTCGTATTAAAGTCATGCCTGCTCTCTCGTTTTTTCGTCGTTCAATCATTTCGTAAACCTCAAAATGTTCAATTTAAACCTAAGCTGATATAGAGCTTTATTGATAATTTTGACTTGTCACTCACCATTGAACTCTGGAATTCAAATTTGAGTTGGAGTTTAAATTGTTTCAAACCGATGTCGATTGTGAATATCATCCAACTTTACAGAGCTCCATACGGGGCTATTAAGCCGACGCATAGACAGCAATCTAGGAATAGGGTTTGATATATGGTCCCAACCGCTATTTGACTAGCCTCCCCCATACAGGACTATTTGGCTGCCATATAGAAATAAAGTTAGGAATAGGAATGTATATAAGGTCCCAATGCCTTTTTAAAGGCCGATTGGGGTAATATATCCATTCCTAACCTATACTGTCTATACCAACGGTGCACAACCTGCGGCCGTCGGGAAAAAATAATGCGGCCGTCCACATTCAAAATCCTATAAAAATAAATTCAAAAAAGGTTCAATATATAGGATTTGGCTATGCTGGCGTATATTGAAGCAAAACAGAAGCACTGCAAAAAAGGACACGATGCGTCACAATTTGGGCGACCGCCCCTCCCACCCTCCCTAAGTTTCGATTTTTTTCAAAATTGTGCAACCATTATGCAACTTGCTGCAATATATCTGCTCAAGAATAGGTCCATCGAGAAGAAAAATCCGTTTGAAATGCGAATATTATACTTCCAAGTAGTCCTGGGGGCCGTATTGAATACAAATAAATGCAATGTGGCCGCCAATAGCAAAAAGGTTGTGCACCCCTGGTCTATACTATATGACAGCCCAACATCCCTGCATGCAGGAGGCCACTTAAATGATGATTAAGACCATATATCTATCCTTATTCATAACATGCTGTATATATGGCAACGGTTTCGCATGCTCTTGAACTGACTTTTCAAGGTAGTTTTTAACTTTTCTTCATAGGACTTGTCTGTTTTCGCAACTTTATTTAGTCTTGGGCGGAGTTTGCCACCTGCTTTGGCCTGCATCTTCAAGCAACCCGCTTCCGGGTAGACCCGAAGTGGCAGCCCCAAGCACTTAAACTCCGCTGTGGGCCGAGGCCTTGCTCAGAATAACACCGGCGCTTGCCGTCAGCCGCAGCGTGGAGATTCGACGCCGGACTTTTTTCAGTTTACTCATGAAATCCCTGTTGCCTTCGTTTCCTTCGCATAAAAATTAAATTCAGGGGTGCTATCTCCTGAACTCTGGCCGTATGTGTCTCGCGAGCCTATTCCGTTGAACTGTTGGCATCACACTCACTCAGAAATGAAGAGAACTCTGCGCTTTTCCTTTTTGCTCTGAACAAGATTCTACATAAACAACTATTGAGACGTCACGAGCTGGTGTTAAAACACATTCATTCTGAATGTGCCCTGTACAAGCAATTACTGATATGTGAGCAGATGCTGCTATTACCGATAGTTTCCACACATTCTCTCTGAACAAGGCTCTACAGAAGCAACCAAACATATGTGAAGGATAATTGGTTTCTTCACTCAGAACAAGGCCTTGCGCAAACGGCCACAGATAGGAAACGAGCTATTATGTCTAAAATGCCCTGGGGGTTTCTACACATTGAATGCGAATAAGAAACTGTGTAGACAACCACTGATACTGTTGATAATAGCGGCATCCACTGACGCTGGGTTGGTTGTCTATGAACTCGCGTTGTAAGGAAAAAAGTTTTTTTAAAACTTGAGCAATATTCAATATCTGACTTTTAAATTTTTTTGACTGTCATTTTTTTTTCAGAATGCGGCGTTGTCTTCAATTCCAAATGTTTTCAAGCGATCGTTTATGACGCGAGGAACGTCTCATTAAGCGTCGCTGAATCTCTTTGCAAAAACAAACTAGCTAACATTTATGCGGTCACACACTACAACTTGCTTCAAGATTATTTACGATCATTGATTCCTGATGGATTGTACTTGATTGATGTTCGTTCGGGAATGACCTACAAGGTAGATCGAGTCTGAATCATGTTTCTTATTAGGCCATGCATGAGGTTAATATAAAATGTGACCGATATGTGTTATTAATTACAATAAATCTTGAGGTTAAACCTAACATGGACAAACTACGGCCCGCGTCCCAAATCCGACCCGTTTAGTAATTCAATCCGGCCCGTCTGATGCTGCCATAACCAAGCTGAAGCCAAATTTTGATGTTTTAGCTAAAAAAAACTTCTCACGGAATTTGTTGAGACTGCTATTAAATTTAGTTTTGGCACGGGGCATATTGTTTTCCACAATTATTTATCTAAATATTGATCATAAAATGTTTTTTTTACGTCACACTTGAATGACAGGCTAATCTAGGTAGGCAAATCTTTGGCTCATGGTCCATTAATCTAGCCCACCTCTGGGATAAACCCATATAACTTTAGCATAGGAGATAAGTTACATTCAAATCGAGCCAGTATAACACTAACTATTTCAGGCTGATATCAAATTTGACTTTTCCTACTAGATTTAAAAAATTGGTTTGCCAGCGTTTTTCAGTTTTTATCAAAAAAAAATTTAACCGCGAACCTCGTCTCCATATAATGTTCTCCGGTAATTCAACAATGACTGAGCTGAATAATCACGTAATAGTGTCACGCTCCATTAAGTTTCTTACTGAATACCAAATAATTTGTTATGTTCTGTCAGTTCATATGGCACGGATTACCGGTTCACTCAACTATATTCTCAAACTGCCATTTGTTTTTTATTATTTTGACAGAACGGTCAGCTGTATTCAACGACGGGTCAAGCTATATCTCTGCCAACTGAGGTTTGGCAGCCTAATCATCCATATTCTGATGTATCGTACACCACAGTTGTTGTTCGTGTCAATCAAAACCCGGATGCTGAACATCAAGGGATTCGGAATTCTCGTCCTTATAATTTATTTCACGGAGCCATCTGTGAAAATGAATTATAACTGTGTCCATTGAAAGATTGATGGACAAAACAAAAAACTTTGAAAGTACTTGAATGAGTAATTCACCCCAGGAGCTTCATTTATTACTATTTTCACAGTTGAACAAGCATATGAAGTAAATAGATCCTGCATGCGGTATATAATCCCCATATGGGATACAGTTAGAGTGTAGTGTAGAGTAACTACTTATCACTTGAATAAATTACCAATACTTTTATTTGATAAAAGCGTCACGATGTTTAGGTTAGCGTAGAAGCCCGAAATGTTTCAAATCCCCACTTCGAACAAGGCTCTGTGCAAGTCTCACTCATGCTCGGAGCACTATGAATCGGTATTTCGGCTCCGATTTGTCTGTGATACACAGATCACAATTGGCCTATTAAAAGATTGTATGTTTGCAAGACATTTTGAATAAGATTTGAAATTAAATTGAAAAGAGACGAGCCAATGAATCAGTGATGAACCATATTTACTCCACACAATCAATTCCACTGAATTCAAACTCGAGTGCTATATGTTGAACCGATGCGATTTAATGCTGACTTATTCAAATTGTCTGTCTGTCGGGATTTTCTTGAGGAGGAATTTCAATAAAACTGCAATCATTGTTAGATTTCTACCAAACAAATATTTTTTTATTTTTTAGATGTGTTCAAGAAATGTTTGAATTTATTATTTTAACCCAATTTGTTTCTGAGTGAATGTAAATAAAATTGAAATGTTGCCGATTTGGTTTACTCAAATGTATATTTCATTTTCAAGAAATTTCAGTAAATTACAAAAATGTTTGATACTTTCTGAATAACGGCTTCGTATCCGCGCGGCGGTGTGGCTCAGCGCGGCGGTGTGGCTCAACGGGCTAAGCGTTAGGAATACGCTCGCCACCGGACCTCTAATTACTCTGCGTGGGTTCGCAGGTTTGAATCCCATGCAGGGGTGGTTATGTGCGAGAGGATTGCTGGACTCCTCGCCGTCGTTGGGTGGTTCACGTAACCGCTGGTCGGTTACGGCGTCCTCCACCACCAAGTCCATGCTTCCGAAAAACAAACAATACAGTAAAAACTAATCCCATACCCGACTTGGAATGGTAACCGGACGAGAGGCCGTGGTTCGCCATATGGATAAGCCGTCTTATCGGCTTTCCTCTCCCCCGGGATAAATATGTAAATCCTATCCTATCCTATCTGTAACCTCTAAATAAAGCGTCTTTGAAATGTCGTGTCCCACGTGTTGTTGCGCACAGGCAGGCGCAAGGAATCGCGGTGTCCAATCTGCATCTATAAATTGTAGTTATTTTTGGTAATAACTTGAAGTGAAAAACAGTAAGAAGATCAAAGTTGCAATAAAACGTCATGGTACCAGGAAACGTGACGTTATTATATACCAGTTTCTACTCGCGAGAGTGGGAAGCGGGCGTGACTCGTTTGTCAGCACGCTCGGTACACTTTTACGCATTTACCAACTATTATACTATACTGTATACATACAGCAACTGTGTTATTATTCCTACACGACGAAGAAGAATTTAAGTTATCATCATCCATATACTACTGACTTATATTCATATATTTGAGCATCCCTCTCTTGTTATGATTCCTGATCGCAACCAGTCTCACTTGTGCAATTTACTCCGATGCACTGCTTTTGTTTGAGGCAGATAATGGCCCCTAGCCAAACACCGCCGGTAAGCAAGATTAGTGGTGATTGTGGTACGGTCGCGTTATTTCGTTGCACAGTAACGGAGGCAAGTGTGGGATAGGATTGTAACTTGTAATGACAATAAAGACTTAGCGGCTGTAACCAAGAATATACTTACAATCTGTAATCTATCAGGAATTAAGCACAAATATATATTCGCAATTTAAAATCACTATGGGTGCATGGGCTTGTCCAATGGAATGGGATTCTCACGGACCGAAGTTTCTCAGCAGGCCGTATCTCCATTTGTGATGTCCAAACAAATATACGTCGCGTTTAATTCTATACGACCCTTCGCGTTCTTGGTTTCTTTAAACTGAGTTTCAACAGTTTATTCTCAACCAATCAATATTTTCGTGTTTGTATTCATACAATCTGTCTTGTAGTTTATGGTAGCTTGTTCTCAATGTCAAATCTTGCCAATCGTCGGGTTCTAAATTCAATATCCGGGTAATGTTCAAGATGTGTTGGCAGTGGGCGTCGATTTGGATCGCACGAAGAAAATCTACAATTTCCACAAATTTAGACTCCATCTTTTGTGGGAACTTGCTCAACTCCGACCCCACAAACCTGTATTTTGTAAGATTTATCATTTTGCGATGAATCGTTTTATGTAAATTAGATTCATTTAAAAAACAAAATTATCATAAAACAAAAAAAGTACTTGATATAAACACAATTTCACGGAATAAATTTATATATATTACTGTAGCAAGTACATAAGGATAGTTACTGTGTATTTTAATATTTTCACCACTTATTGTTAGTAGTGCATGTTATTTGCCTGAAACAAGGTCGTTGTCCCAATTCATTACTTTTATGATATATTTTTCACGCTCAGTGTAGCATGTCTTTGCCGTTCTTTGTTATTTAGAAATTTGGTTTCATCACATATACTTGCTTTAAGGTTTCAAGCGTAATTCGTTATTTGGATCAATTCGATTGTGCAACTTTACAATATAACAAGTGGCATTCAATACATTGCGTGCTTTTTGATCTCTGAAGGAGTCAAGATCGGAGTTACACTCTGTTAACGTGTTATTGAACGACCTTGTTTCAGGCAAATAACATGCACTACTAACAACAAGTGGTGAAAATATTAAAATACACAGTAACTATCCTTATGTACTTGCTACATTACTTTTGTTTCTTATTTTGCAGATTTTTTTTACTTTTTTAACGACTAGAAACTTTTCAGAAGGTAATCTCTTGATTAAAAGCACTTGATTGTAAGTAAAAGTTGTGTAATTGTAGTCAATTGTTCTTGACTGAAATATTTCGCACTCATGTCCGATAAGCCCAAGAGCTCATATTGTCGATGATTTAAACCTCGTATCTTCTTAATTGCATTGCTAGGACACTAAATTTCAAAGAATGTATTTCTCCGGGATAGAGTAACCACATTAATTAGAAGATTTTGCTGATTTGTATTTTACGAATATAAGGTTGATTTACCCCACTTTTGTGTCTGAGTTTTAATTTGTATTTGAGATTTAAATTTACGTATTTTTCGATTTTCATCAAATTGAAGTTTCGTTGTGACGTGAAGGAAACCATTTTGTGGAATTGTATCAAAATTAAGGATGGAATTAAAGATGGAAGTTTGCGCGGTTTTGCGATAATTACCAACATACGTACTAAGATTGAGTCTAAAATGATACGCTGCATCTTGTCGACTATAACTGCAAACTATGAATGCGACTGGCGTGCTTTTTTCACAACGACGAACTTGATCCAAAAACATAAGCTGGAATGATCTTCAGATAAATATACACATGAACAATGAATAAAACCTATGCCATGCAATATCTTAATTTGCTTAAAATGTAATCCGCGATTTTTTGACTGTTTGAAACTTGAATTTTTCAATATCATGAAATTGACCATGCATGCTTAGCATGATGCGCCACATCGTCGAGACAATAAGATTATAGTGGTGTGTATAGTCATAATACTCAAGTCAGCTGTCAGAGACTTTTTACTGCTAAAACACAACATTTCATTTTTCATCTTCTTAAATTTAAATGCAACAAAATTATATTTATTTGGCATGTTATGAAACAGATATACTTTGCATAGGATAATATAATAATTAAAAAATTTACAAAACTGAAATTTGACAAACAATTATTTTTAGAATAAACAGTGTTGAAGATTATGAACACAAGAATTTTTTTTCTACTATATTGTGCTAATATTGCAAGAATTAATTACAGTTAGAATTGATAAATAACTTTGATAAAAAAATATGCGCTCCGGAAGTATTCGTACCAAGATGACGCACAGCCTGAACAACCCTAACCTGGTACACATACTATGTTCAGGTTGTGCGCCATCATGGTACGAATACTTCGGGAGCACCAAAAAATAGACTTGCACATTAATAGAGATTCTAGCTGAAACAGATTAAACAAAGCTATTGGAGATGTTCACATTATCGCACTGCATTACATTAGACAAAGATATAAAATATTTGGTGCTCCAGAAGTGAGTAAAGGGAATGAAATATATGGGCAGGGGGTATGGGGTATATTCACTTGGCTAACACAGACAGTCCTCGAACTCGTAATAGAACTAAAATTAGTAAAATCGGAATAAAATGATGGCCCAACCTTAACCTGGTACACACACTACGAGAGTACCAAAAATAATTGATGCACAACTTTGGAAAAAAGATTGCACATTAAATGAGATTCTAGCTAAAACTGATTCACATTATCGCACTGCATTGCGTGAGAAATGAGAAGAAAAAAAAGATTAGTAGAATGAAGAAGGCACCAATAAATCATGTATATCAGATAAAATCAGTTATTGCATCACCAGAAATAAGCTTCGTCCATATGTTTGTAAACATACCAACCCAAGACGCAAACAGCAGTTATCGGCATCATGAATGTGACAAATCTCCACAAATAGCTAAAAGTACAAAATAATTCAATTAGCAAAAATGAGAGAGAATCTATGGCGCTTAGTAATTACTACTCAGCATTATATACCAAACCAAAATATGATGAAGGAAAACATGAATGTACTATCATCGACGATTTAAGTATGGTAATAACAAAAAAATTCATTCCTGTCATAAAATATCACTAATGTGAGATGTGCATTAACATGAAGAAGAATATACCAGGGGAATGTTTATGGTATTGGATTTTTATATTTAATATGGGGAAAATGATATGGCATGATGATATTGTGGACCATGGCCTCCTGTCCGAAAACCAGTATGGTAGTAGAAAAGTATCGTGTGCGAGTGACCAGTTAATCGTTTCAGATGCATGAACTTGGTGGTATAATAGGAATCATGCCTTTTGAAAATTTGGAAAAAAAAAGATATTTTTCTGTGTCACACATAGCAATTTTCAGAGCTTGAAATGCTTTTTAGACCCTGAAGGCTCTTGTGAAACGCACGTCTTCCAGCTAGAACCACTAGATGTTGCGGTCTAACTTGACAATTAGAAATTTAAGAAACCTTTTTTGAAAATTCCTGGATATGATCCTGTGACTAACCTTGACTTGGATTGGAAAGTTGAAATATATTTTGAATCGTTTGAAAATACTCTCGATTCTCTCCATTCATGAACTGAAGAAGGTTTCTGCTCTGTGATTTCAGAAACTGCCCGAATTGCTGATTCGATTCCACCTTCGATATAACCACACCAGAGTCTGGCAGTCTCTGTTCCAGCCCAATGAACTCTGGAATGAAAAGGATAGGCCAGTGATTTTGAATCTTTCAAATCATTAATTGTAGCAGAACTGTCGAAAACCTTGCAAAAACAGGAAAAAACAGTGCGAAACTGATGATAAAAGATCCAATTAACTATTAATCAGCACAACTGCCATTTTGACCTGTTTCAGTGTAGAAAGAAAATAGCGATAAGTTTTCATGGCTACAAAGAGCTAAAATATAAAATTTCCAAACTCATGACACAAAACACTGAAACACAAATGAGAATTATCTAAGACAGATTGTAGGAAGGGACAAATAGCGGGGCTCCGGAAGTATGCGAACCAAAATGGCGGACATCGGAATGTAATATGTGTACTAGGTTAGGGTTAGGCCATAATTTTAGGTATAAATACTACGGGAGGCTCTTGGCTAGTCTTCGAACTGATAATAGGACTAAAATAAGGAAAATTGGAAAAAAATTATCGCCTAACCCTAACCTGTTACGATCCGATGTCCGCCATCTTGGTTCGCATACTTCGGGAGCCCCCAAATAGCAATGAACAAAGACCGACTCTGGGGAAATCAAAATTTCTATTCCGAATCTGGGTGATTTGAGAATACGTCTTTGGCTTCAACGTTAGAGAAATCATCCCAAACTACGACTTGTCATAGTCAAGTTTATTTTTATCCATCCAGTAAAAAATAACATACAAAATTGACACAAAATATAATCAAGCACACATTTTTACTGGGGAAGCCGCAAAGAACCAAGATTGGTCATCAAGCAGCGACACCCAAGGTTCAATATCTAATTAAAATCAAATAATTAAAGGTCTGAAATTAAGTCATTAGAACACTGTTATTATAGCTGAATATGGCTTTGGCAGCTGAACCACTGATAGCTTCCACTAGACCTGCAAAAAAATATTATGACAGTATTTTATTAACAGTGCTAACCTTCCAAAAGGCTGTCTCAATGCATGGTGAAAATACATCAATCCCCTCGGCCTCATTACACCAACTGGGCATCCACCATTGTATGATTCCTTTGCCCAATCTTTGTCAATGTATTCAATTGGATCAAGGCATTCTTCTCCAAGCATAGTTGCCAGAGATTGTAAAATTGCTTCCCTTCTTTCTACCATCTAAAAAAAATAGAGTAAGATAATAGTAGTAAAACAATATTAAAACTGGCAACCCTGTTATACATATTTTTCACATACAAGAACTTATTTTATATTAATTTTCATTCTATGGCCTACATCTAGCTGGTCTTACTATTTTATGGTCCCACATGTTCATTCTGAACAACTGAACAATATTCTAAACTTCGGTATAGAAATCAAGGGTAAAACTTTTTTACAGAGATTAGAGACCTGTTAAAAAAAACTATTCCGTTATGCCATTTCTCCTTACCTGTATCCAACATGTTTGTGTTATTTTCAATTAAAACTGATTGAAGTATTTGGTTGTATTAAGATCTTTCTAACAGTTAGACTTACATTAAGTTAAATATGTTATGCTTCATTTGTAAACATTGGATTTATACAAAGACATTGAGTTGGTGATCTGTAAAGAATCAGACTTCCCAACCAAAGCTATACAGAGATAAAAAAATTTAACAAACCGTTTTTCTTGTCCAGTAAATAGCATGATCAGCACAGATAAATCCCACAATAGCAGGATTTCCATTGAAACTTGTGCCATCAAATGTACAGGATATAGGACCGATAGAACCAGGGGCTCCAGTGACTGTCGTTTCTCCTGACATGCCTTTCTCCTACAAAAATCAATTTCGAGCTCAGCAAAACCTCAGAAAAAATTTCTTTATTGTAACTATAAATTAATAATGTTTTGGGGTTTCAAAAACTACTTCAGATTTTTTTATAAAATTAGTTGGGAACCACAAAAATATTTCTTATGTGATAATGGCAAGAGAAAAAAAAGTCACAATTTTTGTCAAATTGTGATTTTGCTACATACTGGAGTTGGAGCTAAAACTACTTGCGAAAAGTCTAGAATACAAAACTATAATCTGTAACCTAGTCCTAGGTACTTAGATATTCAACAGTATCAGAACAAACTATGTCCGGTCCCGTCTCTATCACTTAGTTAGTGGTCAGTAATTGTCAAATCCACCAGTCATCCTAAATAAAGAATTAACAATAACGTAAAAACTCCACAAACCTTCCAAAATGCAGTCTTATAGGTAACAATAAACTTGATTAAATGACCCACAGGCATCTCCTCTCCTAGTTTTATCCGATCATAAGGAAGTTGAGGACTGAAGTCAATGTGATTCACAAGATGTGGAGGAATGGCTGCTATCACATTATCACAATGATATGTTTTGCCTTGTCTAGTGATCACAGTGACTCCATCTAACTCTGTCTGTATGAATGAAAATTGGAAATGTTAAAGTATTTATATCTCGCTTGAATAAAAGATAAAATGATCCTTGCAACTTAATGATAAAAATTTATGTGATTCACACCATGCGATTCACAAATGAGCCAGAGAAAAAAAATTATTTGGATATCAATCACGGTGGGAATAGAGGTATTAATGGAATTGATTTAGTAAAAGTTAGATGGCCAATCATGCTTAGGAAGAGTCTTAATGCAGACATAGCTGTATCGATGATAATTAGTATACTATGTCTGGTCCTTATCACTCAGTTAACAGTCAGTAAATTGTCAAATCAGCCCAAGATTGGTTTTTTTCAAGCACATCATTCCCTGTGCTACCACTTCCTACTGGCTAAACCTATAGAAAACTAAATTAAAAGTTTCAAAACTAAAACTGTGATCTTCTGCCTCGTATATGAGATAACATAATATTAGCGGAAAACAAAGTTTTCTTGGTTCATTTAATAACATCGCTGGATGCTAATGTAATTATATATTCCTCTTTTCCATCAAGTTGTGGAATCAAGTCGCACTTGTCCCGTTATCAAAGTTCTAGAATATACATTGCAAATCTTTAAAATTGTTTAAAAAAATGATACATCGAGATGCAAATCTATATTTTTCTATGCACCTGTTTTATAGATTGGACTGGATCTCCAAGCACAACATGTCGCAATCTGCCAGCGATTTTTTCACAAAGTTGATATGCTGATCCCTGCAATAGAAAAGATCTGTCCAACAAGTACTAAATACTAATGATAAATGTTGTAAATAAACAATTTATAGATTAGATTAAGTCCTTGACCAGTTATTCAATTCGATAGGATTTTTCAGATTTATCCAGAGGGAAAGCTAGCAAGACAGCTTGGCCATATGACGGACCATTCCACTCAGAATTGCAAAAAAACAATTAATAAGAATATGAATATGTTTCTAGTCAATATTCACCTTTGATTATTCCAAAAAGAAAACATTTAGAATTTTATTACCTCATAGAAAACTGTTTTATCAAGACTGTATACTTTATTCATTTGATATCCTAGTCACATATACCTTTACATACCCAGTGTATATGATCATAAAAATAGTTTATTTGCTGAACTTTTACAGTTTCACTACTCATGTGCTGAAATCCTGATTTGAATAAATATTAAAATAAAATTGACTATATTTTCCTTTTTCAAAATGAAGTACAATCAGATTATCTATAGCGTTGTGTATTTCTTTATGTGCATATTTTAAATTTACGATATTTGTTTTACACTTCCTTTTTCCACAGCAGGTTAATTACAGTTTGCTAATGTCTAATAAACAAATGGCAATTTATACCTAGATACCGTACCTAGAATACCTTACTTTTTACAATAGAAATTAAGATATATTTTTTACATACAATTTTCATTAAACAATTTAAGTGCTCCCGTAGTATGTGCAACAAGATGGCGGACACCTGAACATAGTACCGGTATGTGTACCAGGTTAGGGTTCAGCCATAATTTTATTCCAATTTTCTTTATTTTAATACTATTACGAGTTCGGGGACTAGCCAAGTGACTCCCGTAGTATTTGTACCTAAAATCATGGACTAACCCCAACATGATACACGTACTACGTCCCGGTGTCCGCCACCTTGTTGTACATACTACAGAAGTACCAACAATTATACCTTGACTCTGTATTCCTGAGCACCATTTTTTATATCAAGAAGTGTTTCAAATCCTCCGCCCTGTTTGCAGTAGTAGAGAAAATACAGCATCGATATTTGACTCAAGTCAACACCAAAAACCATACGAATTGCAACCTCAAATATTTCTCTTGTAGCTAGAAAAAATGTATGCAATTTAAAAAAGTCATTTAATTATGGTATACATTATGTAAGAATTGATATTGATTGGCAATGGCCATAAATTAATATTCTAGATTCTCCAGATAGGTGGTTCTTAAATTCTCTTATTCATGCCTACTTCCGACCATAATCTGTGGCCATCACTTTTCAATGGAAAAAATAGTTTTTTTTGAAGGGTTTCCATCAGATTTTTCAAACATTTTATCCATTTCATAGGATTAATGAAACCCCCACAATTTACTGTATATCAATGTAGTCATCTCAAATGGCACCAAGTAAACCTGCATAGGTATGCATATGTAGCAAGGATGCTGTAGCAAGAATAAAAGTGATTCTCTTCTTGAATTAAATAAAATAACACAACTTACTGAATGTAGGTACATTTAAATATTTGATTCGTTTTCGGCATCATCATTACCAGTAATACTTATTTTCAAACTCAAACATATTATCCAATTTTTAATAATACTTTTTCATCATAAATTCCAAATATCTATTTTACATAGGGATTAGGAATTATCAAATACTACATTTATTCCGAAGAATTTTGCAAAAAATTCGCCATGCAAAACATAAGCGCTACTAGTTTAACATATATAGGCTACAGCTACACATACACTCTCAGTAGATTGCTTGCATAGATTGAACAAAAAGCTTTCATGCAATTAAAATTATTAATAGGATTTAAATTTGAATTGCTCATGGACATGCAAAGCTTTTGAACCTTCATTACTGCATTTCTCTGTTACAAATGAATGCAAAGTCATCGAGTCCAATTCCATAGCATTAGGATCTGTTGTAATATTATCCAGATCTATTTTTTTGCACATCTTTGATACCTTAAAGATTGAAATATTACTTTGTGAAAATAGCTTGGCTGGCTACGCAAGTGTTAAAATCACGCTTGTGATTGCAACTATATGTGTGTGACCCTTCGATGGTTGCTAGATGGATGCTCCAGAAGTGTGTGTACCAATATGTAGGTAACTAATTTTGTCCGCCTACTTTACCTCAAGTTGTGTAAAGGGACTGAAACCTATGAACATTGGGTATATTCACTTGGCTAACACAGACAGTCCCCGAACTCATATTAGAACTAAAATAAGAAAAATTGAAATAAAACTATGGCCTAACCCTAACCTGGTACACACACTACGGGAGTAGCGCTAGATGTCATGGCTGCCGTAGGGTGGGTGGTTCATGTAACGGTTGATAAGCTATGGCACCCTCCACCTGTAAAATCCATGCATCTGGTAACTATTCCCATATCTGACATGGGCTGGAAATAGGATGGGAACCCATGTGTTCACCATGTGATCAAGTTGTCTTTCCACTCCCAATATAAATATGAAAGTCCCCCCTGGTCCTACTACATGCACATTTAGACTTCACTTAAGTCAATTTTTTTTTCAACTTTTGGAATGAAAATAAACACATTTGATGTATTTTTGAAATTTCAATTATAGTAAAGTGAAATGGCTATTACAGTATAGTCTTCAATTTTCTTCAACTTGTCTATTTTTCAACAGGGACACTAGAGTTATAGAAAATAATTTCCCAAAAGGTTAACAATTAAAAAAAAAAATGCTACCACAGCTTTGCTACAGTGACTCTATAGACAGATACTAGATCAGCGTTCCCGGACGGATGGGCACGCCCACAAGCGGGGCATAGACGATTCCTGAGGGGGCGTGAAACTAATCAAAAATATTTGTTAGATGTGATCTGCCTCATTTTGGATATTTACAATTTTATATTGTTTAAGAGATTACAGAAAGCTATTGTGCTTGTTGTATTTTTATTATATGCTATATTACTTTCGCTTTACTATCTGTTATTTGAAGCTTATTATTAGCTAGTTATTTTTGAGGCGGAGCGCGAGACTTGACAAATTCTAAAAAGGGGGCACGGCCCAAAAATTTTGGGAACCACTGCACTAGATCAAAGATAGCGGGCCTGAGCTTAAACTCCAGATAGACTAGACTAGCTCTTTCAGACCTTCAATCTACCTGAAGCACTCTACTAAAAAACACAGATAAACAAGGTTATATCTTTGGAAAGAATCTTTCCAGCTTGGCATTACCTGTCCAATTTGAAAGGGAAATTTTTTTATGGAATCTCGCTCGACACAAGGCCATGCGTATTCACTTATAAATAAAAAAGTCCCATTTATGAACGAAGTTATGAGCGACCATTAACATGACACTACACTACAATAAATTATAGCATAAAAACTATTTATTAATAAATACAGATTGACTCAATACTTGTGGTAGTTTAGGTTAATACAATCAGAAAAAAAGTTATTAGATAGTGAATTTTATTAAAGCCAAAACTGTTAATGCGGATGAAATGGTCACTAGGTGGTTGCACACTCATAGTCATAGCCTGAGAGGCGAAGCCCCCTCCCTCCCCCCCCCAAAAAAAAAATTTTTCAACATTCTTTTTAAATGCGATTTTACGGCATTTTTAGTAGAACATAAATTCATCGCCTTTTTCAACAACATTTTGCTCTTTTTTTGAACGATTTATTGATAACCAGTGATTTCCTGCCTTGCTATCAATAATCCTTTCACCAAACGAAACAAACGAGATAGATCCAAAAGCCTGGCTATATGCCTTGGATAACTTTGACAGCGAAGTACATCTGTATAGCTATATACTTTTAAGATATTGTTACTTATCAGTGGCTACTTTTATCTGGCTTTGTTCAGAGAAAAGGGCAAGAGCAAGCATCGTATTATTATGTCATGATACAAAACGAAATTTCTGTTACAATATGACATAATATACCCTATAGCGCCACATGTGTTTGATGTCATTGGCTGTCCTTATAAAACGTGGTTAATGTTCTACTGCAGTGATTCCCAACCGGTGGTACGCGGGAGCTTTTCAGGTGGTACGCGTGCAGCTTTCTGTTGTATTCAATATATATGACATCACAATCATGTTATTTATTGACGCTTTTGCAAGAGTTCTTGTTAGAATAGCCAACTCGTCGCCTGTGATTGCTTTGCCAAAGTTTTGGCTAAGTATTTTAAAATGTCGAAGCGAAAGTATAGTGAAAATTATATTGAGTATGGCTTCATTGCTATTGAACATCGAGGAGATATCTTACCTCAGTGCGTGATCTGTATGAAAACCCTTTCAAATGCAGCTTTGAAACCAAGTTTGCTTAAGCGACACCTTGAAACCAATCATACAGATAAGATGAACCGAGATAAGAGTTATTTTGAGCGACTTGGGGAAAACGTGAAGAGACAGCGCATGGATCACACAGGCCAGTTTTACCAAAAGAATGCGGGGATTGTAAAGGCATCCTACGAAGTATCTCTTCTGGTGGCCCAACACAAAAAAGCTCATGTCATTGCAGAGTCTCTTATTTTGCCTGCAGCTAAGATATTAGTCAGAAATTTGATTGGAGAAGAGTCAGCGGCAAAGTTGGATAGTGTATCGCTTTCTAACAATACCGTGAAACGACGCATCGAGGAAATGTCAGTTGATATTACTGACCAGGTGATTGCAGGAGTAAGAAATTCGAAGTTTGGATTTGCCTTACAACTTGATGAATCGACAGATGTCACAAACTGCTGCCAACTGCTTGCCTACGTCCGCTTTATTCAGAACGATACTGTAAAAACGGAATTAATGTTGAATCATGAGCTGTCTACTACATCAAAAGGAAAAGATATTTTCAACTCTTTGGATAATTTTTTCAAGGAAAATGAATTAGATTGGGGAAATCTTGTCGGATGTACCACGGATGGGGCTCCCTCCATGCTCGGCAGAAAATCTGGATTTCAAGCCCTTGTCAAAGCAGTGTCACCTCGCGTCGTAAGTGTTCACTGTTTCATACACAGATTTGCTCTTTGCACAAAAGTTCTTCCTGCAAATTTGTTAATGTGCTTGAACAGGGTCATCAAAATCGTAAATTTTGTTAAAACATCAGCTTTAAATACTCGATTGTTTAAGGTTCTTTGCGAAGATCTCGGCTCTGATCACACTTGTCTCCTTTATCACACAGAAGTACGTTGGCTCTCTCGAGGAAACACAACTAAACGTCTTTTTGAAATGAGGGATGAATTACTTTTATTTTTCCAACAGAAAGACCATGACTTTCAAAACGACCTGCAGGATGAGGATTTTATTGCGAAGTTGGCTTATTTGTCAGATATATTTGAAACATTCAATCACTTAAATTTGTCATTTCAAGGGAAAAACTGCACAGTCGCAGACTTTGTTTCAAAACTGGGAGCCTTTATCAGAAAGCTGAATTTATGGAGAAAAAATGTGGAAAACAAGCGCTATGGTATGTTTAAATTTCTGTCAGCCCTTGAAATAGAAATCAGTGATGACTTGTCCAGAGAAATTACCCAGCACCTCTCGCTGCTAACTGCTGAATTGCAGCATTACTTTCCAGATACCTCATGCTGCCCATACGTCACAGATCCTTTCTCAGTGGACCCAGCCGACCTACTTGTTGGTACAGGGGAACAAGAGGAACTGATAGACATACAGGAGGATCTGGAAGCAAAAAAACAATGCAAAGAATATTCTGCAATAAACTTTTGGCTTAGTATGGCTTCTTCATACCCAACGCTAGCTTCTCACGCTATTCCACAACTACTGATTTTTCCTTCTACTTGGGAATGTGAGCAGGGATTTTCTATTCTTATGAACATCAAATCAAAAAATCGAAACCGACTAAGTGCCCCCGGACATGACTTCAGATGTGCTATTAGCAACGTTATGCCGCGCATCGATCAACTGGCGCAAGACAAACAAAAACAAAAATCCCATTAAATTTAGCCGTGCACTTTTCGTTGTTTATTCTGATTGGTAATTTTGGTACATTCGTTAAATTTACATCCTGATTTATCATGTTATCATAATAAATTGGTTTTGTAAAATTTGTATCAAATTAGCTGTTTCGAAAATAGTGGTACATGTTGACAAATCGTGGTGCCCAAGTGGTACGAGAACGTAAAAAGGTTGGGAACCCCTGTTCTACTGTGTACCAAGCGGTAGAGAATAAGATCGGGCCCAAAAATTCCAGCCTGACCCGACACGGGCCCGTGGGTATTAAACCCGACCTGAACTCGACTAATTAACTGGATTTTCAGGCCCGACCCGACCCAAGCCGGGTATGGTAAAGTATAGGAAGAATATTTTCAGGATTCAAAGGTTGGGGAAAAGTCCATTACAGCTTCTTCTCTGTTTTATTCAAATTATTTTTTTATAACAAGTATTCCTTTGTTCAGTATCCACACATAGTTTTTTCATAAACATATATTTATTTCAAAGAAAGTCATAGAGAAGCCAGACCCGACCGTAATGATTGACATTTCAGGCCCGACCCGAACGTAATGATTGGCATTTCAGGCCCGGCCCGAGCGTAATGATTGATATATCACGCCCGACCCGAAATGTCGGGTCGGGCTTCAGATCTTAGCTCTACTGTGCGATGAGTTGGTAATGCCGAGTCATGTGTTGAGAACCCGTAAAGCTATATAGAAAACGAAAACCTTCCCCCAAATTTTGCGCTAGCTACGCTCTTATTTGCATCAGGTAAGATATACAGAACTGACACAGTTGTTAATAAAACTGAAAAATGTCATACCATATTCATCATGTAATGAATTTCCAATAATTCCAGCGGTCCAAGTGTCGGTATCAGACCAGAATATGACCTGATATTGGTTGGATCGTGGATCATCAACTTCTTGATTCCGCTTGAATATTGATCGTACATTTCAAGACCAAATTCTTTAAGAACTTCAATCAAATTGTACTGGGTCCTGTTGAAAATTTTTGTGTCAAATTATTCATAAATGAATATACTTGAAACAGTATGGAACCTTTGGGTTTAATGGGTATTAACTGCTATCCATCTATTGTAGCTGTATATATCTTAATATATATTAAGAAAAAATTAACGATTGATACTATGGTAAAAAAAAAATAGTTAAAACCAATCACCATGTATCTCACCATGATGGCATATCAAATAAACAAATTATGAGCATTAAATGAATTTTTAAATGGATTATCTTTGAAACCCATTCAAGTAAAGTGCTAGGATTATTACTTCTACTATAGCCGAATAACATCAGAATATTTTTTTCGAATACTCCTCTTTGTTCATGGTTTGAGACCAAACTATGTTGCCATGTATATATAAAGACGTAGAGTTCAAACTCCCTAACAACCACCTAACCAAGGGTTTGATAAAATGCAGAGGCTGTGCCATTATAGTACTTTCCAAAACAGTATATGTATTAGTAACAGCCTGTGTAGATACTTGTTCAGAGTTACTATGCACAAATATCTTAAAAGCTAAGTATATTAATATAGCACTCATAAATGAAATATTGATACAAGTCAAGATATTTCATAAACAATTAACCTTCCAACCCACTGTCCACCGACATCCCAAGTATCTGTTCCACCTGCACATTTCAATACAGCTGAATCCATTCTTCCTCCAATACGATCTGACAGATTTCAGAATTAGGAACAAATTGGATTATAATCAAAAAATTCTTTATGAAAAAAGAGCCAGCAAGTGAATCAGAAAAATTGGCTTATCAATTTCTTATATATTCGGACTTATCAAATATTGATATTTCATGAGAATGAATATTTATTTGTTCGTCGTATCAGAAGACAATATAAATATGACAGTAATGGTCATAAAGGATTGTTATCACTATCACCTATGTCAGGGATGGGCTAACCGCGGCTCGCCAGACTTTTTGTGTGGCTCTTCTCGCTAACATAAATTATTATCCAAATTTCAACTAAGAGAAAAACTTCAATGTAAACTCTTTTAATTTATTAAAAGTCGTAAAGAAGTTTTCGTCAATGATCAAGACAAATTATGTTTTAGTATGAAAATTGCTGTAGCGTTAAATTTTGAATTTAAGTCAGTCAAGTCAGCAAATCTTTCGTCACAATGGTCAATGTTATTGATGCGTCGGCGGTATTGCAGCTTGATTGCGGTTAGTTAGTCTAACTAAGTTACTGTGCGATATGTCCTCCATTAAAAACGAAAGTACGAAGATGAAAACAGAGTTGTCAAGTCAGAATGGGAAGAACGTACGAATTTACCAGTCAGAAGAATAAACTTTTGTGCTTAATCTGTCATAAGCTACTAAGTCAGAATAAAGTCAGCAATGTTAAATGGCACCATGAAAACTTCTTACGAGACTACCCTTGTAAATCAGCTATAAGGAAACACAAATTAAATGAACTCTAATTGTGCATATATTTGAGTATAGCTGCCTTGTTTATCTATTTATTGGTATTAGACTCTTGTGTGAATTTCTTTTCTGTTCATGGTATTTTGATAATACTAATAAATTCACAAATTCTGCGGCTCTTTTAAAGTTCTGACTTACAGCATGCGGCTCTTATAATGAAAAATTGTGCCCACCCTGACCTATGTCATACAATGGACCAAAACAAATTTCTACTTTACCCAAGGGTTTCGAAGCTGCCAAACAGATCCTACGCCAGAGAAAAATTAGAAGTACAGTACAAACCTTTCGCTTCCAGCAGAACTACTTTTTTATCTTTCTTTTCTTGCAGTAGATATGCAGCATAAAGACCTGCAATTCCTCCACCAATGACAGCGGTGTCAAACTTTTCTACAGATGCCATGATGTAGAGAAATAAGAACTGGAACAAAACCTTTCAATATAAGCTATAACATAAGATAGCATAGGCAGGATAGGTGTTTATGTTAATCCAGTAATCACAGGCAATCACTTGAAAGCAATATATCTAAGTTTGTTAATTTCTGAAATTAATTTCTAAGTATTTTAATGCTGGTAAATATATGAAACATATAGAAGTTTATATTGGATTTAATATTCTAATCCATCTCCAATCTAATCCATTGCAGTATTGCAGAGATGCATAAGTTACGAAAGGGTTTCAGATATTTCGGTATTCTCCGATATTACAGTATTGGATAACTATACTCTGCAATATATTGCAGTATTGGCTATAGTACCATATCCACCAATTGACTCACCGTGTTCGAGTTCGTCCAAATATTGTACAATTGAAATAGGTAATACCGGTACCGGTACCGTACGTGTGCAAAGTAAGGCGGACAAAACCTCTGCCTGTCTGCCGATATTGTTTACATTTGGCCAGAAAATTTAATCTCAAATCAGCATAATATAGATATTACGCAAATTCTGTGCGAGCATATCTACTTTCAGTTTCAGTACATTAACTTGTAGCATAGCTTTATTAAATAATTTCTAAATATTTTATTTATTATCCGGTAGAGTAAGATAAGAAGATATCGAGTATATCGATGCCGCTCTTTCTCTTATATTTTGACCACAAGATGTTGATAGAGAACAACAATATATTATGCAGAGTTTCTCCTGAGATCGAGAGTTAGTTGTTTTCCGTCATGGATTTTGCTGCAATTTTGAAGGGAGAAGTCGATAGGAAGAGAAAATTAGTTGAAGATAAGAACATCATTGCTGTGAGACTAATTTTTTGAACTCCATTCTCTTTTTATGTATTGCAATCCGGCGCTTTTAGACCTGGATTCAATTTTGTCCAGTCTTTAAATTTTCTTAGCCAACTTGCTCACATTTCTGTTTGCAAGTATTCAGACATTGTTTTCATCCCATTCCAGTATTTACATATATTTGTGTTGTAGACAAGGCAAATTAAACCATGTTTCGTTTAAATTATTTGATAATACTGGCATTGCTAGCCCAATTGCAATATCTGAATATTTCAAAGAAACTAAGTGAATATTTTACAGTTTTAATACACTTTTCACTGTTGCACATTTATTTTAATGCTGTTGAATATCTATTTTTTGTATTCAATATTTAATTAAGCATATCAGCATTTGGACACTACGTGAATTTTAAACAGTTCAAGGCAAAAAATTATTGTTAAAATTCTTTAATTTCATTGTACTGAGAAATGCCTGATTTGTATCAAATAAAATCCAATGCTCAGTACATTTCCAATTAAATACAAACACAGTAATTCATTTACAATATTTCTAATATTTTAATCCACCAATGGGGTGGAAAATTCCCACAATTTAAATAACTGTAAAAATAGAATAGGATTCGGTATTCAGGATTCGATTTAAGTATTCTGAAATAATAATTATTCTACATTGCCCATCCTTAGTCCTATTCAAAATGCTAAATTCCCATTGGAAATAGCTTAAACGAATTTAAAATTATATTTGATTTTCTGTCTTGTTTTAGGGAGAAAAGAAATTCTTTAAAAGGGGAGACTTGGCAGAAAAAGAACGGGAAGAATATGAAAAACGACACAATATACAACGAGAAGATCCAGAGGCTGAGAAGCAGCGTAGACTTTCACTTACCGATACTTTGAATAATATTGGGCCAGACAAAGATAAGCTTCCTATGACTTTGTCAAGACAAGAGGTAATTCATAAATTTCTCAGTTATGTATGGACTTATACTATGTATTACTACACTACATTCAACATTAAGGAATGATTTTGAAATGTATCCTTCAACGCAGTGATCACCAAAGTGTGGGTCGCGACCCCAAGTTGGGTCGCCTCGAATATTTCAGGGGTCGCCGAATGTCCGGCGGTGTATTCTTGTTTTATTTTTCATTATTCTATTGCGTGCATGTTACACTGAGCTGACTAGCACTACATAGTAAGTTTGGGTATTCTGAATTACAGTGATATCTTTTATAATAAGGCTATTGTGTGACGGCAATAATTAAATTGTAACACGAAATCCAGAAATCTAGAGCGCGTGATAATATTTTTGGAAATGAGATTTTACTGTGACTGGTTTTTAGTGGTTCGAAATATTTTTTTCCTTGCCATACCTTGGCGTCACAAGCTTATCATACGTCATAATTTTTAAAATGGGGTCGCGTCTCAAAAAGTTTGACGACCACTGCTTTAACGCATCATTTTTTGCTGCAGCTACAATTTTTTGTGATTGTAACTGCCAATCCGTGAACATTTAGGAAAGTTCCAAGATGTTATGTTGCATTTCCTAATGTCATTTAGATATTGAAAAAATTAAATTTGGTTATGGCTTCCACCGCCATCAATTCCATGCTTTATAAAACAAATAACTGGCTCACTAATCCCATACCCGACATGGACTGGTAACCGGACGAGAGACTGTGTAAATCCCATCTAAGTCTTTAAATCCTGAAAAACGTATAATTTGTTATCCAGTATTTATACAATTTTTTCATTCACATTCTCAGGTTATCAAAAGACTTCGAGAACGTAATGAACCGATTACACTCTTTGGTGAGTCGGATTATGAAGCTTTCCAGAGATTGAGAAAACTTGAAATTATGGCTCCAGAAATTAATAAAGGGCAGAGAAATGATTTTCAGGTAACATGGAATGAATCCTTGCTCAATCCGTTTTAATAATTTTACAATGAGCTCAGTTTGTCTAATCAACATTTTCAGGTAGGCCACAGACATATTGAAAATTGCTACAGCTAAATTTAGTTGAATTTGATGGTAGTAACAATAAATGAAATTTTCTCCAATTTTTTATTAAAAGCAAAGTGTCTATTTTTGCAGAAATTTTTTTTTGTAAATTTTCCCTGGAAAATTAGTAGGCCACAGAATTTTTGTGCAATGAAAATGGGCCATGAAAAAAAAAGGTTGAAAACCAGTAGTCTTATCTTTCTGTTTCCTTTGAAATTTTATATTAAACAACTGAAAACTACTTTGAATTCATTTCCTGTAGTGGTTCATGTTTGTCGCTGATAATTTTGTTTCAATATTATTCAAAGTATCGGTGAGTTAAAGTCTACGCTGCTTCTCAGCCTCTGGATCTTCTCGTTGTATATTGTGTCGTTTTTCATATTCTTCACGTTCTTTTTCTGCCAAGTCTCCCCTTTTAAAGAATTTCTTTTTTCCCTAAAAAAAGACAGAAACAAAATTAACAACGACAAACATCAGTTTTTTCGAAGTTTTTAATTTGGTATTAATTTTTATTATCGTATATATTTATAGCAACTATCTATACCAGGCTTGGGAAGGCCAAATCTGGGTAATTCAACCTGACTCGCCTGATGCTGCCACAACCACAACCAAACTGAAATCAAATTTCTATGTTTTAGCTAAAAATAGCTCAAGGAATTTGTTGAGATTGTGGTTAAATTTAGTTTTGGCACAGACTTATTGTTTTTCACCTTTGCTTTGTAACACTGTAAATATTGTTCATAAAATGTAACTTTTACATCACACATCGCTTGCCAAACTAGGTGGGCAAAATTTTTGGCCCCTGGTTCAAAAACCTTGGCCCCCCCTGATTCATACTACCTATACTTTGATAAAAGGGAGTCAGTCAAGGTATCCTAATATTATTAACAAGACATGGAAATTAATGTTACTAACTCAGATGATAGGCTTTGTACTACAATATCTGAAACGAAATACTTAATCTAATTTATTAGTCATTAACTCATAAGCAAGGCACCAGGCTTTTGCATATCACTGTTTTCAGGAAAACGAGATCATTTTCATGTAAATGATATTATTGTTCCATAAAGAAGTCCAATAGGCAATTGAACACTATCTGCTAACTTCATCTATTTGTGAAATCCTACATTTTCCTTCAGGATGCCATGGGACAAATAGAACAAGAAGATTTAGATGAATTAATAAATAAACAAAACAAAGATAACGACATGAAAGAATCAACTCTACAGATAAAAGATGATGGAGTCACCATTGATAAGTTACTTGTAAGTAGGAATAAGAATTTTTAAATTAAGGACATATTATCGTTTGCTCAAAACTTCCGAGAAGGAGGCAGTGGTTGGATGCTGTCACTGATGTGCTTAGAACTGTGACAGAGTAGTTGGATGTAACAGTTTAGTTTTTGAGTTTGGGCGATACAAGGTACAAGTTTGTCTGCTAAGTCTGTATTTCCCAAGTCATGGGTCGCTACCCAAAGTTGGGTCGCATGAAAATCCTTTTGGGTCATCTGTTTTTTTTTTTTTTACAATAAAAACTTATAAGTTATTGATTTTATTTACTAGTAAATTTTATTGTCTATCATATATTCAGCTTTAAAGTGTTGCTCAATAGGAATTGTATATTAGGGGAAATATCACGGCGTAAAATCTAGCAGTATCTATTTTGCTTTAAATAAAGCTACCCCATAATTTCAAAAGTCGCTGATGGTAAATAAGTGCAGGTTTCTCACTTTAAAGTAATTTCCAGTGAAAAATTTGGGCACTGTCCTAGGTGATCTGAATTCTTATATCTTACCAGTAGCTAAATTTCAAATTGAGAAATTATCAATAAATATTGTGAACTATTCTAGAATAAGCTTTCTAAGCTGTATTTTGTGGTTTTGATATCGAATAATAAATCTAAATGCTACCTTGATGGCATTCTTCATTTTTTCATCATGCCTTACGCTCTGAATAAGCAGCCCGGGTAGTAAACAGCTTTTGTTATTTGTAGAGCTAGAATCTTCCAGCCTTTATCAAATCTAGTAGGAAATGGGTCAGTTTATTAAAGTGCAAAGCGTTAGCATTTGGGTACTCCTGTAATGTGTACACCATGTTATGGTTAGGCCATAATTTTATACTGATTTTCCTTATTTTAGTTTTATTATGAGTTCGAGGACTGTTCGAGTTAGCCAAGTGAATATCCCTCTTCCCATAGGTTCCAGTTCCATTACACAACTTGATGCAAATAGGCGAACAAAAAAAGCTACCTCCATATTGCTACACATACTTCTGGACTCAATCTGGAGCGCTGCATTTATGCTTTGTTTGATATTATATTAATTTTTCCAGGAAATGAAGCAAAAGCTTGATGAAGGAGATGATGATCATGATATTGAAGTTATATTGAAAACCTTACAGGTTTGAACTGGTTTTATCTTGTTCTGTCTAGATATGCCCAAGGACTCAACCTACTATGCCGGTTGGCATAAAATAGTCATTTCATCTATGATTCAAACTTGAAACGATAATAAGTGTTAGAACTTGATGTTTAAGGAAGGACGTAAACAAATAGTAGTACTGAATTTTTATTCATGGAAATGAGTGGAGTGGGTGTGATATTTCGCTTAGATTTCAATTTTTTTGTTGTGAAATCTTGCTGTGAATTTCATGCTTGTTTACCTACATATCTGGCAACAGTGGATAGATTTATTATTGTGCAGCAGAGTTTGATTCCTTTTCGTGGCATTTGTGGCCATTTTGTGCCATCAATTGCCGGATTCTCAAAGGTTCTGGTGCTGATTTATATGAATTAGTAGTTTGTAAATGGTTAGGATGCCTTAATTTATCGTATAACACTCCCAGAATGCCAGCCCATACTCGTGTGACGTTAGCCCACACTCGTGTGAGAAAAAAGTCGAAATCGACTATCGTATATTCTCGCATACAAGCTGGGTTTAAAACTCCAAAAAAGTTGCCAAACTAAGGGGTCGGCTTATATGCACATAACTTAGACACACTACAAAACAAATGTTATGTTATTTTTTAGTGGCGCTGATAAGGACTCTTATCTCCGTAATGATTGGGATATGTACATTACTGATAATAACTTTTCAGTCATGACCATACATAATATGGATTATTAATTTATTACATTCCTAAGTTTAAATGTTATTACTGATAATTAAAAGTGCTGATTTTATTTATCAATATGTGGCAAAGCGCCAAAATTCATTTGAATATTTCTCTTGACAACGAAACACCGTGATGAAGGCGAAAGGAAGCTATTATTCGAAAATTAGACAAAGAAGTATTTGAATACTTTGATATTCTTAACTGTGATACGGTGTGTTACGAATCGCAGGGCCGGCTTATATGCGAATTTTTTAAAAATAGGCGTTTTGAGACCGTTTTTAGGGAGTCGGCTTATCATGCGCTCGAGCGAGTCATATCATTTCATGCGCTATAGTAGGACGATATACTATCACATTATTATCTCGTCAGCAGCCGCAGTTATCCAATAGAGAGGATGGCCTCTGGGAAATAGAGAACGAAGAATTTGTTCCTAGCGATTCGGATGAAAATGATTTAGAGGATTCTGACTTTTCGGAAGGAGATTTCATACAGTCGGATGATGAAGAGGTCGAAGAAGAAGAAACTGAAGGTTTGTATGAATTTTATTGTTTTGTCGTTGGAAACTTGACGTAATATTTAAGAATTACATTATTGTTTTCCTACAGACATGTCGAGTTGTATTCCTACAGACATGCCAAGTCCACGGATTTGGAAGCGTCGACCCCAAGGTGCGAGAACAACATCTGGGGCCAAGAGGGGCCGTTGCACGCCCTCTCCAAGAATTCGTTCTTCGTACAAGTGGACGAAATCTTTTATAAGAAGAGCAAATAAGCCTTTCGGTGGTCAAAGAATGGTACAGAATCGCCAGCTAAATCGCACGTCCACGCCCTTGGACTGTTTTTTTCAGTTTTTCAACACCGCAGTCCTTCAATTCATCGTCAAGATGACCAATCTCAATGCCGTTCGAAAAATACAGGGTAAGCATCTTGTATTGCTATATTTGCTGTATAGGCTATTACTTTATTTATTATAAAACAAGACTAATAAATCCATTGGTGAATAGGTTTTCGTAAGATTGATATTTGATAATAGACCTGTCGACATCTTTTACTCACTTCATTTTTTTTTTATAGTGGCCGCTGTAACAAAGAATATTGAAGAAAAAGAGTGGAAAGATGTTGATGTGAAAGAAATCAAAGCATTTCTTGGAATGATTATTGCAATGGGAATCATTCGTCTTCCAAACATCCATCTTTATTGGCAAAAGAAAAATTGGATATTCGATGTACCAAGTTTCAATAAAATAATGCCGAGAGATCGATTTGTTGAAATACATAGATATATGCATTTTTGTGATGAAGCTTTAGCGCCAAGATCAGATGATCCAAAGAAAGACAAACTTTTCAAGATTCGTGGATTATTATCTTTACTGTTGCCATTGTTCGAGAGCTGCTACAAGCCAGGCCAAGATCTGTCGATAGATGAATCTTTGATACCTTTCAAGGGTCGAATTAGCTTTCGGCAATTCATAAAAAGGAAAAGAGCACGGTTTGGTATAAAGGTCTGGGTGCTGGCTGAATCTTCCACAGGGTATGTTTCGAGATTGAAAATTTATGTGGGCAGAGAACCAACAGCTGGCCCAGAAACCGGACTCTCCTCACGGGTTGTGAAATATTTGATAAACCCGTTCGAGGGATTGTACCATCGTCTGTACGTGGACAATTTTTACACGAGTCCCGAACTTTTCGAAGACCTTCTATCAAAAGGGGTTTTTGCGTGCGGAACCTTCAGAAGCAATAGTGTAGTGTTTCCCAAAGACCTTATTGTCACGCGTGTGAGTGCAATTCCTAGAGGAACAAGTGATTGGCGAGTGTCCAACCAATTGCTCGCCCAGTCATGGGTTGACAATAGGGTTGTGTATTTCTTGTCAACTTTCCACGAGCCCGAGTACGATCCAGCCGATACCGGTAAAAAAACAGTAAAAAGGAAAGTCCGGCGAGGCCACTTGACAGATTCTATTGAAATACCCTGCCCGCCTCTCCTCAAGGACTATAACGCAAATATGGGTGGTGTGGACCTTTCTGACCAAATGAGAAAGTATTACAACTTGACAAGGCGGTCAAGAGTTTGGTACAGGAGAATATTTTCTTATTTGATTGAAGTTGCAGTCCACAATGCTAGAGTTGTCGCTGAAAATCTCTCAGGACGGCGATGGACCGGGGTAGATTTCAGAATAAACTTAGTCACCTCTCTCATAGGAGGTCACAGAGCTTCTAGACGAACTTCGGAAACGGCATTGGCATCTCTGGCAAGGCTACAAAACACAGGATTACATTTTCCGGTTGCAACTAAGACACAAAAAAGATGCCCAGTGTGTTATAAAAAGTCGCAAGTCGCATCTGCAGAGGAAAAAATAACTGTTTCACGTGGAACCATAAAATGCACAGAATGTAATGTAAACCTTTGTGTGCGCGAAAACAAGAATTGCTTTCGCGATTGGCACACAAAGATTGAGTATTGGAGATGAAATTTGTCTTATATTTTTTTCATCACATATATTCATTACATATATTCGTTACATATATGCAGGGGTGGGATTCAAATTTTTTTGTCAGACGATTCCATCATTAAAGCCATATTGTTCAGCCGTTCCTGTTACAAGAAGACTTCAAATTTCAAATAAACCAGTAATGCTAACCGGTTCGCTGATCTCATAAAATTCTGTGAGACTGTTCTATGGAACCGGTGCGAACCGGCTGAATACCACCACTGCATATATGCCATAGCAAATTGAATACTCTGTTTTGTTTGTGCTCTGTTTTTTGTATAAATGTCCAAATTCACTCAAAACAATTGTGATTGATGGAAGCATTCAAATAGGCTGTGTACAGTGTGGGTCAGACAATATAAGTCGCTTTTCGGATAGCAATAAACTGAGGTCCAGATGGGCATTCTTTTATCATGAGTCAAAAGTATGGTATATATTACCCAGCATTGATAATAAATAAAATAATTAAAGATTACGCTATTCTTAGGCCCAACGGCTGGCAATATAGGCCCGCTTTCAGATAATGAAATTAGTAAATAGTTTTTATGAGTTGTTTCCATTCGATTTTATCACCATTCCATGAAATATTGTGAGTGCGAATACATAAAAACAGCTGAAAAATACAGCCAGCGAGACGTGCTAATCGCGCATGACCTACGCAAACATAACACATACTCCAGAATTGTGTGTACGAATATGGAGGTAACCAATTTTATTCGCCTACTTCACATCAAGTTGTGTAAAGAGACTGAAACCTTAGGCTAAAACAGATAGTCTCCGAACTGGTAATATAACTAAAATAAAAAATTAGAATAAAATTAAGGCCTAATCCTAACCTGGTACACATACTACGGAAGTTCTCTTGAGGGTAATATCTTGGGTGTATGTTTTTGTTCCATTTGGTAACCATAGTCATATTAGTAAATAGTCAAAGTTGAGCCTCTAAATCTGCCAGAATAGTATGTTAATACTTTTATCTGTCAGAATTTATATTCTGAAAATAGAGTGACTTGTGTATGTCGAAGATTTTGTTTCGATATCTCAATATTGGTAGTTGGATCCAGAGTCAGTTTTCCAGCTTTGATTCTCGAATTGGGAGGCAAAATTGTTGTCAACATGAACATGGGAGTTTCAGTATTCAATTGCTCGAAGTCTCAATTGTATAACTTCTGTCAAATTCAATTTGAAACAACGTTTCATTATGAAAAATAAAAAGTTGAGACAACTCTGATCCCTGATAGTATATTCATATCAGTTTTTTATCTCAGATTCTGGAGTCTTCAAGAAAATTTTTTGTCAAATTTAAAATGGGAGCTTAGTTGGAGTTGGATTATTTTCAATGGCGTGAAGTCTGTATAACTTTGTCAGTTTCAAGTCAGATTGAATTTGAAGCAAAGTCTTTTATGATAAATAAAGATTTTGAAACAGCCCTGATACATTGAAGCAATCTCTTTTTATAGAATGCCTGGAACAGGCAGTGGTTTTCAATCTTCAAAAATAAGAAGTACAATTCAAGCTCTGTCGTACCCACTGTTTGCATTAGAACAGCACTAACGAGTTTTCTATTTTCAGTTTCTTCTGAAATGTTGGGCGGAAGAACTGAACAGTGTTCCCGCAGAAAAGAAACGAAAAATTCAAGTTCGGACTCAATTTGCAATCCATAGACAAACTAAAGGATACCTTGCTCCTTTATTTTCCTTTCTCAAGAAGAAGACGATCGCCCCAGATATTCTCGCTTATTTAACAAGGATTATCAAATTTGTATTGGACAGAGATTATGTCAAGGTACGGTTTCACTTCAATCAAACAAGAAACTAAGGGCATTAAGTGATTCCACAACTGGCAAAAGCTATTCATATAGTAATGGTAACTATTTGTAACACCAGCTCATATATGCGAATTTTTATAAATTCATCGTTTTAGGGCCGTTTTTATGAGATCGGGGGATATACGGTAGATATCATTCTGTTATTTCGGGAGAGGAAAGCTGACAAACTGGCTTGATCATATAGCAAACCACAGTCTCTCGTCCATTCTGTTGCACTATGGGATTAGTTGGCCATTCGTTTCAGATGCGTGGACTTTAAAGTTATAGCTTCCAAACCAGAAGGGTAATAAGTTGGATTTACTTTACCATATCAATGGATATGAATAAAAAGGCAAAGACTAAAATTGGAAAATATCTATTCTTACATGAAATATATATTTTTAGCCTGTTGCATATAACAATTATTGGGCTTAGCATGGTAACAACAACTTTTCTATTTCTATATATTTTTATGACAAATTAGCTAAATAGCAGTGTTGTTTTTAACCATGTTGCTTCAACAATTTAAATGCCAAACATGACTTGATTCTAATTTTGTCAGAATAAACCCTTTTGTAAATGCCTATTTAGCATGAGTTTATTGTGCGATAAATCGGTCAAGTAGACCATCTTGCTATTCTAGAATAATGTTTGTCACCATATTCTATAGTTATCGGAGCTTGGAAATCTCTATAGGAAGTTAGTATTAGTGTTTAACTAACTAATCTGACTAAAGTAGAAAAAAAAATACAACCACTTATGAATTATTACTAAAGATAACTAAAATTTTTCAGGCAAACGACGTCTATTTACAAATGGCAATCGGAAATGCACCTTGGCCTATTGGGGTGACTATGGTCGGAATTCACGCTCGAACAGGCAGAGAGAAGATTTTTTCGCAACAAATTGCTCATGTTTTGAACGACGAAACCCAAAGAAAATATATTCAAGGATTAAAAAGACTTATGACAGTTTGCCAAAGGGTTTTCCCAACTGATCCATCGAAATCTGTTGAATATGACGCGACTAAACCATTGGCTATGTGATACAAATAAATTCTGGTAATAATTATTGGACAATTATTAGTGGTCTGGTCGGCTTCAAGAACATTCGAAGCTGATAAAAAAATGTGGATTGAGATCAATTCAGAAGGAAAGCTTGACCTACTCTTGGAATATTGTGGTAGTCAGCAAACTCGTGTTTGCTCGTGAGCAGCTGGCGACGAGTGTTATATTTGGGATTTCAAAAGTTATGTATTAGATTTATGTAAATAGTGTCATGTTAATGCAACTTATGTATACATACATGTATTTTTGAACTGGGAGAACCTGTTGCCAGTGAATTTGACACAAAAGAGAACCAATTCTTAAAATTTTGATTTACACAACCGGTTAAGACTGTGTGTGGTGAGTTTCATAAGTAACACTGAAAGTAAAGAACAGACTCCGAAACAAAATGAATGAAAATTTATCACCTCAATGTCTATTTTGACCATTAAATGTTTTTGCGCTTTGGCACAGTCTGAAAGAGAGAGATTTATTGTCTTAACCAAAAAACAAGCGATGGTACAATTTGATACATTTGATATAGACAGGGGGATACGGCCATCAGAGTTCTCCCCCCAATTTTAGTTTTTGGATTCGCAGTTGATGTATGTGAACAATGTACAAAAAATAAAAACTTTCTGCTCATATTTATGTTATTGTATGTTTTGTGATTTACAAAAAATAAACTTTGTTTGTATAGTCAGTTTTTACAAAAAGTCTTATTTTTTTGAGAGTATGCTCAAAGCAAATGTACAAGTGCAAGGGTAGAAACAAAATCGCTGCTCGGAACATGAGGATTTCAACCATCTTTTGTTTCCTGAACTCTCTTCTGTTTACATAATCACAGGCTTTTACGATATATATACAGGGTGTCCATAAAAGATAAAATCCCTTCACAATTTCAATTTTGTTATGAAGACAGTTCTCAATGTATCTTAACCAGGTTTGTTGTTATTTTAATCAGTAATTAAGTATTTTTACTTCATTTAGTACATCTGTGAGGGCCAAAACAATATATGGTATTAATAAATTCCTTTTGCAATTTTGAGACTTTATGGACACCCTATATTATAAAATATTTTCGAATCGTTTTGTAGGTGCCAAACAATTAGAAAATGAGTCTTTTGGCCAATTGAACCTTCTATGAATTTGCAATGAAATGTGACAATTCTGACTAAGACATTTGTAAATTAGGACATTACCATTCCCCACTAATACCTAACCTGCATGCATGCAATTTCTCTCCTTGTTATAGTTGAATAATGGGTAGTCCCATAATAATGTATGTCTGACCTTGGTCCGACAAACATTACAGAAATATATTTGTGTTAGTGTGCAGCAAGACTCTTGAATCAGTTAGGAAAGATATTTTTAATTTAGTTTTTTTATTGGACACTGACTATGTCTTGTTTGAGGTGGGTGGGTATGGGATTCAAACCTTACTCAAGAATATGATATGAATCTAGAATTGGCACTATTTAATATTGCGCAATATATTTTATTGTCTCAACAGTGCATCCTATAATGACACTTATGTAATATTGTCAATGGCTCTACGGTTCTTTGCATACTTGTATAACTCGTACACACAATGTGATTTTGGTTGGCTGTGTATTACAACAATGACATATTGTCTTTGGCCATACAATACCATTGTCAATAACGCTATAGTTCTTTGTATTACCCGCGCACACAAAGACATTTTGCGTTTCACATATCAATGTGCCTTGGCGTTTCTCTTTATTCAACTCAAACGAAAGTAGGCAATTCCTTATTTTAAGAAAGATACCAATTCCGAATTTGCTATGAAATGAAGCCAGCTTTGCATCTGAGTGGGTGTGTGTGACCTTGCTTTAAAAACTTCCCTTCAAAAAAAATTAATCTTGATGATACTCAATATTTAACCTGTTCGCCTATTAAATTATTTGTATTCTCATAAAAAGGTTTCTCTGTTTCATATTGCATCATTTCAGTGTTGTTAATTATTAAACCATATTACGATTTCAGACCGAAGTCCTTTTCTCTGTAATGAGTGACTTATTTAATGAGCGCTTTTATTTAAGTTGGTGTATCTGTTGTCGGTATAAATAAAATATCTGCTTGAGACTTTGAGAGTGAATAAAAGTAGAATGATTCGCGACTTGTATTTTTGAACTGCCAGGGTAGACATACATTATCCTATTTTTTTTTGAGTCTAGGACTAGAAACCACACAATTCAAAGTATTGACAGGAAGTTGTTTATGATCACTGATAAATGTATAGTGTATTATAATATGGGTATGTTATTCAGATTAAAAAGAAATCATTTGTTTATTTTCTAGAGCAGTAGTTTTCAAACAGGGTTTCATCAGGGCAGTCCACAAGTTCACCTAAAACACATGAGTCTATATTTTTATATGTATAGGATGTCCATAAAGTCTCAACATATTTTAAAATTGCAAAGGGAATTTATGGATAGCATATATTGTTTGGCCCTCACAGATGAAGTGAAAATACCTTACTTTAAACAATTACTGATTAAAAAACAACAAACCTTGTTAAGATATATTGAGAGCTGACTTTATAACAAAATTGAAATTGTAAAGGGACTTTATGGACACCCCTGTATATTGTTTAAATACAGCAAGGTTTCCAACTATTAGCGGACTTGTTTTCCTTTAAAGGTTTTTCTACGCCTGCGAAATTGATTTTATGTTTTATTGATTCTGACATGACAGTTAAACGCAAAGGCGAAGTGAGTGTGATTTTTTCGAAGACAGTCATTTATCAATCTTAGTTTTATTTGAGAAGTATAAGTATTTGGGCAATATGTTGGAGGTTATGGTTAAAGAGAGAAGAGTCTGCAAATTGTCATCTGTATATAGTGCAAAATGTCAAGATATAGTCATTTATGTCAAGATAATCCATATTCGAAGGCAATCACTGGTGCTGCTCTCATAGCGATGATTTTTAGATAAATTACTATTCGTTGTTAATTCCTAGAATATAAGGTATCTATCAGCAAACCTAAATGGCTCGACAGGGCGGTGGTGATAAAATACTGCATGTGTTTTTTGACAAAGTAAAAGAGAATGTTCGTGCACATCAAAAGCAAGTCTCGCTCGACTTCCAAGAACGTTTGAACGAACCTGTGAAAGAAGAACTCCCTCGTTTATTTGAAATCGATGTTGACGCATTTTATCAAGGAGAATATTTTGCTAAAGAAGCGAGTGATTATCAACCATTGCAAGAATTTTCAAGAGAAACTCAAGAAAGAAATTTTCATACTCGGAATGCTGAAAAAATAAGTAACTTGAGTGAAATTTTTCTCCCAGAGCCCAGTGAGTTTGAAGATTCGGAGAAAGTCGATTTTGAAAATTTACTCCGTCATGTGATGATATTAGGTCCAGCAGGATCAGGGAAAACAACGGCCTTAAAACGGTTTGGTCGTGATGCGCTAAATGGTGAAATTTCATATATACAGGATGGAGATCGATTTATACATATTGTCAGATGTCGAAGTTTTGAAAAAGATGAGAAAATTACGGTGCGAGAGTATTTGTTCCGATACATGTATAGTCCGCCACTTTCAGATGATGAAAGTAGAATCGGATACAAATGGGTACTTGAAAATTCTGAAAAAGTTGTCTTGATAATCGATTCACTGGATACACTCGGTCATGAGTTGGATGATGAAACTGAATTGATTGAACCTTGGGATCATGCTTGTCCATCAATCATCCTCTACAACATTTTTATTGGTCATATCCTCAAAAAAGCGAAAATTCTGTCTTCTTCGAGGGAGTACAAAGTGAAAAATTATGGTGGAAAATTGCGTCCTGATAGAATCATTTCTCTTGGAGGTCTCAACCGTGAATCGATTCAAAATTTAGTATTTGGATTCCTAAAAGAAGATGACGCCAAAAGAGCTTGGGAAATTCTTGATAAAAAATGTCCGGATTTGATGGCCCTTTGTGAAATTCCAATGTTTCTTACATTTGCCATGGTTGTACTAGCTGAGAAGGAATACGAATCTTCTTTTGTTCCAAACACAGGAACTGGAATTATGATAAACCTCTTACAATATCTTTTGCATTCCAAGCATGCTCGAGCATCTGGAGAACATGACATTGAATATGTAGTCCATGCTGTCAATAAGATGAAAGAATTGGCTTTCAAAGGAACCATGAAAGGAAAGGTTATTTTCAGCGAGGAAGATCTGACTGAAGTTGAATTAACACCAAATGAAGTGACAGATCTTGCTATTGTTGTTCCTGGAAGTCTAAACAAGGAAGAGCAATATCAGCAGATATTGGAACGTGATATAGAAGCCATGTTTGCTCACCAGATTATTCAGGAGGTGCTTACAGCACTGTTCATTGGACAGAAATCTGAAAAGGATTTTTCAGAGTTTATCTCAAAGTATTTACATACGTCCGAGTTCTCAGTTATCAGAAGAATGCTGAATGGTGTATTTCTGGACCCTTTGGTTTCGGACGCCTTGGAAGAACTTCTTGAGGGTGAGTTGAGATATTTAATGCGTTTATAATTCATCCAGATGTACTCAAATTTTGACACCAGGAGAGAGATGGAGGGGGTATGGCCTCGTATTTATAACTTGAAATACATAGTAATATCATATGCTTTTCACACAGAATATTTGTGGATATCCTCACCCACTCGAAAACATATTAGTGTCAAATGCAAAAAATAGATGATCGAAATAAATTTTTTTTAGTTTCTCTACAAAAACAATCGCATCAAGCAGACATTATACATTACAATTAATTCAAGCGAAATGCCTAAAACTAGTATAAAAATGGAAACAAGATCAATCATAAAGTAGCAACTAAATAAATATGTTCTCAAATTCTAGATCATTGCGAAAGAAAAATTCATATTTTGGTGAAGAGTATGGTTGCTGAGGTTGAAAATTTTGAACAACTTAGCAAAAATGGCCGACTGGAGTTGATTCGTGCAATACATGAAGCTGGAACAGGCAGAAAAGATATTGTTCCTTCTGTATGGAATTCAATCAATCTTTCCTACATGCCGTTGATGACAGCTGACTTACATGCTCTCGCCTCATCTTTGTTGGATTGTTCTTATCTCAAGCAACTTATTTTATGGCAATGCAATCTCACAGAGGAAACTCTTCGTGATTTTGCCAACAGATTAGAGAATTCCAGCGTTAAGGTATATTTCTTCCAGTGATGTTTTCACTCTTTAACTGGGGATTAGACAACTAGTCATTTGTACTTGAAAATCTACTATATTTGGAAAAACCTAAAATCTTCGCTGTTAAGCATAGATCAGCCAATTTCTTGAACTACGGATGAGACAAAAATGTATACGAAATGTCTGTAGAATTAAAACTAATACAACATACATATTACTTACATTTGCTTGGAAAATTAATTTTCAATTAACAGTTTAGACAAGTGTGTTTGTGGCTCTTTGTATAATTATAACAAACACTCAAATGAGCTAGGCTAACTTATTCCTGGTGCATAATATAGCCCATTGTTTAGATACCATCTTTAAATTATTTTTCGGCCAATGCTGAAAATACGTAACATACATATACGGTGTAGAATAAAATAAAAAAAGCATTTCAGGGTGGAGGAAGACCCCAAAAAACGGTGCTGGTTATCCAGCGGCATCACCCTAGATGGGGTCTAACACAGCATAAAAATAGAAAGCTTATTAAATTTAATATGAATATAGAAACAAAATATTCACACTAATATATTTGTATATTAGAAACCTTTGAGTATCCGTAGTTCAAGTATATGACTATATTTAATTTTGTTATGTAATAATCTATCTAATGTTTCTAATCAATGATGATGACTGGTAACTCTATGAATGAGATTTAAATATTTTGACACATTTTTTAAATCTAAAATGAATCTCAAAATTTTTTTAGATTGACAAACTTGATTTTGCAAGAAATACAAAAATGTCACCAAAAGGCTTCAAGATTATTGGTAACTTAGTGAATCAACATGATGTAAAGAATGTTAGTTTGGTTGGTTGTCAAATAACACAAGAAGAAATGATTTCTTTTGATGATGGACTAGGAAACGCAACAGTGAGAACTTTTATTTAATTTTATTACTTGTTTTTCACTTTTTCAGGGCACAAAGTATTGGCATTTTAAACAATGTTTTTCCGATTGAATTTAAACTATTCTTTCATTTCCCCATCATTTATGAAACTTTTAGTTTGTTTATTCTTCTCCTTTACCTTCATGCAACAATCTGCCTTCAAATAGAAGGTTTTGAAGGGTTGGTGGCATATAGTTTTTATAACAACCAACTTACTTTATCTACTTATACAGCCTGAACAAGATTTTGAATTCATGAAAGGAGCTTACGCTAAGCCATGAACTTTGATAGTAGTGGAAGCGATTGCACGACCAACCGTTTGTAACGAGCAGTCCAGCAATTTTTTCGCTCATATTTTTCTTAACAGAAGATTAAGAAGTGGCTGAGCAAGCATGCCGCTAACATTTGTTATGCTCGGCCAACTCTCCAGATATGGCTCAAACTTAAAATCTCTAATGAATGATGCCAAAACTGTTTAAAAATGCTTCTATTATTTAGAATGCTTATATTTTCAATTGTCTCAGCAGATCATGAAAATTGATATTGCTTACAATGACAAAATATGTTCAAAGTTTGTTGGTGATTTTGTAAGACGTCGACAAGTTCAACATCTAAACATGGATCATTGTAAAGTGAATAGCGAAGAGATCAAAGAATTTGAAAAAGGACTTGGAAATGCTACGGTTAGTGTAACAAGTAAATTGATACTATTCATTGAAATAAAGTCCAAAGTTTCAATAAAATCCATTTTTTCTCTTATAACTTGAAATTCTTTGTAATTCCAAAAAAAAATTTTGTTATACTGAAGAATATCAGGATATTAAACATAGTAGAAGATATGAATTCCATTTAATGATTAGAGCTTTTTACTGTATTTCAACCCCTTTCTGATCTGTGGCCTCTTAGGGGGCCATGAGCCCCTGGTTGGGAACCTCTGTGTATAAGCATTACCAAACCGGAAAAGGATTGCAGTATTTTCAAAGACAATACTTTGTGAAGCCTTTCTCCGAATGATATGATTAAAACACCTCAAAAAAAAAATACAATATCAGACATTTGAGTCCTGAAAAAAATATGTATTCAACATGATTACTGTACAATATTAATATTCTTTGTTTTGAATTTCTAGTTACCAGCATTTATATATTTCAAAGAATTTTAATTATTAAATTTTCAAGTCGAAAGTCAAATATTATGCAGGATTTTGATCTAGTGGAATATAATTACAGGTATTAGAAATATTAGATGTTGGCGCCAACCCAGATCTTGGTGAAGATGGACTTGCAGTTCTAGGTGGGATAGTCAAAAATGGCACACTGCAGGAAATCAGCCTATACGAAAATTATCTCACAATATCAAGTGTAAAAGCGTTCGATCAAGCTATGGGACTCGATTCTACTGTGAGTTCTCTTTTTAGAAAAAAAAGAATGAAATTTTCAGATTTTCTAATTTTTGTTCTAAATTGAGTTTGTGTCTTAAATCCATATTGTCACCAAGTGGTTTTCTTGCTCAAGTGGTTCACTCATGTGCATGTTTTTTATCACTAATATCACTTTTGATCACCAATATTAGTAGTTTGCCCCTTTATTTCATGAATCGAGCTAAGCGTTAGGAATGCGCGTGCCATCTCACCTCCGATTACCGCAAAAGTTCGAATCCGGTGGAAGATAGTTATATGTGAGACTCCTCAGCATCTCATAATCACTGGTCAGTCATGGCTTCTTTTCACAACAAGTCCATGCATTCGAAACAAATAACTGGTAAACTATTCCTATACCCGACATGGACTGGTAACCAGAAAAAGGTCATGCATGGTTCACTGTGCCTATGCCTTCTTATCTCCTCGATAATCCTATGTTACTATTTTTCAATATCATTAAAAAAACTGTTAATATATGGTTTGCAATCATACACTAATTTTGTGTCTTGCTTTTAGCTTACCTCAGTTGATTTTGGATTCAACGAGAACATGGAAATTGGATGTTTTGAAGCCATTGGTAATTTTACAAGAATACATGAAGTTAAGAACATAAGCTTGGCAGAATGTCTGGCTTCCAAGCAGCTTAAGGCATTTGAAAAAGGATTGGGCGTCTCAGAGGTAAATTTTAAATGATGTAATGGAATTCTATGTTTATTAAATAAGTGAAAGAAAAATCAATAAGTTGGCAAATTTCATGTTAGACCTCCCTTTGTGTTACCAAATTAAATAGAGTTTGGAAATAGCTAACTATTGTAGCTAATCATTCTATATACCGTATTACCTGGTAAATAAGACAAGGCCCGTTTTTAATCCTGAAAAAATAGGTTTTTGCATAGAACGATCCAATAAGACGGGCAGTAAAATTGGAAATTCAAATTACCATGCAACGGTGAGCGGTCGAGGTGTTTGCGCATTCGTTAAAATAACCTATAATGACTTTTTCTTGTAGCGTAATTTTCAATTCATGACAACTAAGGGAATTCAAACTGTCTTTCAATTTTAATCTAATTGTGCTCGACGTAACACAGCAATCTGTAGACATAATAATGTGAGATAAACTGCCTGATTACATTTAGTTTTGATACATATTTTTGCGCTCCTGCAAATTTTATCTGCCATTATAAAAATCCCAAGATCTGCTATAAAATCCCGGAAAGTACAATTCAATTAAGGGCAATAAATATACATATGAAGTGTATATATCAAACATACCGGTACATATTCATCATCTCGAAATCTCCAGAAACGAAATTTGTTGCTTCATTAATTTAATAGTGATCAATTTAATCTTCGATTGTGACAATATAAATAGTATCACTGCTCCAAAATACCAACACAATCCGTGGACATGAAGATGTACGATTATTTGTTGTTTTGATTCGTATTTTTTCAAATTAAAATCATATCTCAGCTGTTGCGGCAACAATTAATCCGCTCCATCGTAATGCTGTCACTCATTATTCTAAGGATTTCACCGTAAAAAAAACCTTGAGTCAGCGATAATATCCCACAGAGTAAAATTTCAAAAAATGAATTAAATATACTTTACATTAATTATTATACATATATCATAGTCGGTCAGTCCTTGTCGGTAGTTGTGGAACACAAAATGTTTTTGCGATTTGCAATTCCAAAAATCATCTTTAATCTGTCACAGGCCATCCTAAAATAAATCTGGGTCACATATTCACTCCTTTGTTTATCTTGTGTGCATCTTGTCACACATGATTATGTAATACCTCCTTTCTCACAAGTGCCATGGTTGTTTGAGAACAATAAAGTAATTATCGTGTCTTCGTTGCACAAAACATGTGTCGCGGGAAATTTGAGATTTAGCTAAATAATTGCTGACATAAAAGATGTTTACGGCTTCTACGTTTTTTTCTGGTTCGAATTGAATAATAAGCCCACCCCGAAAATAGAAAATTATCATACTCGCTCAATAAGACGATCCCCCCATAAAAAATTAGGCCAAAAATTTGGGTCTAGAAAAGCGACTTATTCGCTGGGAAAAACAGTATATATAAGGTTTTGGATTGTGACATAAGCAAATAGCCTTGTTATAATCACCACGAATAGGATAGGTTTTACATATTTATCCCAGAGGAAAGGAAAGCTGATAAGAGGGCTCAATCATATGGAGAACCACAGGACCAGTCAAAGTCAAGTATGGGATTAGTTAGCCAGTTATTTATCTTTTCTGAAGCATGGACTTGATGGTGGAGGAAGCCATAACCGACCAGTGGATATGTGAACCACCAAACGATAGTGAAAAGTTCAACAATCCTCTCGCACATAACCATTCCCGCATGGGATTTGAACCTGTGCAGGGTAATCGGAGTGCGAGTGTATTCCTAACGCTTAGCATGGCACGCCACACCGCTGAGCAAGGAATCAAGTCATCTACTAGGATTTTATCATGTAATTACCAGTGTATCGCTCAGCTCAATGCACCAATGTTCGAAACTTTTTCCAGTATTAATTTCCTGTTTTCATTATTTTTGTCAGCACTTGGAGCTTCTAGATTTGAGCATGAATCATTACTTGAAACATGATGGGATTTCAACTCTAGGCGAAACGGGACAAATATGCGCTTTACAGAAACTTATTTTAGTTGAAGTAAGACTTGATGCAGATCTTCTTTCATTGCTGGACGAAGGGCTTGGAATGGCGAAGGTAATTAAATATGTGTAGTGAGGGCTACGTCAGTAATAAAACTAGAGAAATTTAGGCCGCATTGGGCCTAAAATGTCAAGGCGTTTTTGACCATGTTTTGGCCACGAGAGACCGTGGTCTGCAAAAAAACAGAAGTTGCCTCATCAACACGACACATACTGTACTAAACTCTTGCAATGCCAATTCAATGAACTCCTAAATAAAATGTGAAATATTGCATTTGCTTTGGGCTCGGGCCTGCAAATCCAGTTAATTAGTCAGGCTCAGGTCAGGGTGGGTTTAATACCCACGGGCCGGGCTGGAATTTTTCGGGTCCGATCTCACCTCTAATTAGAGTAATGTGCATCTCAATAAATTTGCTGAAAGTGCTTTTCATGTGGAATATCTGCAATTTCCTTTATTCGTCTAATACTTGCCATGAGGCTATAATTAAGGACTGCGATCGGTGGAAAAACTCTTGCAAAACTGAGTTGAACTGAATAACAGTTTCGCTCCTTATTCTTCGTTATTACAAATGTTTGTTTTCTTTACTAAGCTTGAGTTGATGGATATTTCTCTCAATGATGGTCTCAGTTCTGAAGGGCATGGTAGAGCTGGCTCAAAGGGAATGGATGCATTGGCCAAAATTGTTGTGAATCATGATATAAAGAATCTGGGTATCTCTGGCTGCAAGTTGTGTGCAGAAGATGCGATCAATTTTAGGGAAGCAGTTGGAGAGTACAAGGTGAAATATTTTGTTTTGAATGAGTATGGTGAGACTGTCTTGGTGATAAATAAGCTACTGACTGTCTATGTTTTATAAAAATGTTGTGTACAAAATGTACCAAAGTTATCTTGGCAGTTTTACTAAATAGAAATACACAAGTTTTTTGATTGTTACTGGTTCGAGTCCGGCATAATTTCACTGTTGGACACATCAATGGGTATGGAAGTAATTTTCAAGATTCAACTTTTCTTTTATTCAATTTCTTTTTCTGTCAAAATGTTTGTTAAAATTATGCGGTACTCTCGTAGTATGTGAACCGACATGGCGGCCGCCGGAACACAGGATGTGTACCAGGCTAGGGTTAGGCCATGATTTCAGGTACAAATACTATGGAAGTCACTTGCCTACCCCCTGAACTCATAATATGACTAAATTAAGGAAAATTGGAATAATATCGTTGCCTAACCCTAACCAGGTACACATACTACGTTCCGGTGTCTGCCATCTTGGTTTGCATACTACAGGAGTACCACATTATGAATGGAGTGTGCAAAGAGTTGGGAACTAGAAAGAAAATTACTCTCAAACATTAATAATACTTCATAATTTTTTGTTTATATATTTTCTAGGTTGAAAAACTGATGAACAAAAAGAGAATCAACTATTTCAGTTCAAGTTCAAAAGTACATGATAATCAGCTCGATGCCATGTCTGAATTTCTTCCTGTTGTATCCAAGAATATTGACATGGCGGGATGGGAGTTGAAACAGCATGAGCTGGATTTCCTAAAAGCAAAGGCTCTGCAATGTTCCCAGAAAATTGTAAGCACAAATTTCTAAATTTAAATGGCTATTGTATTTCCAGTATTGAAGTACATATCCAATTTAGTTCACCCCCAGTAAGATGTCACATTAGGATAGTAGAAACCTGATATATTCGTAAAAACTTTTTTAGTGGACAAAGCCAACCTTGATAGGAAGCAATGGTCTTTAAACCGAATATACCTTTTTATTCCCACATTCAGTGCACTACGAACTACATAACAGAATATTTTATTTATTTGTCAACGTTTAGTTTACTAAGATATAGTAAATTAAATCAACAGACTTTTTAAAATTTTCAGAATCTTTCGCTCGACTTTGGCACAGAAAATGCAACAAATACAATTGTCATTTCTTCACCTGGTTTCCAAGGTGAGTAGAGAAACTTTTAAACTGGAACCTTCCAAAAGTAATTGGTGGTTCACACTCACAGTGGTTAGGGCGGCAATCGGCAGCTCCGAAGCTCTGGCTCCCATGTATCAAAGTGACTACAGGATTTCTTGCTAGAAGCAGTGGGCTTCAATGAATGCTGGGGGCGTAAAGTCGATTACTACTCACTAATTACACCTCACAGCTAGGTATAAGTCGAGAGAGGTGAAAATAGATCATATTAAAATACTTCAAATTAGTCATTTTCACCATATCATATCATTTTTTCATTTCATTATCACTTGGTATGACCCTAATGGTTTTTCAGCCTAAGTGTATTTACCGTATTTCCCGGCTAATAAGTCGCTTTTCTAGATCCAATTTTTCGGCCTGATTTTTGTTGGGGGTGCGTCTTATTGGGCGTCTTATCTTATTTTATTTTTCTGTGGTCTGTTTGTTTTTTGCAGATGTCTCCTCAAACATGATATGTGTTAACCTTATATTTGGTTTGATATATTTTATGATGTACTCGATGATGCCAGGGCGTCTGCCTATCATGATATGTAATTGACTTTGTACAGGCATCTGTTATTTGTAATATTCTTTAAAAAAACTCCCTTGTAATCATCACTGCCTGGTGTCATGAAGCACTCCCTATTTACACCCGCGGTTATGGTACTTTAAAGAGAATCACAGTGATTTAGGACCCTTCCGTTTTGCCGATTCGACGGAAAACGTCACAAGCAAGAAAAGACATCTGTTGATAAACCCATGGATGTACAGTGTAGTACTTATCACATTGTATTCAAAGGTTATTTCAACGTTCGGGTTAATAGGTTGTTCAAAATGATTGCCCCTTCTTAACTTGAAATTACCTCTTTATTGTTAAGGAATAATTGATTCTGTGAGTATGGTTATACCAAACAAACATGATCTGGTTCTAACCATCTAAAATTATAGGTTGTTCAAGATGACTGACCCGTTTTAACTGAAAATCACCCCTTTTTTGTCAAGAAAAGGTAATTCTGTGAGTATAATTCTACCAAATAAGCATGATCTGGTTCAATCCATATAAAATTATTAGCGCATATTAGTGTTTAACTGACAAGCAAAGAAGCAATTTTTCTACCCCATCTTATTGTAGGGCTATATGGAAAAACCCTCTCAGTGCTGAAAATAGGCTTCGTCTTATTTGCCGGGTAGCCCTATTAGCCGGGAAATACGGTACTTATTGTATGCATTAATCCAGAATCGAAGTTACAAGAATCGAGAAACAGTGAATCGCAGGATCATGTTGTGGCTTTTACCGAGGTTGAGGGCGTGGTGGACCCGGATGGAGGAATGTTACAGATTGGCAACAGCTCTATAACTTTTCACCCTGGGACTTTCCAAACCAGAACAAAAATATGGATGAGGCTGGAAATTGACAGCACTAAATGGCCAGAACATTACCTGTGCATCACTCCAATGCTTTATGTAAAAGCGGAAAATCGTCTGACAATTCCAGCGACAGTTCGGCTATCTTCTTGGTGCAAAAACAATGGCACCAAAGAGTCAAGAGGAAGCAAAGTCGATGTTCTGCATTGTCCAGACAACGAATCAAAATGGAGAGTCATTGAGCGCCTTCCATTCAATAACGACCTCATTTTTCAATTCGATTGTCTTGATTTCAGCCCCGTTGTTATTGGTCAGGAAGAAGGTCATTTGCAGCAAGATAACTTCGTTGTTCAAGGTTTTATTTATGGACACAAACACAATCTTTCTCTTTTGTTTTGTCTGAATAACGAGCTCGTTAAAAGTCAACTTGATAGTGATATGAAAAATCGTAATGCAAAATCATTGATGGCTTTCACACTCATTACCGTAAAATACGAGGATATACTGAAGACAGTTATGAGAATGGAAGGTGAATCAGAAGATCAAGAAAATCCAATTTCGAAATCTTTTCAAATCAATGAGGATTTTCTTCAAAATATTGGAAGAAAACACTTCAATTTTTCCATACCAAAAAATATGAAAAAATTCTCTTCGATTCAATTTCATTGTGACCTTTACAAAAATGATGTCATTGAAGAAGATGACCAATGTTTTTACTGTGAGTATCATTATTTTATATCAGCAGGGTATTATTTAATTGGTTAGCTAGTGATGAGTATTCATGAAACTGCTGATGGATTTAAGTTGAAGCTGGACGAAGCAGTTACCAGTAGTCATCGAGGTCCTACCTCTACCACCTGACTGCAATGTCCAGGATGGTTGTTGGACTTCATGTCAATACAAAAAGATTCATGTAACTATCGGTCACAGTTTTCTTGAATTATTCACATCTTTTTATCTGAGCTAATAAATTACTCTCTAATGACCTTAGACTGTACCTATCTCTAATAATGACTTCCCCTTCATAAGAAGAAAAATGAAATGCTATACTACATCTCATAAATTTGATTTATGTTTTTAGGGGAATTGAGTTCTGTTACAGAATCTGGCAAAACTGTTCATGTGCATGGTATGTATGCATCAACATTTTTTAATACATTGCAACTATTAAATATCTGTCTACACACTTTTTAAGCACTGGCAAGGAAAAATTTGCATTAATTTTTAAGTCGTAATGAACTGCTACCAATTATGACAGCTGTTACTTTTGACTGCCAAATGTAAGTTGATCATTTAATATTTTGGACGGCGAGGTAGATTAGGGTTTGAAGGTTTTGAATTAACTGGTTGGACAGCTTACACACCTCTAATTAAAATCCCATGACTTCCACCTCAACCAAAGCGTAACAAATTGGGTAAGCAATGCATAACCAAAAAAGATTTGGGTTTTCCAAATAACAGTATCTCCTTGCATATTATGAGATAGCAGTGGCTGCTTGTATTGGAGTGAAAGGCGTGATAGAATGTCGTTATAAAAAAAGTATTTAGGACTGTTAAAAAACACTCAGAAAATATACTCTACTTTTTTAAGGGGACGTCAATGCTGGAGTTTTTGCTGTCAATTCAGAACTGAAATTTGACGGAGGAGAGTACGAAATAGGTCCTGTAGTACAAAATATGTATTCTTTTTTTTTCAGTTCTTTAAAGTCTGGTTTTCTGTGAATAAATATAGAATAGGATTTTCATATTTAAACTGCTCAACCATAATATGGCAAGTCATGGCTCCACATCCTATTTCCAGTTCATTCTAGTGTGGAAGTAGTTTACAAGTTCTTGAAATTTTTTTTTTTTAAATTAGATATTTGAACCTTGGGTGTCGCTGCTTGATAATTAGCTTTGGTTCCCTGCAAATTCTCTCCCCCAGTAAAACTGTAAATTTAATTTTTTATATTTTCTGTGTTTAGTAGTTTTCTCAAGTACTGGTTGGAAAAAATAAACTTGACTTATTTCGAATGCTATGCATAATGCGCTATGATCTGCCAAGTCAAATAATACAATTGTTCTTGTCTGCTATCCACATATAATTGGGCGCTCAGGAAGTATTCAGGCCAAGATGACCCACAACATGAATCCTAACCTAGTACACATACTATGTTCAAGTTGTGCGTCATCTTGGTACACATACTTCGGGAGCACCTATAATTGTCCATAAATCATTTGGCTGTAGATTTTCAGTTTTGTGTTTCCTTCACAAACAAAATAAGAGTCAAAGATATTGGAAGCCGATAATCCAACAGATAATCATTACTTATCAGGTTCAGAGGCCAAGCAGATAAAGTCGAATGAAGGTCCAGTGTTAAAAGATTTTTGTAATCAAATATATTAGTTGTCAAGTGAAATTCAAATTTGATATATTTCGAATAAAGTCCAAAAATTAAAATTTGAAAATTTTGTATGGAGTAAAAAATTATTTGGTCCGCAGTCAGAGTTTGCCGCTTCTCAAGTTGTATCCCATAAGGTTGGTAATGCCAAATCGAATCCTAGCCATTGCTTGTACACAGCCATGTTTGAAGTGAATTCTTGAAACAAATTTTTTTTTCTAGATTGCCAATCTTCTGAAGCTGAATCAATCGCTGTAGAAAGTCAGTCAGCTGCCAGCAGCTCAAAGATGGAAGAAACAAGAAGAAAAAAAATTGTCAGTGAGGTTGCAGAACAACATGCCAGAGGACAGATAAACGATGAAAACTTATGCCTTGGTAAGAACTAATTGGATAGTTATAGTTGGATAGCGATAATGTATATTGTCAATACATATTTCTTTTGTCTCCATTACAATAGCACAGCTTTCAATAGTAGTATGTATGTATATATGTTTATTCGTCTCGTAATATTGATACATAATTAAATGAACAATTATTATTTAAGATGGGGTGCATGCACAAGACCTACTGACCTAAGACACAAATGTGCGGCATGCACCCCTTTTGACAAATATAAAACAAAATACATTGGAATAAATATGTATGATATGGTCCCTTGTATAGTCAGTTGTGCAAGGTGGGACGATGGGTCAGTTGGTGTGATGTAAGTGGTAAGGGAAGAGTATACAAAACTGTTTATACAGGGGAGTCTATAAGACAAGACAATATATATAAATATAGACAACACAACACCAAAAAAAAGTAGTGGATATTATACCAAAATTCACTATATTTTTGTGGTTCGATAGGTGATGGAAGCACATTTCGAATATAGTTCTAACCACAATAAGCCACTTTAGGTATCGTAATCAGATATGTAAAAAATTAAAAACATTCCATTGCCAATGTTCAATGAGGAATGGCCCGTCTAATAACTTTGTGTTCCCCATCATGGAGATGATTAAATACTATAATACAATTAAAATTTGGCTCATCAGTGTGGCGCATCGTGCTGGGGGTTATGGATATGCTCGCCACCGCACCTCTGATTACCTTGCGTGGGTTCGCATGTTTGAATCGAGAAGATTGCTGGACTGGTAACCAGACGAGAGGTGTGGTTCGTCGCAGGATTAAGACGTGCTATCGACTTTCCTCTCCTTGGGATAAATATGTTAATCTTATCCTATTTTTGCAGGATTGGAATCAGTAAAAATAGATTCCAAGAATAAAAAAAGAAGTGATTCTGAAGAATAATCTAATTGGAGGAGTTCGTTTTCAACTTTTCATAATTACATACTGGTACTTTCTTCAATATAGATATCTTGATCGTGTTGCATTACTCTAAAATAATTGTCCAAATAAATGATATAGGCCTGGAGTGGCTGCTTTTTACCGCGATCACCTAAAATCTTCAAAATAGCTCGCGATCGACTGACCGGTACTAAGGTCATACACAAAAACTAATGAGTACTGAATATGCAGATAACTGCACACACGCATATGAAAAAAGTGCACAGCTGCTAATAAGCTAGGCTCTGTCGGCGAATTCTTTATAAAATCGCCACAACAATTTGTATTTTTATGTTTCTTTTAATTTGATTACGCAATTGTACCCGGAGTAAGTGCTTCATCATTTATTTAAAGATTTATTCGAATCATACAATTAAAATCTTAGTAAGGCCTGCCTAATCTTAAGTCGTAAGTGTTGAAAATTCTTCAAAAAACCTTGTCAAGTATCCACGTATAATCTAAACAGCAGAAGATAAATATAATTTCAAATCATATAACTGCTCAACATGATTGTTTATCTTATGTGTGTCCCGCTTATTTATTTCTAATTATGCAGAATTTTGTTACCATACCTATGCTTTAGAATCTAGATTGATATATGCAATTTGATGTGATGTCTATTTATTTGTCTTGTAATGGTAGAAATATAGATGAGCTTACAATAATGTTGTAGATCTGTAGAATAAAATTAGATTTTCTGATTAAATGACTGTCTTTTTATTACTTTGAGTCGGGGTGGTATATCGTCCAGGCATCATTTAAATCTACATTCATGTAAAATGCATAATTATATGTATCAAAATAATATGAGTAAAATTTATTCGAATGAGGAAAAGGTAAGTCTTGACAAAAACCAGTGTTTCATTAGAGTCCGGAAATACTTCCCCTGGCAAACAGAAAGCTCTGGGCACTTGGGGTTCCAAAAAGACAGATTTTTGCTGCTGGGAGTCCTATCAATCGACTTTGGGTTTAAATGATTCAATTGATTATTATTTTAAAAGTTGTGCAAATTGAATCCGTTGATGGAGAGGCGAGGGTATATAACTTGAAACCAATTTTTTTCTTACTAATCGAAAAGGTAGCAGTGGTTTGGTAAGATTGACCATGTTTGTTCAACTAGATTGCCTGCTGTCCTCTCGTAAAACCAAGAGATAAAACTCAAATGATAAGACATGCACGTGTGTGTATATATTATATAATTTGGCGCTCCCGAAGTATGTGCACCAAGATGGCGCACAACCTGAACCATAACCTGATACACGTACTATGTTCAGGTTGTGCGCCTTTTTAGTACAGAAGAATCATGTATGTATGTATGTTTATTCGTCTCGTAAAAGCAATATAAAAGAGTAAGTAATTATAAATACTGAAGACTGGATGTATGCACAAGACCATATTGGCCTAAAACACAGATGTGCGGCATACACCCCTTTTGATATATATAAATTATAATAGGGTAAATCAAATATGTACAAAATGGTCCTTTATACAGGCAGTTGTGCAAGGTGGGTGGGTGGATGCGGTAACAGGGATAAGGGTGGAGTGTACAAAACTGTTTGTACAAAGGAGTTTGTTAGACAAAACAACATCTATAAATAGAGACACAACACAACATGAAACACACTGCATATGAATATAGTAATAAAATTTTTTTAAAAAAAATTAAGAACTTGGATGAATGTACAACATCATTGAGTGATGATACCACATACTATAAAACGCGGGAATGGTCAAGTTTAAAGGGTGTGTACATATATGGTATGCACCACTCAAGGGCGACAGTGTTATAAGTGGTCTATGGCTGTTCTGGCCAAAATGTGACCCTACAGGTTTTGGTGAAATATGATAAAGGTATGTATCAAATTACTCACTATTGTGAGGTTTTTTTTTTGGAATTCTGGATTCAGCCAAAAACGATGAAGTTTCAAAAAAAATAAAAATAAAAAAAATTAATAAAAAGCATTTCCATAAAACCTATTATGGTTGCATTTCAGCCAGAAGATTAGAAAGGTATAAAGGTACAGTGGGATAGGGAATGATAAGTTATAAAGAGAAGCCATTTTACCATGTCATGGATTTTCCAATGTAAATTAAAATAATAAAATTATATGGTATCCTGGGATGAGCAGAAGAAAAAGTGTGATTCGGTGATAGGTAGTAATAATGGAAATAAATTGAACAGCATGCTACTCAAACAAAAACCATTGTCCCTACTCCCTACTATTTGAGCATTGAAGTTCTATTGAATTGTACTATCTATAACCTAAATTGCTGTGCTTTTGTTGTTGTCTAATTACGCATGATAATGAAATTAGAATAGTGTGCTAGTTATTAATTCAGTCCATTGTTCTACATTGAATCCGGGTGAAGTATCCTGTGGAGTTATTGAAATTGTCAGCTGGTCTATGGTGAGGACAGTTTCCTGATAGTTCAAATAATAAACAGCTCTCCCTTTAAGTGTTGAATTGACCTTAAAAAAAATAATCAAGAAACAGTAACATGTTCAAAGCAGAGAAAATTGCTAATATGATGATAATATATATTGTTTAAGTTTGGAACAAAATTCTGAGTTCGATTTTGAATTTTTGATGTCATAGGGTAGGGAATTCCAAGCTTTTGGTCCACATACTGCGATTGATTCTTGTGAAATACTTTTACTGACAAATGGAATAAAAAAATTATCTTTATTTCTGCTGTTTGAATTTGGGTTTGCTTGGAACAGGCTGTTCAGGCTGGACGGAAGCTCTCCAATGTGACAAGAAAACATCATAGTACATAGTTCGAATTTAGCTAAATCCACAACTCGTAGTAGCCTATGCTCTTTAAATATGTCATCAATTTTTTCGCGATTACCTCTATGAAAAACTCTTCTAATAAAGCGATTGCAAACACTTTGAATTTTTTTGAGAATGGACGATTGGCGATGAACATAAGCTGAGGCACAATAACGAATATGGCTTTCTATCAGAGAGTGGTATAGAGATATTAAACAAGATGTATTTAAGTTGTTGGCTATTTTCGTAATGACACTAAGAGACGACCTTGTTTTCGATAGAACCATATTGGTGTGTTGTTTCCAAGACAATTTATCATCGATCATTACACCCAGAAAGCGAGTCTGATTAACTCTTTCTATATCGCAATTATAGTGGGCTTGGAATGAGGAAGTAGAACGCAAATGAAACAATACATGGGCTTTTGAATACAGAAAGGGGATGGTTGTAAAATGTTTTAAGATGTATCCTCATCGTTAAAATAGCTATGTTAACTAGCGGTATATCCGAATAAAAATGGCTACACCCCCATTTCGGGTGTGACAGATTTTAGCGAATATAGATAAGGCAATGAATTTGTTCTCATTTTGGATATCCAAGTGTTTAAAAAACCGGTCTTTCAATCTTTATAAGTCATAGCAGGGATGTATCGACATTATACCACTGCAGAAAAGCGGAAGCAGCAAAATTCTTGAATACCATTTATCCCATAAATATTAAAACTGCTATTGCATTGGTTAAATCTGTTATGAAGGATTGGGATAACTTGAACCTATCCAATAAAAAGCTGATGTTGGCCCGATGTAGAAGTCGTATATGTATAACGGTTTATGGACATGCTGTCTGTCTTGTAGCAAACGTACATTTGGCAGTGGAGGCATAAATAAAACATATATTTGAGAGTAAATGGATCGGCGGTGTGACGCATTGTGCTAAGCGTTAGGAATATGCTCACCATCAGTGACGTAGCAAGACTCTCGTGGTCCCCCCCGCAAAAATATTTCGTGGAAATGACCCTAAGAACCCTCGGCCATAAGCTAAAACGACGCTTTTTTTATTTCGTCAAAAAGCATAACATGTCGCTATTAAAAGGCAATGGTAAGCTAAAATTTGCCGTTTATCTTGGTTACCGGTACTTTAATTTTTTTCATACGTGCTTCCTCTTCGGCCCGTTTTCTGCGTTTCTGTGCGCCACTAAGAGGTTTTGCTTTCGACATCATTCTGACAGCCTTCGTAATTTTGCCGGTGCGATCAAACCACAAGACGCCGAAAATCGACGACTGCCTAGCATTGTTACGTAACAAACGATTTGAGCCGAACTAACATCAACGTTATAAAATGTGCATTGCTGGATTTGCAATGAAGCTTCTGGTTTTGCGGCTTAAATTTCTAAATTCTAACCACTTGGGCCCCTTTGCGCTGTGGGCCCTCCCGCGACCGCGGGGGGTTGCGGGGGTGGATGCTACGCCACTGCTCACCACTATGTCAAACTTTACATTACCACAAATAAGCGGTTCATTAGTTAATTGAGATTTGAGAAGGTATGCAAATCAAAATACTAAAGTAGTATAAAATATACTGAAACCGGCCCAATATTGTGTTATAGCCCAGCCTAAAGCCATTAAACCCGTTGGAGCTTTTTTAGTATGAATCCTCGGCAAGCCCCACGAACTCGTTCGACATACACTTGATAATATTGTTCCGGGTTACCATGGCCTTAGTTTCTGTAAAATATTTGTAAAGATTGCGTGAACCTATTTTTGAAATATCGTGATAGTCAGGGAACTCGTTTTTGACCCGTGAGCAGCTGATGACTAGCGTTATATTTGGGATTTCTAAAGTTATGTATTACATTCATGTAAGTAAAGCGTGTCATATTAATACAGCTCATGTAGACAGATATATTTTCTGATATGGGAGAACCCGTTTATAGTAAGTTTGACAGAAGGAGAACCCGTTCCTAAAATTTTGAATTCCAGAACTGGTTAGGACTGTAGTGAGTGCCATGTTTTACACTGGATGTAACGAATCGATTGCAGAATGTCTTTAAAATAATATTTTCTCTCCGCCTATTTTGACCAAAATTGTTTTCTTGCATTGCTATTGTTACCACAGTCCGTTGGAGGACTTCGTGCCTTTATTTATGTTTTGTAATTTACATAAAATAACTGTTTGTCTGGTCAGTTTTACGAAAGTTATATTGTCTGGAACAAGCTTTTTCTTGTGATGCACAAATGCGACACAAATTGAAAATATAATAATCTCAGCGAAGATATTACAGATTCACCGTGTGAGAACGCCGATTCATGAAAACTGACAGGTGTCCACTTTTTAGATATTTTCTGGTCCAAAGTTGATAATAAACCGAACGTTTGCCACTTATTTAAATGGTTGGGAAAAATCAGTTTCAAGTTTACTTTTTTACATTACTTTTTTTCCTTATTTTAGTTCTATTACAAGTTCAGGGACTGTCTGTGTTAGCCAAGTGAATATCCCCCTGCCCATAAAGTCGGCGAACAAAATTAGTTACCTCCAAAGTCAGTTACGCAGACTTCTGGAGAGTCAAAATAATAATAATAATGGTCAACTGAAATGCAAAGTCGATTGATAGAACTTAACTTTAAGTTACTGATTTGGCTGTGATATACACAGCTGTGTAGATTTAAATAGTGGTGGAGCCATGATACATCAGACAAACTAAATTTGAAAATCTGAATTTATCAAATTAATCACAGCAAAGTTGCAATATACATCAATCTCAAACTTGCATACATAAATATATATATATCAATCTGAAGCATAGGCATGGTGAAACACTTTACAAAATTGTGCATAATTAGAAGTAAAACGAGTGAGTAAAACACAATCAAGATAAACCATGATGTTCATAAAATAAGAATATTCAAACAATTATATAAAATATATCATCTTTTTCACTATATTATTTTACAACACTGTAAAATTATTAATATTGCATAAAGTATACGATTTTGAAAACTAACTCTTCCAATAATACTATTCTTCAGAATCACTTTTTCTTTTTGGAATCAATTTTTACTGATTCTAATTCTGGAAAATAAATTTTAATTGTTTTATAGTATTTAATTATTTCCATGGTGGGAAACAAAAACATATTAGACAGGCAATTTCTTAAGTATTCATTCCCATTGACTGGCAATAAAATGAAATGTTTTTCAACGTTTACTATCTGGATCCAATTAATTAAATGGCTCGTTTATGTTTAGAACTACAGGGTGTTAAAAAAAGTAACGCAAAATTAACAGAAGTTAATATGAAATGCTACTTAAAACATTTAACGACTGACACCTTTTAACAGTATTGAATTACAGTAAAATGCCATTCAAACATTTCACGTTTATTAACAGTTACTTTCTTAACCTTGCCATGACGAAAAATTTTACCTTAATTTTGCGTAACTTTTTTTACACCCTGTATATTCTAAATGCCCTTCCATCGACTATCGAACCACAAAAATATGGTGAATTTTGGTATAATCTACAAACATTTTTTCATTAGCTACTATTTGAGGCTGTGCTATTGTACTGGTGATAAATGAAATATGTATTGACAATATACAATTGAGGTTACAATTATTCAAAACCTTAGTACTCACCCAGGTATAGGTTGTCAGCCTGTATCTCTCCTCTGGCACACTGTTCCGCAACCCGACTGGCAAGTCTTTTTGTTTCTTCCATCTTGGAGCTGCTGGTAGCTGACTGGCTTTGTACAGTAACTGATTCAGCTTCAGAAGATAGGCAATCTAGACAAAATAAATTCTGTTTCATGAATTCACTTCAAACATGGCTCTGTACAAGCAATGACTAGGATTTAATTTGGAATTACCAACATAATCGGATATGAATAGAGAATGGGCGAACTTTGGCCCATGGGCTGCATGTGGACCAACACAACTACAGGTACATATAAAATCTACATTTAATTTCAAACTTCATATAAAATATCTAAAATTTGAATGCCAGTTGATGTTTTTACCTGACATCTAATATATTTCTTCTGGAAAACCTTTAATTTAGAATATTTTACATTATAAATTAACTAAGTATCCAACCCCAAAATAATTATTTGATATGGTCTTCCAATGCAGCCCTGGCAAAGAAAACTTTGCTTACCCCTGGATCAGACCCTAGACAAAATGGAGTTTGTGCTCTCGATCAGGGCTTTTTATTGAAACAAAATAAAAAGATTTGATATGTGCTCACCATCCATTTTTAATTCCGTGTGTGATGGACCCGGAGTGCTTTCGCTAATTTTTGCTTCGATACCAGGAAGCTCTTTTAACACTGGACCTTCATTCGACTTTATCTGCTTGGCCTCTGAACCTGATAAATAATGATTATCTGTTAGATTATTGGTTTCCAATATTAGTATTTTGACTCAAATTTTTAGGTTGCTTGTAACATTGACTTAAGAAAACACAAAACTGCAAACCAGCAGCCAAATGGTTTATAGACAACTATGCGTGGCTAGCAAACAAGAACAGTTGTATTATTTGGCTTGGCGGAATAGTGCGTCATGTAAAGCATTTGGAATACGCTTGCAATAACAGTCTGATTACCTACCCTGCATGTGTTTGCAAGTTCACATTCTGTGGGTGGATAAATATGTGAGAAAGGCTCGCTGGACTCCTCGTCATCGTAGCATGGTTCAACTGACCAGCGGTTACACCTTCGTCAAGTCTATGCACCTGAAACAAAGAACTAGTCATCTACACCCACACGAATTAACAACAGATGGGGCGTGCCGTGGCTTGCCATATATTTAAGCAGTTAAATATAAAAATCCTATCCTACAATTCACAGGAAACCAAAATTTATAGAACAACTGAAGGAAGCAGAATATAGATTTTGTACTACACGACCTGCAATTGCGGGACTTCCTCCTTGAAAATGTATTTTCGTTTGATCTAAACCAACTACTGCAGCGTTGATGTTCCCTAAAAAAGAAGAGTATATTTTATGAGCGTTTTCTAATAGTCCAAAATTTTTTTTTCATATAAGACATTCAGTCACGCCCTTCGTTTAGAACAGGGGTTCCCAAACCAGGAGTCGCGACCTCAAATTGGGTCGGAGTGATAAGTAGGTAGGGTCGCAAACAGGTCATGGGGTCGGTGGGGTATGTCAGAGGATGGATGTACAAAACATCTAAGATTTGACAAACCATGTTAACTTTAGCAGTTTGTATCATGGCTTACTGTAAAACAGGTCCATAGGCATCGCTCTATGCTTATGCTTTAGAAAATGTAGGTGCTTATTATGACATCACTGTTTGGTTTTAGCTTATTTCACTCAATACCACCACATGACCAAACTCAAAAAACCAGTGAAAGGAGCTCTAAAGTTTCATGAAAAATGTATATATATATTGACCTGGGGTCGCACTGGACACTTGAAAGTTGTCTTTGGGGTCATCCTGTAAAAAGCTTGGGAACCCCTGGTTTAGAACAAGGCCCACTGGGATCTTTCTGGTTTAGCATTGCCTACCCAATTTTATTACACTCTGGGTGAGGTGGAGGGCCATGATTTTGAGATGTGTAATCTGTGATGCTAAGACACTCAAGTCTAACGCTTTAACCGCTAGGCCATTGTGCTGCTCTAAATTGTTACCATTGCGCCATGCACCGGCCAAAATAATACATTAGAAAGCAGACTATTTGGCAGCCAGTCAAGAGTAACAGTAATCAGAAATTTATTTTTCCACAAATGCTAAAATTCCGCAAGTACATATACAGTGTAGAATAGAATAAAAATAGCATTTCACGGTGAAGGTAGACGTAAAAAACCTACAACTCTTCAATGAATGTAAGTTTTCCATCAGTTAGTGCTCAATAAGTGTGAAGTTAAATATTTTCAAGGTTATTTATTAGTTACAAACTTGCAATGTATCAAACTTGTTGAAGTCAAATATTTTAGAGGTTATCTAATAATTACAATACTTCAAAAAATATTGATGCGTACATACCATGCATATGATATGTTGTAATGTTGCCAGATTCTGTTACAGAACTCAATTCCCCTAAAAACATAATTCAAATTTATGAGGTGCAGTATAGCATTTCATTTCTATCCCATGAAGGGAAAGTCACTATTAGAGCTAGGTACAGCCTAAGGTCATTATAAAATACCTTATTAGTTTATTATCTCAGATAAAAATATGTGAAATAGTTCAAGGAAACTGTGACTGATGGTTACATGAACTGACAAGAAGTCCAACTATCATCCTGGACATTGCAGTCAAGTGGTAGAGGTAGTATCTCAATAACTACTGGTAACTGCTTCGTCCAGCTTCAACTTTACTTAAATCCATCATCAGTTTCATAAATACTCACCAGCGGCGCGGAGGTGTGGCTTATCGTGCTAAGCGTTAGGAATACACTCACCACCACACCTCTGATTATTATGCCTGGGTTCGCAAGTTCGAATCCCATGCGCGGCTAGTTATGTGCGAAAGGATTGCTGGACTCCTCACCGTCATAGGGTGGTTCACGTCACCAATGGTTGGTTACGGCTTCCTTCACCATCAAGTCTATTCTCTTGAAAACAAATAACTGGCTAACTAATCTCATACCAGACATGGACTGGTAACCGAACGAGAGGTCGTGGTTTGCCGTATGGCCTTATCGCCTTTCTCCTCGCCTCTCCCCCGGGATAAATATGTAAATCCTATTCTAATGTAACAGAATACCATGTTGATATAAGATAATGATACTCACACTCAAAACATTGGTCATCTTCTTCAATAACATCATTTTTGTAAAGGTCACAATTAAATTGAAGTGAATAGAATTTTTTTAGATTTTTTGGTATGGAAAAATTGAAGTGCTTTTTTCCAATATTTTGAAAAAAATCCTCACTGATTTGAAAAGATCTCGAAATTTCACTTTCTTGGTTGAATTGATCTTCTATTTCCGACTCGCCTTTCATTTTTATTACTGTCTTCAGTTTATCGTTGTATTTTACAGTAATGGGTGTGAAAATCAATAATAATTTTGCATTCCGTTCTTGCATTTCACTAATAAGTTCACTTTTAACAAGCTTATCATTCAGACAAAATGAAAGAGAAAGATTACGTTTGTGTCCAAAAATATAACCTTGAACAACGAAGTTATCTTCCTGCAAATGACCTTCTTTCTGACCGATGACAACGGGGCTGAAATCAAGACAATCAAATTGAAAAACGAGGTCGTTATTGAATGGAAGGCGCTCGATGACTCTCCATTTTGATGCAATATCAGGGCAATGAAGAACATCAACTTTGCTTTCCCTTGACTCCTTGGTGCCATTGTTTTTGCACCAAGAAGATAGCCGAACTGTTGCTGCAATTTTCAGACGATTTTCCGCTTTTACATAAAGCATTGGAGTGATGCACAGATAATGTTCTGGCCACTTAGCGCTGTCAATTTCCAGCCTCATCCATATTTTTGTTCTTGTTCGGAAAGTTCCAGGGTGAAAGGTTATAGAGCTGTTGCCAATCTGTAACATTCCTCCATCCGGGTCCACCACGCCCTCAACCTCGGTAAAAGCCACAACACGATCCTGCGATTCACTGTTTCTTGATCCTTGTAACTCCGATTCTGGATTAGTGCATGCAATAATTAAACATACTTTGGTTGAAAAACCATGAGGGCCATACCAAGTGATATTGGGAAGAAAAAATAAGGCAAAACGCTATAAGAAGTGAATATGGTTCTGTTTCTTACAATAGACAAGCAAATGCATTACTAAAAGCTAAAAGTGCATGGGAGCAAAACTGATAGACCCCCAGTTCTCAACCAGTGGGCCATGGGCTACTGCTGTGCCACACGAACATTTTCAGGTGGACCAAAGACCTGTTAAAAATTGCTGAGTTGTTGATAAATTTAGTTCATTTTGATGGTAGTAGCAAATAAAAAAAATGCTGTTTTTCGTTACAGGGTGGCAATTATTATCAAAGTCTCTATTTTTGCAGAAAGAATTTTTTGTAGTTCATCCCTAGCATGAAAAAGTCAATGAGCTGCAGAATTTTTGTGTAACAAAAATGGCCCACGAAAGAAAAACAATTGACAGACAAAAAGGCACAATAAACTTGATTCAAAAAGTTTTAAGGTTCCCGGCTATCGAGACTCACGAATCCTTCGAAAGTGCTTGGCGCATTCTCAAAATGCAAAACTAATAAAATTCCATTGATGCCCTAACTGTGAACTGCTAATTACTTAGTTTCTCTACTAACCTTGAAGACCAGGTGTAGTTATAACAAACGTGTTTGTTGTATTTTCACTGCCATATTCGAGCACAAGATTCTGATAGCAAAAAAGGTTGTTTTTTGACTATATTTTGCATGACTATTGAGTAAACTAGGTGGAATTTATCTGTGCATAGTATTTCTCTGGTTTCGAAAACCATCCTTCACAGAATGAGTTATTAATTGGGTTGTATATAAGTCAGTGGTTATCAACTTTCATGGCTCGTGGCCCCCTTCCAGAGGCTTTTAGAACTCATGGACCCGTGCTCACCATTCCAAAAAACTAGACATGCTTTTTATTTAACGCAAAAAAGAATTGATGTGAACCTTCAATCCTTATCTACAGGTGGCCTGCCAACCAACTGTTTTGATTGTTAGATTCCTAATCCCAGTGTGATCAAATGTTAAAACACTATGTGACTGGTAATGCCCTTTTCAGGTAATGAAACTAAGGACAACTGTTTTTTTTTAGGGAAAGTGTGCAATGAAATCGCATTAAAATCAATTAAAGTAGTAGCTTTGTATTGGGGCCCTCACTCAAGGCCCCCATGGGAACCACTGTTTTTCCAAATGAAGCTAATTCCTTCAAAGAGATGTGACACCTTACCAAGACTGAAATAAATTGGGTATGTACTTCAATACTGGTAATACGATCAATCTTTAAATTGTGAAATCTGCACTTACAATTTCCTGAGAACATTGCAGAGCTTTCTCTTTTAGGAAATCTAACTCATCCTGTTTCAACTCCCATCCATCCATGTCAATGTTCTTGGATACAACAGGAAGAAATTCAGACATGGCTTCGAGCTGGTTATCATGTACTTTTAAACTTGAACTGAAATAGTTGATTCTCTTTTTGTTCAACAGTTTTTCGACCTAGAAAAAATATAAAAAAAGTATTATTACGGTAATTCAATAGGATAGTTATATTCACTCTTGCTACAGCATCCTTGCATTATATGCATATGGATCCACCGGCGCAAAAGCATAGTCGACAGAGAAGTAGTTAGTCTTGTTGAAATCAAATCGATAGTATCATTAATGTTTGAGATATAGAGTAATTTATTTGGAGTAATTAACGCTTTGCCCTGTCCATTCATAGTTCCAAAAAAATAAGAAAAATTGTCTTGAAGATTCATGAATATTCCAACTGTACTCATTGTGAAATTATGCCGGACCCGAACAATATCAGAAACAATCAAAACTCTAAAACAGTATATTTCTATTTGATAAAACTGCCTTGGTACATTTTGTACACAACAATTTTATAAAACATAGACAGTCTCACCATACACATTTAAAACAGAAAAATTTTACCTTGTACCCTCCAACTGCTTTCCTAAAATTGATCGCATCTTCTGCACACAATTTGCAACCAGAGATACCCAGATTCTTTATATCATGATTCACTACAATTTTAGCCAATGCATCCATTCCCTTTGAGCCAGGTCTCTCACGCCCTCTAGAACTCAGACCATAATTGTAAGAAACTTCCAGCAACTCAAGCTTAAAAAAAAAATTTTTTTTTTGTAACAGCGAGTTTTTAATTAAGATAGGATAGGATTTACATATTTATCAAGACGGCTTAACCATATAGCGAACCACGGCGCCTCGTCCAGTTACTGTTCCATGTCGAGTATAGGATGAGTTAGTTATTTGTTTTTGAAAACATGGACTTGATGGTGGAGGAAGCCATATCCGACCAGCGGTTACGTGAACCGCCCTACGTCGACGAGAAGTCTAGCAATCCACTAGCACATAACTATCCCGACATGGGATTTAAACCTGCAAACCCACGCAGAGTAGTCAGAGGTGCGGTGGCGAGCATATTCCTAACACTTAGCACGATGAGCCACGCCACTGATGGCAGTGGGTGATCGGGGTCTCACATAGTATCACACATCAACTGTGCCTGTATAGATATATGGAGAATGACATACAGAGAAAATTGCAGATATTCCACATGAAAAGCAGTTTTAACATCTTTTAACAAATTATAAGTGTCATAAATCTTTGAATATTAACCTTGCCTAAATTATTCAATTACCTTTGCAGTTCCAAGTCCTTCGTCCAAACATCTAAGAAGATCAGCGTTAAGTCTGGCTTCAACTAAAATGAGTTTTTGTAAAGCGCATCTTTGTCCCATTTCACCAAGAGTTGACATCCCATCATGTTTCAAGTAATGATTCATGCTCAAATCCAGAACCCCCAAGTGCTGACAGAAATATAGAAAACATGAAATTTATACTGGACAACGTTTCGAACATTGGTGCATTCAGCTGAACGACACTGGTAATTAAATGATAAAATGCTAGCAGATGACCCAAGTCCTTGCTGATACAAGGCTATTTCATCATTGCTTCCTTTCCTAATAGTCATCTTCAATGTGAACCTTAATCACATCAGCAAATAGGGTGGGAGTTGACCTCAATGACCGCATGGTCGTATCGCTCCCTCACGTCAATACCAAAGTAATTTTTATTTGTGTTACGTCTTTTTTTCGTATTGATGGCTGTTTGTATTTTGGTTGGCAAAATAATAAATATCACTCTCTCTTTAAAATCCAAATCCTCTCATATAGAATGATTAACTAGTTACCTATTTCCGCACCCCATTTAATTTGATAACACAAAGAGAAGCCATGGTCCGAAATAAAATTTGCTATCATATTCATGTTTCTCTCACTCATTTAAATAAACTTAAAATTCCATTTAATATTTAAAATTTACCTCAGAGACGCCCAATCCTTTTTCAAATGCCTGAAACTGCTTGGAATCCAGGCAACCTGCCAAACTTATGTTCTTAACTTCATGAATTCTTGTAAAATTACCAATGGCTTCAAAACATCCAATTTCCATGTTATTGTTAAATCCAAAATCAACTGTAGTAAGCTAGAAGCAAGACAAAAATTAGTGCATGGATTGCAAAAGAAAAAAATATAGATTGTGTTACCATGGTTACAATTAATATCTTAATATTAGTATCATGAGAAGCTAAATGTACAAAATGTTGGTCGTATTAGAATTATTCACCAGATGCAAACCTTTGTTAATCAGAGGTGGGGTGACAAGCGTATTCCTAACGCTTAGCAAGAATCTTAAAACATAGTAAAAACTACTGATATCAGTGATCAAAAGTCAATAAAAAAAAACATGAACATGATTAAAAAAACCACTTTGTGAATTAGATTTAAGACACAAATTTAATATAGAAAAAAAATTTGAAAAATCTTAAAATTCACAACTCACAGTAGATTCAAGTCCCATAGCTTGATCGAATGCCTTTACACTTGATAATGTGAGATCATTTTCATATAAGCTAATTTTCTGCAGTGAGCCATTTTTGATTATCCCACCTAGAACTGCAAGTCCATCTTTTCCAAGATCTGGGTTTGCGCCCACGTCTAATATTTCTAATACCTGTAATTATATTTCACAAGATTAAAATGCTGCATATTATTTGACTTTAATAAAAATTTAATATTTAAAATCCTTGGAAATAAATAAATACTGGTAGCAAGATATTTGAAATGAAAAATATTAAAATTGTATATTAATCATATTGAATACATATTTCAGGACTCAAATGTCTGATATTGTATTTTTGTTTCAAGGCGTTTTAATCATGTCATTCGGAGAAAGGCTTCACAAATTATTGTCTTTGGAAATACTACAATCCTTTTCTAGTTTGGTATTGCCTAACCCAGGGGTTCCCAAACTGGGGTCCGCAGACCACTGGGGGTGAGAGGGATTCTCTGCGCTTTAAAATTTTATTGCCTTTTGCAACGAACCCAGACGTGTGAGGCAGCATTTTCAGCTCTTACCAATATGATGACAAAATACGGGTCGAGACACACTGTGCCGGACCTATGGGTTTGCTTAACACAAATTAATCCGGGAATGGATAAATTGTGCAGTTAAAAGCAACCTCATTCATCGCATTAATGTCGATTATGTTGTGTTGTAAATGAAACATTATCCTTCCTCGTTGGTTGGGCACAGAAATTAATATGGCGTAGGATGGGGGTCCATCAAAAATAAGATTCACAAACAGGGGTCCGCAGCCCAAAAAGTTTGAAAAATCCTGGCCTAAACAATAGCCTATCAAAAAAAAAATACTGCCCTACTAAAAATAAAAGCTTTTTAAAGTGACTGAATGTGTTGAAATATATTAAATAGTTTTCCCTCTTTTTCACGGACAGCAAAGTGGAATTTCTAGACAAGCTACAGAGAGCACACGCTGAAGCTGTATCAAGCCAAGAAGGGTGGGTGAAGTATTGGGCATGGATTGAAATACAGTGGAAAGCTCTAATCACTAGTCAAATAGAATCCATATTCACAACTATGTTTATTAATACCCTGCTATTCTAATGCTATTACAAAATGGATGGATTTTAATTCCAATGAATGGTATCAATTTACTTTTTACACTAACCGTAGCATTTCCAAGTCCTTTTTCAAATTCTTTCATGTCTTCGTCGTTAACTCCACAATGACCCATGCTTAGATGTTGAACTTGTCGGCGTCTTACAATATCACCAACAAACTCTGAACATATTTTGTCATTGTAAGCAACGTCGATCTTCATGATCTGCTGAGATAATTAAAATATAAGCATTCCAAACATAGAAGCATAATATTCAAAACAATTTTAGCATCTTTCATTAGAGATTCGAGGTTTAAGCCTTATCTCAAGAGTTGGCACAGCAAAATGAGCGCTCCAGAAGTATATGTACCTATATAGAGGTAACTAATGTTGTTCGCCTACTTTACATCAAGTTGTGTAAAGCAGTGTTTTTCAACCGAGGTGCCGCGGCACACCGGTGTGCCGTTAAATATTGTCAGGGGTGCCGTGGGAAATTATCCAAGTTGTGTGTCTATGCGGTGTAGCGTCCGGCAGAGTAATCGTGTGATACTGTTCTATATCAGACTGTGGCAGCATCTGGTGGCGATTTTTTTTTGTCTTTGTTTTTATTTGATTACTATTCAAGATGTCCAATTCAACATCTTTCTTCAATGCTAAAAATCTTATATTTACAATATAACACTTATATTGTGAATATTAGGTATTTTCGCCATATTTTCAGCTGGTGGTGTGCCGCGGGATTTTCTCACTGAAAAAAGGGTGCCTTGGCTCGAAAAAGGCTGAAAAACACTGGTGTAAAGGGACGGAAGCCTATGGGCAGGGGGTATATTCACATGGCTAACACAGACAATCCCTGTACTCGTAATAGAACTAAAATAAGGAAAATCGAGATAAAATTATGGCCTTACCCTAACCTGGTACACACATTACGGGAGTATCGCAAAATAAATGTTATGTTAGCAGAATGCTTGCTAAGTCACTTTTGATTGTTCTGTTAGAAATAAATAACAGCGAAAAGATTGCTAGACTGCTTGTTACCAATGAATGGACATGCAATCGTTTCAGCTGCTATCAAAGTTCAAGGTTTATCATTATCTCCCTGTGTGAATTCAAACTCTTACTCAGGATGTTTGAGTAGAAAAATTTAGTTGATTGTTCCAAAAAACTTTAAGTTACATCTTAAAAACTTTCTTTTTAAGAGCATGAAGGTAAATTGGAAACGAGTAATAAAATCAAATGAAAATTCTCACTGTTGCATTTCCTAGTCCATCATCAAATGCATGCATTTCTGCTTGTGTTATTTGACAACCAACCAAACCAACATCCTTTACATCATGTCGACTCACTAAGTTACCAATGATCTTGAAGCCTCTAGATGAAATTTTTGTATTTCTTGCACAATCGAGTTTTCCAATCTGAGAAATTTTTGGAATTTATTTTAAATTTTGAAAATATGTCAAAATATTTGAATTCTATTCAAAGAATCACCAGCCTCTGTCATTGGTTAGAAACCATTAGATAGATTATTACATAACAACGCTAAACATCGTTATATGATAATCTATCTAATTGTTTCTAACAAATGGAACATATCATGCACCAGGAATAAGTTAGCTAAGCTGGATTGAGCGTTTCTTATAATAATTTAGAAAGCCAAAGACACGCTTTGTCTAAATTGTTTGGAAATGAATTTTTCAAGCAAAGGCGCATAGTAATATGTATGTTGTAACAGTTTCTTGAATTCACTCGTGGTACAATAATTTTTTTTATCTATGCCCAATAGCGAAGATAACGGTCTTTCAAAATCGATTGGATTTTCAAGTACGACGCTCCCGAAGTATGTGTACCAAGATGGCGTACAACCTGATAACCCTAATCTGGTACACATACTATGTTCACGTTGTGCGCCATCTTGGTGTATATACTTCGAGAGCACCCAAATGCCTATTTGTCTAATGCACAGTTGAGAGTGAATAACATCCCTGAAACAAATATACCTTAACGCTGGAATTCTCTAATCTGTTGGCAAAATCACAAAGACTTTCTTCTGTGAGATTGCATTGCCATAAAATGAGTTGCTTGAGATAAGAACAATCCAACAAAGATGAAGCAAGAGCATGCAAGTCAGCTGTCATCAACGGCATATAAGAAAGATCGACTGAATTCCATACAGAAGGAACAATATCTTTTCTGCCTGTTCCAGCTTCATGTATTGCACGAATCAACTCGAGTCGACCATTTTTGCTCAGTTGTTCAAAATTTTCAATTTCAGCAGCCATGCTCTTCACCAAAATGACTTTATGAGATTGTGTTTCGCAATGCTCTGGAATTTCGAACAAAAATGTTTACTTGCTATTTCATTAACTATATCTTTCTATTTTTATACTCTGTGAGTTTTATATCATTTTCGCCTGCGCTAATGTGGTTGTTTTTGTAGAGAAATTAAAAATAATCTATTCTAATCATCTATTTTTTTTATTCCACACTACTGTTATTCTTATCTTAATAATGTGGGCACAATATAGCTCACTAGTGGTTGAAGTATACGAACCATCTATGTTAGCATCACAGATTGAAAATCTAGGTTACAAATTCCCCGCACACAACTTCACTAAGGTTGTAAAAATTTGGGTATGTATGGACAAAGCATGAAAATTTCCAATCTTTCCAAAATATAATTGCTATAATATCAGTGGGACTTTCACAGAGGCATGTTCAGGGTAAGAGGTGCGTGAAAATGTGGCATAGGAATAAATTTTTGTGTTTACATGGATGTAATGCAATAAATGTATTAACTCACCCTCAAGAAGTTGTTCTAAGGTGTCTGAAACCAAAGGGTCCAGAAATACACCATTCAGCATTCTTCTGATAACTGAGAACTCAGGCGTATGTAAATACTTCGAGATAAACTCTGAAAAATCCTTTTCAGATTTCTGCCCAATGAACAGTGCTGTCAGCACCTCTTGAATAATCTGGTGAGCAAACATGGCTTCTATATCACGTTCCAATATTTGCTGATATTGCTCTTCCTTGTTTAGACTTCCAGGAACAACAATAGCAAGATCTGTCACTTCATTTGGTGTTAATTCAACTTCCTTTAGATCTTCCTCACTGAAAATAACCTTTCCTTTCATGGTTCCATTGAAAGCCAATTCTTTCATCTTATTGACAGCATGGACTACATATTCATTGTCAGCTTCTCCAGATGCTCGAGCATGCTTGGAATGCAAAAGATTTTGTAAGAGATTTATCATAATACCAGTGCCTGTGTTTGGAACAAAAGAACATTCGCAATCCTTCTCCGCTAGTACAACCATGGCAAATGTAAGAAACATTGGAATTTCACAAAGGGCCATCAAATCCGGACATCTTTTATCGAGTATTTCCCAAGCTCTTTCGGCGTCATCTTTTTTCAGGAATCCAAATACTAAATTTTGTACTGATTCATCGCTAAGACCTCCAAGAGAAATGATTCTATCAGGGTGCAAGATTTGATCGTATTTTCCTACTTTGTACTCTCTTGAAGAAGACAGAATTTTTGCTTTCTTGAGGATTTGACCAATAAAAATGTTGTAGAGAATGGTTGAAGGGCGAGCATGATCCCAAGGTTCAATCGATTCAGTTTCATCATCCAACTCATAGCCGAGAGTATCCAGTGAATCGATTATTAAGACAACTTTTTCAGAATTTTCAAGTACCCATTTGTATCCGATTCTACTTTCATCATCTGAAAGCGGACTATGCATGTATCGGAACAAATACTCTTGCACCGTAATTTCTTTACCTTTTTCAAAACTTCGACATTTTACAATGTGTATAAACCGATCCTTCATACCTAAGATTTCACCATTTACTGCATCACGGCCAAACCGCTTCAGGGTCGTTGTTTTCCCTGATCCTGCTGGACCTAATATCATCACATGACGAAGTACGTTTTGCTTCAAACCTCCAGACTCATGAAAAATTTCACTCAATTTGCTCAATTTTTCAGCATTTCGAGTATGAAAATTTCCTTCCTGAGTTTCTCTTGAAAATTCTTGCAATGGTTGATAATCATTAGCTTGTTTGGCAAAATATTCTCCTTGGTAAAATGAATGAACATTGATTTCAAATAAACGAGGGAATTCTTCTTTCACAGGTTCGTTCAAGCGTTCTTGGAAGTCGAGCGAGACTTGCTTTTGATGTGCATGAACGTTTTTTCTTACTTTGTCAAAAAACCCATGCAGTATTTCATCAATCTGATGCCCTTTAACATCAACATCACCACGCCCCGTCATATCGATTTAATGATAGATATCCTACACTCTACAAATCCATGCAAATATTAATTTAAATAACAGACATACAAATCAGTTGAACTGAATTTATGACTATGAGATAGCTAAGAAGCAACAGTTATTGCCCTTGAATATTGATCATCTTTGCTGAAATGAGTTGTGGAACATACAAAGCATATAGCACTATATATAGATCTCAAGTTTTGGACTATCTTCGATTATTATGACTTGACACATTTTTCTAATTACCGTTGAACCTTTCATTCGATCTTCGAAAATATCACAAACTCTCACTGCAGTGCTCCGTTGTCATTTTGAAATATTCAAAGCATAAAACTTTTTTCCCCAAAAAGGTAGATAACTGTTTTTAAACTAATTTGCTGGATTTAGATTTATCAGTCTTTTCCCTATTCATCATATACACAGAAATTTACAATAGTGCTTGTTATGTAGATGAGCATTTGGCAAAACATTCTACTGAGTATATCCTATTAGATATATAATAAAAGCTCCAAAACAGCTCTTTTAGCGGTTGTATACGACTCTTCTAAAAAATACTTGCTCCAGTTTTGGTTGAGAGTTCTATACCACGACAAAAATAAATTTGAGCAAGAGTAAAGTTTCATGCCCTGATGGTTCGCAAGTACAAGTCATGAACCGTTCTACTTTTATTCTCTCTCAAAGTTTCAAGCAGATACCTCAATTATAACGACCAGTGATCAATGAATTCAAATGAAGCGAAGTCAATCATTACAGAGAAAAGAATTTTATTCTGAAATCACAATATGGTTTAATAATTAACAACACTGAAATGATGCAATATGAAAGAGAGAAACCCTTTTATGAGAATAAAAAATGATGTTATAGGCGGACAGGTGGAATATTGACTATTATCAAAATTAATTTTCTTTGAAGAGAATTCACTCTTTCAAATTTTGAATTGTTATCTTCCTTAAAATAAATAAGCATTGTCTACTCTAGAGTGACTGTTGAAAGTGAATACACAAAAATACAAAGGCACACAGACTCATAAAAGCAAAATGTCTTTGTGTGTAAATGTAATAAAAACAACTATAGTGCTATTGACAATAGTATTGTATTGCCCAAGACATCATTGTAATACAAAGCCAAGGTAAATTACATTGAGTTAAACAAGTATGAAAAGAACTGTAGCGCCATCGACAATATTACATTCGTGTCAATATTGAATGTAGTGTTGACGACACAATAAAAAAATTGCGCAATATATTGCCAATTCTACATTGATATCATATCCATGAGTGAATGCTCAAAACACATTTCCACCACCTCACTCAGGGTGTAGCAAATTTGGTATTATGCCAAACCACAAAGTTTCTAGTTCTTTCAAAGTTTTTAAGCTTTTGAATACTGAAAAGGATGGTTGTAAAATGTTTTTTTACATATGCCTTCTAAAACAATGTTGAAATAGCCATATCAACTATACCCAAACAAAAATGGCCACTCCCTCGTTTCATGTGCGACCGATTTTAGCAATTTAAACTACCCCAGAAAATATAATTAAGACAATGAATTTGTACTGTAAACACAACAAAAGGAGATGAATTTTCCATATTTGTCTGCATTGATAAAAACCTGCTGTCGTTGGGTTTGTAAAACAAATAGAGGAAACTTGAATATAAGACACTCACACACTTTATGTATATATATATATATGATTTTAATACCGAACAAATTCAAGTAAAAATAAATCACTTATATTGAGCTTAAAATGAGAAAGCCGTACGTAAATAAAACAACGCTTTTAAATAGTGAAATGTTTTCACATATGCCCTTTAAAACAAAGTTAAAATAGCTATGTTGACTATGTTCAAACAAAAATTGTTACTCCCCCCATTTGCGGTGCGACAGATTTTAGCAATTTAAAATTAACCCAGAAAAATATAGATAATATACTGTATAATAAATTTGTACTCATTTTGGACATCCGACTGTTTAAAACCGGTGTTTCAATATATATACGCCAGAATATCAACGTTACACCAGATTATGACAAATTAGAATTGCTTTAAATCAGCCCATTATCACAAGCGGAAGCAGCAAAATTTTTGAACACTATTTATCCTATAAAAATAAAACTGCTACTGCATTGGTGAATATCTTATGGAAGATTGAGATAACTTGGTCTTAAAAAGAAAAAGCAGATACCACCATTTTTAGATTCCTCTTTTCCTTCCAAGTTAGGTTGAAGTCTATCTGTCTATTCGTATAGAAATGGTCTTGGTCCCATATTTCCGTGGAAGTCAAGACCACAGTTTTTATACATTTTGCTATCGCATCAGCACTAAACTGTCGAGCGTAGGTTGAGCGTGACTGCCCATAAGTGTTAGAAGTTATTTAATATCACCCGATCACCATAAAAGTATTTCAATCCTTCAATTCATCTAAAATCTCTTGGAATGAATACACAAACCAATTTGCTTTTTCTTTCACAACTTCTCTTACGACATTGGCACCAAAACCAATAAAAGCGTCTGCTGGTGGACAAGCTTCTAGGTCGGTTGCTCCATCACCAATCATAACAATCTTTTTATAGCCATGCTTTTTACGTAATTCTTCAATTGCTTTAGCTTTTCCTCCTGATCTACAGGTTGGTAAACTTTCGTCAGCGCTGACACATTGTCCAGTGTAATAATACAAGAACTTGTTAGCAAGTATGTCTTCTCTTGGAATTCCAATCATTTTTGCGGTGGGGTTTATAATTTCCGTGAATCCTCCCGAAATGAGATAAATGTAGCATCCACGCTCTCGAAGTTTATCGATGAGTTCCTTTGCTCCGGGCGTGGCAATTGGTGTTCTTTGTTGTAAAAATGTTTTCAATCTTATATAAGTGGGATTTATGATTTTTATTCTTTCTCTTAGAGCTTCTTGAAAAGTCATAGAACCGCCCATTGCTTTGTTAGTAAGTTCTATAACTTCATCGCCAACACCATGAAATTTTGCAAGTTCATCTATGCCTTCATCGGGACATAATGTACTGTCTACATCAAGGCAAACAGCATCTGCATGTCTTAATACTTCTATTATTTGCTCTTTTGTGAGATCCATGATAATATGAATCGCATTTGTTTTCACTCGTCTTTAAATATTATTACTTTACTGTTTAAAATAAACAAAAGATTTATTATTTTATTTTGTCAACCAATATGAAAACAGTCTACAAAAAAATGACTGCTCATGTTACAGTTGCGTACGTATAAAAGATTCACATGCAAAACTGTTCAAATAAAATAGTTGGATATTCAAGAATTTTTTAATTTAGTCATTCAAACTCACTATATATTAAATGTATTTTAACGTTTTATTTGACTTTCTGGCCGTACAGGCAGACTTTAAAAATAAGGAGAAATAGGGTCTGCCATTCTTTGTGTTAGGGTTGTAGAATGCAATTCTTATAATAAGCGAATTTGATGTCTCAATGACTCCTATACAAGGGAGTTGAAAGAGACCTGGGGTTGACTAGAGATATATTCTGCTCTTTCATCTTTTAAGATGAGATAAATAAAAATGGAAACTTTTTGAGAGTGAGCAAAACATTTAATAAAGTTTAAAATATGAAAAATGTCATGCGCCCACTCACCAACAGTCGACAACAGCCAGAAAGAAGGAATTTATCCCAGGGAGAAGAGAGCCAATAAGACGTCCTATTATATGACAAACCACGACCAGCGCTTACATAAACCACCCCACGGCAACGAGGAGTCCAGCAATTCTAAAGCAAAAAATGTTTTTATCCAGTCATTGGTGCACAATCAAATATTGAATACTCGAAAATCACAACACAATATCAGTGAATTGGAAAAAGTTTAAACAAACATGTTTACATGCGGTACCACCTACAGGCACGCCGATATCTGAACATGTCTTACACATAATCTGTCAGTGCGCACAGTGAGACAGTGCGATAACTCAATGAACTGATTCAGTCTAACAAGCTTGCACGTGCTGGTACTTCTTTTTAAGATAATGTTACGAGTACAGGTACCTATCTGATTGTCAGAATCTGTATTAACTAAGCGCCGCAGGCTCCAAACCTGATACACCACCTGATAAAACCGGGCAAGCTACCGGTATCGTCCTATTTCACCCGCCCTTTACCAAAAGTTCCAACCAATTTTGTGAAAGGGAAATTCCATAGGATTCCCGCTGACACGTGTGCCCGGGTATTCCCCGTTGTTCTCGATTCATCTTGAGAAGTTGGGAAGCGCGGACACTGAACAGACTGGGGTAGCTTCTTGGGACCTATTTCTAAATTTAAAATATAAATCTTATCTAAGAAGCCCATAATCACAAGTTCACCGAATAATGATTTACGAGCAACAACTGAAATTGCGACTGTACATGATGCTAAAAGCGTATGCGGCTACAGGAATATTCTTGGTATTATAGTAATATTTTACTATGTTTCTCAAATTAAAAATATATTAAAAAGTCAAACCAGTTAATTTGGACTTTCTTAGAAATATAAATCTCTTGCTTTTTTCACTGGACATAATTGAGTCAGATAGCCCCAAGCCATTTCAGCACAGCTAACCAGCTTTAATAAATTTTATCCCAATTCCATGCGTTGGTTATTTTTTTTTAGTATATATTTGTCCTGTTCTTTACTTAGGTATATTATCGTATTGTACCGTGATCGTAAGTTGGGAGCTGACAAATAAAGACATTGTCTCGTTAAAGTATCTGCCAAAGACGTGGGGGATTGGGCAGTCGATGTGCTGCTGTTGCTACTCGTCGTTAACAAAAACCAACAAGTCAATATATACTTTCTTACACCTAAACTTCCACGTTGGCAAAATTCATCAATGAAATACATGTAATGAAACACAAAATCTTATGAAGATATTAGGTCAAGTTCTTAGATGAAATTTCAGAATTTTTTTCAATCAATCAATCGGGCCGGTTTCTCCATGACTATCATTTCAGTACCGCAAATCACTGATTCATCCATTAATCTGAAACCGACATATTATTGTGCTATAGCCTAGCCTAAAAACATTAAACCGTGAATTAATCCCGTTGTTTAAAAAGCTTTGTTAGTATGAATTCTCGGAAAGGCAATACGAACCCGTCCGACACACGCTTAATTTTATTGTTTCGGGTTACTATGGCATTAGTTTTTAAAAAGTATTGACAAAATCACCGGAATATTTTAATTGTAAGTAATTGCATTGTAAGTCCAATAGAATTCTTAGTTCTGCAATAAAGGTAATAAAAGTTATCAAATCAAAAAGTTTCCAGGACATGCAATACTTGGAAATGCATAAATTTCATTTTAGGTCAAAAATTTGGGGACAAAATACTGACGTTTTGAAGGTATACAGTACTATGTCTATGTAGCTATAAAGGTTTTTTGCACAAAGTAAATAGGTACTTAATTTAGCGTCCCAATATCACGAATATTAAAGACAAGACCAAGACATTACAATTTTGCAATCACATTATGTTAAGTTAACCGAGTTTCTTGCAATTTATTTCATTTTGAAAACATACATAAATTATGTGTTTTGGCGATGGTTACCATTAAATATGAATTATTACAAATTACCGAGTCTGTGTTCAATTTAAATTTTTCTTGCAGGGGTTCGTCACTTAACAATCTTTCATATGGTAATGTGATTACCACAAAACATCATGAATTGTCAGTAATAGTATTTATTCAGTGAAATCACTTGATCTCGCTTGTCATAAGTTCAAACGCCCGAATTTGAGCAGAGATTAGATTTAGTATTCAGAATTATGCGTGCGCTTGTGAGAGGTGGCAAGTTTAAATAAAAGAAAATCTTCATTATCATTGTAGATCTCGAATTTCCTTCTGGGTTGTGTTTTTTCTGATGGTCACGTATTTCTATATTTGTTTTTTTGTGATGTTTTTCTGGTGCGTTGTGTGCCAAAATTAACCATGTTAGAGCGGTATGCCTAAGACAGGCTTTGGAAAATTACGGCCCGCGGGCCGGATGCGACCCGCAGAAGTGTTTCAGCCGGCCTAATTGTGTCTGCTGAAATTACTATAGTTATTATGGATATAAATTTCCGCTGAAAATATCGATGAAAATAACGACCCTGATTGTAACATTGCGCTTTCTATTATATTATAAACGTTAGCCCAGCTATGGATCTTTCTCCGACCTTTGACCCCCAAAATATTCTTTTTATACTTTACCATTGAAATATTTTCAGGGCTATTTTAAGAGTGCTTTTGCGCCTGTAAAATGGGGTAATGTTTCAAACCATCATTATGATTCAGCGCATTTAACAATCTGTTTTTTAAAAGTACCGGTAGAGAATTTTAGCCTAGTCTATTACAGCTACTTCTACACTAAATTTTTTATTACTGCAATTAAATTGAAACTGCTAGGAAGACAGAGTGATCATTAAATTATCTGATTTATACCTAAGTTTCCGAAACACAACAGAAAACTAACGAATACAGTTCAAAAACGCAAAAATGAGGTAATGTTTACGACCACGCCTGAAAATCTGTCAGAGTGAGAAAAGTGTCTGAGCGGATGCGATGAGGGAGCATTATTACGTCACTTTTTGCATTTTGCTGATTGGTCAATGTCACGAAGTAAACAAGGAAATCGATGCTCGGGGAAAAGTCCATTCTACTAACTGTTGTGATGTTGTGAATAAACCGTTTTTTATTCATAGTTTCCTCATATTGAGTTTTGAGACTCTGGCCACTAACCAGATCTATTTTTTGTAGCTGGCCAACTTAGAAAAGTAATTGCCCACCCCTGGCCTAAAAGATGATGCAACTTTGGGAAATGTGATATTGTGGCACCATTCAATTACTATTGACATGCCACCAATTAAAAAATAAATAGCGGTCAGCCCTGTAAATTAATTTATTAATTTTTTATATCTAACATTTTTAAATTTTGTTTATAAAGAACGACGTTTTATAAAGGAATCAAAATATATTCAAACATGGATATGCCACTGGTATGACTTCGGTTCCTCCCATTTTCATAAACGCCACAAGCGTTCCACATCTACAATACATGCAGATTTTGACTTGCGAGTATTTTGGGCGTTAATTAATGTTTGAAAATGCCGACTATAAGTGTGAATCGGGATTTGTTGCATAAATGGCTTGGAAAAGAATATTCGGAAGAAGAATTTGATGAACTATGTTTCGAATATGGTCTCGAACTTGATGAAGTTACGTCCGTGAAGGAGCAGATACAAAAAGAGCAAGGGGAAGCAAAGGCAGAAGGTGCCTCAGATGACGTTATATATAAAATTGATGTCCCCGCTAACAGGTACGACCTGTTGTGCATGGAAGGCCTTGCTAGAGGTCTTAAAGTGTTTTTAAAACAGATTGAACCACCTCGTTATGTGTGCTCCTCTCCTCCTGATTTGATAAAATTGAACCAATCACTTGCCACACTAGAAGTTCGAGCAGAAGTAGTAGCAGCTGTTTTACGAAACATTTCTTTTACACAAGAACGATATGAAAGTTTCATTGACTTGCAGGACAAACTTCACCAAAATATTGGCAGAAAGCGTAGCCTTGTTTCCATCGGCACTCATGACTTGGACACAATACAAGGTCCGTTTTTATATGATGCTAGAAAGCCAACAGATATAAAATTCAAAGCTCTCGGCCAAACAAAAGAGTACACTGCTGTTGAGTTGATGGAATTGTACTCTAAGGAGAGTCATTTGAAATCATATTTGCCGATTATTCGTGACAAACCTGTTTATCCAATAATTTACGATAGTAAGGGAGTGGTACTTTCGATGCCCCCAATCATAAATGGTGAACATTCAAAAATCACTTTGAACACCAAAAATATATTTATTGAAATCACAGCGACGGATTTGACAAAGGCAAAAATAACTCTGGATACGATTGTAGCGATGTACTCGGAATATTGCGATAAACCATTCATAATTGAACCCGTTGAAATAACAAGACCGGATGGAAAGAAACTCATCACACCGGAATTGAAATATCGAAAAGAAACTGTTTCTGCTGAATATATCAATAATAAAATCGGCATCAAACAAAGTGCAGAACAGCATGCTGATTCACTAACAAGAATGTGTTTGAAATCTAAGGTTTTACCAGAAAATGGCAAAATTGAAGTTGAAATTCCCCCGACAAGATCCGACATCATGCACGCTTGTGATATTATGGAAGATTGTGCTGTAGCATATGGATTCAACAACATTGCCTTCACCTTTCCTAAATCTGTTACTATTGGAGCTCAATTTAAACTAAACAAGCTGACAGATTTATTGAGAATCGATATGGCTGCAGCTGGATTCACAGAGGGATTGTCTTTTGCTTTGTGCTCGAAAGACGATGTAGGAAGAAAATTACGGGATGGCGTTAAAGATATCCATCCTGTTCACATCAGCAACCCAAAAACATTGGAATTTCAAGTCACGCGGACCTCTCTTCTACCTGGATTACTAAAAACTGCTGCTTCTAACAGAAACATGCCACTCCCGATGAAACTCTTCGAGATACAAGATATTATTTTTAAGGATAGCACTGCAGATACAGGATCAAGGAACAGAAGACACCTGGCTGCTATTTACTACAACAAAACCCCTGGATTTGAAGTAATCCATGGCCTACTTGATCGAATCATGCAATTATTGGATATAAAACCATCAGATGAAATAGGACCAGATAAATACAAGATCCTGGCTGCTGAGAACTCTGCCTTCTTCCCAGGACGGTGTGCTGATGTTATGATAAATGGAAAATCTGTAGGAAAGATGGGAGTTCTACACCCAGAAGTTATCACCAATTTTGAACTTGTTTATCCAGCATCAGCATTAGATCTTGATTTGCAATATTTTTTGACATAATTTATTTATTGTAATTAATGTGGTGATGTCATATATTTAAGTGTTTGTAGCTGCTCTTATGCAGAGTTTTGGAAAATTATTGAGCGAAGATGGTCGACGCTGTTTTAAAAATCCTATAATGTATTAATTTTTCCTCAAAAATGTTAAATGCGGTTTACCTCAGGCCCTGTCCATTGAGCCGATCACAAACAATCCTATCCTTTTCTGAAAATGTGTACCTAAACATTTTGTTAAAATTTCACTACGGAATACAGAATTGCAATTATGTGTATTAGTATGATTCGGTTAGAGCAGTGGTTCCCAACCCCCTGCCTCACTTTCTATACTTATACTAAAATAAGCGGCAAAGTGAATATTGTGTAATATAAATTTTCATCAAGCTGTGATAAATGGCATTGGAACCGCGTAGCCAACTGCATAATTCGTGCTTGAGTTTTTGACAAAGCTAATCTCATATCATCCTCGACTTTCATCCGATTCTGTGCCGTCATTTCGATACAAAGAAGAGCTGAAAAGCTGCTTTCATATTTTTCATAACTTCATTTTCATATTGTTGCTTCTTCGCCATGGTAAATAAAATACCGGAATTATAACGTTACCGCAGGATGTATGATAACCTCCACAAAGAAACATCATAGACTACAAGCCTACCCCACAGTAAATACCCCTTTGTATCAAAATCCTGGTGTTCCACAGCATTTCTTAGAAGCCCACATCGCGGCGCGGAAATGCAGACGTGTTCGTGTGACATCACAATGGTTAAGATACCATAAACATCTTGCGCCGCTTGGTTTTCTGGGGTCTCACAACAGGTAGTGGAAATCTAGGGTCATTCCAGACGTTCTATTGACAAAATTTAACCTAAAGCTTTGTATTATTTTCTACTGATTTGCCTTCACGAACCTAGAAACCCGTTGCGACCCCCAGATTTACAGGAAGTTTTACCACTTATGCATAAAGCAGAACTTTGTGAAGAGAGGAGGGTGGCTGCAGTCAGGGGTGTAGCAAGGAATTTACACGGGTGGTGGTTGCAAAATCCCTAACTGCCAAGTTAACAATAACAAAGGCTGTCCGACGACGTGGGTTTTCAAGAGTCTTTGAGTGTCTTAAAGCAGCTGATATGTATGTTGAAAAAAACATTTTTTTCACATTTCAAAAGGAGGTCCGACCCTCAACCATGGCTGTAGCTTCAAATAAGTTGTTCATTAATATCAGTTTTGAGTGCCTGTTGACTGGACACTGTAATATTGCTGCATAACTTACAGCCGCCTGTCCACTGAGCCGATCATAAACACACCCAAACCTTCCTGGAAAAAATCTGAAATGTATACATCCTAATAATGTTCAATCATTTTACTGTTTTGATAAAATTCTTTCATATTTATGGCATGGCTTATGTTTTGAGGAATACAACAATAAATCAATTTCTGAGGAGAATTATGAATGAACTGTGTTGTCTTTGGAATTTATGTCGCAGTTTATAGATAATTGGGGATTGCCTCGATAATATTTACTATTCGCTGGAGTTTATCTGAAATAAAGTGGGATTTAGTCATGGGGGATACATGTCAAAATTTGAAACTATGGCTATACACCAATACCTCCCTGTAAATTCAAACCATAAATTCCACAGTTTTTTTAGAAGCATATATTATTTTTCAGTGGTAGTAGATATATGAATAACAAAATTTTTCTTATCAAATTGAAAATTTTCAATTTGCTTCCCTTTCAAACGCCTTTTCACCTTTTTATGTCGCAGTATTGAGGACCTCACCTCAGTTAGACTGCAATCTATGTCTTCAGGAAGCCTAATAGAATGGCAAGTTTCTTCATTTACTCTGATCTTATATTCAATAAGCTGGAATTTGTTACTTGTGTCTGGTTGAGGCCAGTTTTGGCTCATAACGTCACTTTCCCATTCATGATTTGTAAGCTTATAGGGCATAAGTTGCATCCCTGACCACAGTTCTGATGCAAAATGAGGTACCATTGGCGCTGACATTATAATAAGAGCACACACCGCTTTCTCATACTCCGGACTGGTTTGAACAATATCCCCTGGGACATTGAATAGTAATTTTGCAAGTGTCATTAGACAGGTGATAGCAGCACTGAGTACGCAGTCTTTTTTATAGTGGTTTGTTATATCATTGATTGCTTTATTGGTATCTCGAACAATATTTTCAATTTCGTGGAGAAGCTGTATAGGAGGATTACCCGAATTAACCTCGTTTTCTGGAATTTTATTTCTAGCATCGAGTAACTTTGTAACACAAGTCCATAGCTTCAACTGCCATCTCATAACACCAGGTATGACATCTGTTTTTACATCCCAATGAATGTCTTCGAATGGTGCAGCAGCATACAACACATATAGCCTTGTTATACTGTAGCCCCACTCATTAACAAAGTCCTCAGGATCTACTCCATTGAGTTTAGATTTACTCATTTTTTGAAACGAGACTTCGACTGGCTCGTTGGTTTCTCTTAGGACAGGATTGTCTCTGGACTCATCAACTTCCGATACATGAATATATTTCCCGGTTGATTTAACTTGATGTGTTTGTCCTTTAATAATACCTTGAGCTAGAATTTTTTTAAATGCTTCTCTATGTGAATGCAAATTTTGATCCACAAGGAACTGATTAAAAAATCTGGCATAATATAGATGGAGTGTTGCATGCTCTTTCCCTCCAATATATAGATCGACGGGCATCATTTTATCAGCTATGTCTTTAGAAAATGGCAATTTTGTGTTGTGTGGGTCAGTATATCTTAAAAAATACCATGAGGAGTCAACAAAAGTATCCATAGTATCAGTTTCTCGATGCGATGCAGCCCCGCACTTTGGGCATGTTGTATTTACCCATGATTGTACAGATGCCAAAGGGGAAACACCGGTATTTATTGATAAATCTTCTATATGAGGAAGTTTAACTGGGAGGTCTTTGGAAGGAACAGGGACCGGTCCATGCACAGGACAATGAATAATCGGTATTGGAGTTCCCCAATATCTTTGACGAGATATCAACCAATCACATAGCTTGCTACTCGTCATTTTACCACTATTAATTCCAAGTTGTTTACATTGTTCTAATATTTTAAGCCTCGCTTCATTTTGAGAAAGACCGGTAAAATCCTTTGAATTTAACAATAACCCATTGCTACTGACAACATTATTATATTCAAAATTAAATTTGTCAGCCATATTTTTTGCAATCTCATCGATGTCTGGAATACATAATATTGCAGTCGGCCTGTCATGTTTTGACTCATAGTCATCACTCAAAACAACTTTCAATTGAGTGTCATTGAATGGGTTTTTAACAAAACAGTTACTAATCAAAATAGGATCTTCTGTGAATGACATACTCATCAATTTGGTCTTCATATTTTCTGCGCCATACCTTCCAAGTTGATGAGCAAGTTCGTTTTTATATTTAAATTGCAAAACAACATGCGAAGCACCAAATACTGCTTCAGGGTTCGTACAAAACACTGGAAAGGAGATGGGTCTCTCAATACCATCTACTATCAAAGAAAAGTTCATGTAACATCCATTGACTTTCCCAATCCAATTTCTCTGCATGGATTTAATCCCAACATCTTCATCAATTTCATCTAAAGTGTCAAGTAGGGATTCTGCATATTCTGATGTTTTAAAAAACCATTGTTTCAGATATTTTTGCTCTACAACTGCTCCAGACCTCCAAGAACAACCATTTTCATCAACTTGCTCATCTGCTAATACAGTTTGATCAATAGGATCCCAATTCACAAGAGCATCCTTTTGATAGGCTAATCCAGACTCAAATAACTTTGTAAATATATACTGTGTCCATTTATAGTAATCAGACTCGCATGTCGAAAACTCGCGTTCCCAATCAAAAGTCAAGTTCAAATCTTTAAGTTGTTGCTTCATATATGATATATTACTTTTAGTCCATTCTGCAGGGTCGAGTTTCCTATCCCTTGCTGCATTTTCTGCAGGAAGACCAAAAGCATCCCAACCCATTGGGTGTATTACTTTATATCCATTCATACGATAAAAGTTTGCAAAGGTATCACTTATTGTGTAAACTCTTACATGTCCCATATGTAATCTCCCTGATGGATAAGGGAACATTGAAAGGCAATAAAATTTGGGTTTTCCATTATCAGCGGATAATGTCCTTCTTTCCCAATTTTCTTTCAATTTTTTATTCCAATATTTTTCAAGATCAATCCTTGTTACTTTTTTATATTTTCGTTCCCAAGATTTTGTTTCATTGGTGACATGTCTAACAGTATTATTGAGAAAATTTGATCTGCTGAGTTGTCTATATTTAGTAACGAAATTCCTCAATACTGTCATAATGTGTCTATCAGATTTCTGTAATAATAATGGGAAGATTCTATGCCTATCGAATTTCAAAAGCAAAGAGAGAGAGAGAGAGAGATTTATTGCCACAAAAAAAAAATCAACACTAATATAAACATAATACAATATCGAAAATATTCCACAGTAATTGATTATTGCTTTGTGCGGGTCGGTGTGCAAGACCGATTAAAGTCATCTAGGCTCCCGACCCTTGTGTATGTGCTATATATATAAGTTCATCATAGGTGGATACATAGGTGCAAACACACTAACACATGCCTTAACGAATTATTCGCTACCACCAAGCGAGTGACCAAGCCAATTGGTAAATACATTGAATAATTACCCCAAAGTATTTTCTAACTGGCCTTGCAGTAAATAAAACTTCAAAAACAGGTAGACATAACAAGTTTGCGTGGAATCATGAATATCATACAAAACAGTAAGATACGGTAGTACGAACTACGAAGGATAACTAACAAAAATAAAAGAAACATTGAATTACTCAAGGTCCGGTATCAAAACCTACGGGTACTTAAAAGTCAATCACTACCTTTTCCAGCTTCTAAAAAAACAGTAAAATAAACTGTATTTCGATTAGCGGACGAAAAACACGTGCTAATTAAAAATACTCAATCACTACTATTATATTTAATCTACAACTGTACATACCGGAAAAAGTTTTTACCTCGAAAAATCCCATTCCGATTTCTTATATTTTTGAAATTTTCAATGATTTGCCGTGATGCCAGGTGAAAACAAAACCTATGTGAAGCTAGCAGCAAAACACGAAATTGTCACAGTGGTGAAAACTAATTTCACGTGTTTACCTCCGTGATACTTCTGCTTCAGTGCATATGACGTCAGAGGATTTCGGCGAGCGGTTTATTTTGATTCTCGTTTCGGGTTTGCTCTGGTCGGATTGCTCGTATAAATGTAAAATACTGATTTAATTTCAATAAAGGCACAGGGATAAGAGCCACTCCAGATAAAATCGGTAGCAAAAGCAAGAAAATAGGTATAGTTTTAACTGTTGGACGTATCTTATTTATATTTTCTTTGTTGTATCACTAAAATAGCGTGGTTATCGTATTTTCTACATTTTTGTAATTTGTCTAACAGTCTAACGGACGCCGCCCAAGCGTTTTTGCAACCGTGAACGAATATGATCATAGCTCCAGAGTTTATTTACACAAATTATCAAAAGAGTAGTCGGATTGAATGTTTATTTCAGTATTTGGTTATCATTAAAATGAAATGAATAATTCTTGGGTCTCCCTAAAACCAGACACTTTGATATTTTCACCGTACGTCATTGGGGTTTCCAATTTATTTGACCTAATAATAAGACTAAAAATAAATTTTTGCATCCCTATATGGCAATAAAACAATATTATTTCCAATTTATTGGGGTATAATTAATTTTTCAATATTAAAATGTGACAACGCTTAGTACAAAATATAGAAATCCCAATGTTTTTGATTACTTTAAAGCAGAAAAATCAAAAATGCACATTTTGTATGATTGAATTTACAACATTTCGGTAGAATACAAAAGAGTTTGTGACTGGTGGAAACGTGTTGAATTTCGTAAGTGCCTGATTTTTCTCGATGACAGTTACCATTTTTTTTTTCTCAATAATTTCCTTAAATTATTTGCTTCAGAACTTACTATTCTTTTTTTTCTAAAGGAACTTCGATGTACCACAAACAATTTGAGCATTTTTAATAATGCAATGAGCAATACCATTTGACAACATATGGTCAATCATCGTACTTTTTGGATTTATTTGAAATTGATTATTCATGGTAAAATATGGCAACGCTAAGAAGAAAGTAACAAAATCAGGCACTTGTGAGATTTCGAGCACTTTGTAAAAACCTATTTCCCGATGTTTTTGCTTACTTTGAAGCAAAAAAGTCAAATATAGACATTTTGTATGATTGTAATTCACAACATTTTGGTAAAATACAATTTGCCTATATTATTTTGTACTCGGTGTTGCCACATTTTACTATTAAAAAATTAATTTGCTTTAACAAATTGGAGATAATATTGTTTTATTGCCATACAGGGGTGCAAAATTTTTTTTAAAGTGCCTGAATTCGCAAGTGCCTGGTTTTAGGGAGACCCATAATTCTTGATTTATTTGTGAAGCAAAATTACCAAGTCGACCATCTAATTAATGATTGTCAATGGAGATAAAATTTAGAATAATTGTATAGTAAAAACAAGATGAGATTTAGTTTTGTATTTTTTGAGTTACAGATATTTTATTGTACATTGCATTGCATAATATTGGATATACCAAGTAACTACTGTATCTCTGTAATTGTAATATTACAGTTAAGATGTAAGTTTGATCATAACTGGTTTTATAATCTTTCAAAAACTTTGGAATGAGTTGAATTAGGATTTGATTTTTGATAAGCTTTGGAATCCTGCTATCCACCATGCCATTATCATCAGTGGTCAATCCTCCATAAAGCTTTTATTCTTTGTGTTACTATATTTTAAAATCTTACTTATTCTCATTTCTAGAATTTACATTTAAAAATATCATCATGGCTGACGACACCCCAAGATCACCTCCAAAACCAACAAATGCTGCTTTATCTAATCTACCGTTGACTCGTTTGATACCAACAGATCCTGGATTAATGATCACACCAGAGAAATCTCCACTAATTACGAAAAAACTTTTGCTATCACAAGATGAAAATGAAGCCCCTACAAAAACTGTGTTGCTTTCAGAAAAACTCCCAGGCAATGTAAAACCTGCTGTGTTTATTCCTGATAAATCGGATCTTATACCGACAAAACTGAGTACATTTACTAATGATCCCACACTTGATGTAACTCCGGAAAAAGTTCCTACAGTTCTAATAAAACAAAGGAAAATTCCCACACCCACTTCACCTATTGACAGAAATTCAGAGAAAAATTCACGGAACCTTCATGTTCGTTTTAATATTCCTGAAACATCGCAAGAGTCTGAAGAAAGTACAATTTCTGATTTTTCCAGCCAGTGCAACTCTGGACGTGATGATTCAGGCAATCAAGAAACAATTACAAAAGTACCGTTTCAAAAAAGAGCGGCTCTATATGTTCAAAGAAACCCACTTGCTGATATAACTTCCGAGTCTTCATTACAAGATACTTCTGAAAACACGACAGGATCTGAAACAATCACATCAACTGATTCAGATAACAGTTCGTTTTTCAATAAAATTGCCCAATTTATCAAAGAGAATTCATCCAGTGTAGCTGATATGCATGGAAAAGTCGTTGTTCACAGTGACCCATCTGTTACCCAATCCCTTCCGCAGGTTAAATTGAAAACAACCCAGAAACAAACTGGAAAACCAATCATAAAACCACCAAAAATTACGAAGAGCAAAATAGTTAATATTCACACACAACAAGAAAATTCTGGCATCCCACGTAAAACAATTGACCAACTTACAAGGCCAAAATCTGCGACTACTGGGGAAAATGAAGGAAAAAAGAAACCTTTCTTGAAGAAAAAGTCTGGTCTTCTTCGCCATGAACACTCAATTCGTTATGAGGCAGAAAATCTAATTGATGAAAATTCGTTGTCAGGACCTACGTACAACAGTACCCTTAGTCTGGGCCAAGAACTTCAGGTAATAGTTAGAATATCGGTGCTCCCGAAGTATGCGAACCAAGATGGCGGACATCGGAACATAACATGGGTAACAGGTTAGGGTTAGGCGATTTTTATTTTCCAATTTTCCTTATTTTAGTCCTATTATCAGTTCTAAGACTAGCCAAGAGCCTCCCGTAGTATTTCTACCTAAAATTATGGCCTAACCCTAACCTAGTACACATATTACATTCCGATGTCCGCCATCTTGGTTCGCATACTTCGGGAGCCCCGAATATTCAGTTTATCATAAGACAGGGGTGTGCAACCTGCAGCCCACAAGGAAAACTTGTGTACACAGCAGAGAAGTGCCACTTTTGAATAGTGTGCGCCCTGCAAAACAAGTTTTTAATTTTCTCTAGTATGTGCGAGAAATTCCAATTGCTTTGCAATGTATATATATCTGAGCTTGTGCAAAGCGAACAACGCATGTCACACTGCCATAAGATATTGAATGGTTTTTGAAGATTTTAATTAAACTTTTTTTCAAATGTAATTAGTGTGTTATTATTTTTCATGCTACAAAATATACTTTTTGCACCTTCATCTGTGGGGCATAAATCCTTAGAATTAGGCTTCTCAAATTTTTATTAACAAAGCATGGCGCCGAATATACTCATCTGTAACTCGATATGCCTCATTACTTAAAATAGATATTTTTCTACAATTTGATACCAGACTTTTTCACAATATCTTTTACTTCTTGATTGCCCTAATTTCCATGTTTTAGTATTCGTCATACAGAATCCTACTTTCTTTCTTTAGGAATTGAAAGTTGCAGAATTCGATGCAAAAGACGCTGTGAAAAAGAAAATGGCAGAAAGTGAAAGATTACGGGTAATTTGTACATTAAATTGATTTTGAGAAAATAATTGATTTCATCTTTGGTCCCACAAAGCCTGGATCAGAATTCTAATTCGGAAAAAGGATGCTACCAGATTATGTCTCTTATTCTCTATGTTTTTATCCTGAATAGGAAGAGAGAGAGAAAGTTTTATTCCATTCGTCAAACCATAAAACACACAATATGTGCAAATATATATAAATAATAAATAGAAAGATGCTCTGGTGTATGACTGTAAGGCAACAATACGACCTTTTGGAGTCTGTTACCCCCCATACAGTTGCAAGAGTTGCAAACTAACACTGCTGTGCTAATGGCATGCCAGTAAATATCGTTCAGATTTAAAGTCACTTATTGACACAAATAATGGCGACTGAACAAGCTAGACAAGCAGGTTTCAACAATTTTGAATTGAATTCTAAACAAACTAAGGTGATCGAAGAATGTTCATTATGCTATCATTTCCCATGAAAATTTGTTATTAATAGAAAAGTATTGTGTCCCCCCGTAGTATGTGTACCAGGTTAGAGTTAGGCCATAATTTTATTCCGATTTTCCTTATTTTGATTCTATAACTAGTTTGGGGACTGTCTGTGCTTACCAAGTGAATATACCACCTGCCCAACTTGATGTAAAGTAGACAAACAAAATTAGTTACCTCCATATTGGTACGCATACTTTTGGAGCGCCGAGTTTTGTATACTGAACAAAAAGTCCAAATTAATTGAAGAGACAATTGCCATTGCTAAGATCAATATATAGGTTTATTTTTGTGGCAGAACTGCAGTATGTCCATAAAGTCCCTTTACAATTTCAATTTTGTTATGAAGTCAGTTCTCAATATATCTTAACCAGGTTAGTGTTTTTTAATCAGTAATTGTTTAGATATTTTTATTTCATATCGGTATCGATAAATTCCCTTTGTATTTTTGACATAGGAATTGAAATGAAAACATTGCAGAAGTTTGTGTTGTTCAAATTCATTGCATGTTCACACTTGATTGTTCTCATTTTCCAGAACTATGTTGCAGAAAAAACAGCTGAAGCAACCAATATCAATCCCGATGAAAAACTCTATCAGAATTTAATTAGTGTTGATGTATCAGATGATGAACTATTACCAACGACTGCAGCTTGGAAAAGAAAGAAGCCTAAACCATTTAAACCAAAGGTTAGTTTTGTAATTTGAGTTTTTAGTTTTATGTTGGGTACTCCCGAAGTATGTGAACCAATATGGCGGACACTGGAAAGCAGTATGCGTACCAGGTTAGGCCATGATTTTATTCCAGTTTTCCTTATTTTAGTTCTATCACGAATTTGGGGACTAGACAAGTGACTCTGGTATTATTTGTACCTAAAATTATGGCCTAACCTTAACCTGGTACTGTCTGGTACACATACTTCGTTCCGGTGTCCGCCATCTTGGTTCACATACTTCGGGAGTACCTTATTGTGTGTATTTGTAGATGGTAAAAATATATTTGAATATATATCGCCATCATTCCCAATTTTGCCTGTGATCTGAATAATTCAGGGCTTCACATACTAAGTGTCGCGATCCCGCACGAAGACTTGCAACGAATTTTAGAGGTCGCAAAGATTACACTAGACTTTCGCTTCAAAACACAATCATTAAGTTAGTGCAAAACATAAATCTTACAATTTTGAGAGAATACATAGGATCAGAAAAGCTCTTGTATAACAATGCCGACTTAACAGGGTTTGCGGGAAATTTTAATATATTGAAAGGGGTTGCGAGCTTGAAAGTTTGGAAAGCCCTGATCTAATTGATTTATTCGATACTATGGATCTATTGGAATTTGTTGTTACTTGTTATTGTTGGGCAAAAAATCGCTTTCATGATGAATTTTAATTGATAGTGGTTAAATTTAATATTTCACAATGGCCGCATGGGTTGCAGTGGCCACACGCTGGTCGTGCATCTAATTAATTCTCAGCGGGTCAGTTCTAGTCCACTCGGCAGACTAACATTAATAATAATAAAAATGATTCAACGCCGTTCATATCTTATTTTGTATTTAACCGCTTACTATTAAAGTGTGTAAAGCGTGTCTTAATTTAGCATATCAGTATTTAGGGATTACATACATTTAGAACAATTGAAGGCAAAATATATTGTAATATTCCTAAATTTTATTGCCCTGGGATATGCCTGTTTAGTATCAAATAAAATCCAATGGCCAGGACATTTCCAAATAAATAATACATTTATAGTACCGGTAATACATTTACAATCCAGCAATATGGAAATTCCCACTATTTGAATAAGTATGAAAATAGAATAGGATTCGGTATTCTGGATTCGATTTAACTATTCTAGAATAGTGAATTATTCTATATTGCCCATCCCTACTTTCATCACTTCAAATTTTAAGTGCTTATATATGTGGCAGAGTTTCTTGAAAGGCAATTATTTTGATTTGTTTGTTCTCTGGTTCTCTGGGCTTCCTATTCCATTGCCTTACCCCAAATTTTGATATATTGTACTATATTTTCCCTATTTTAGTTCTATTACGAGTTCGGAGACTGTCTGTGTTAGCCAAGTGAATATATCCCTTGCCCATAAGTTTCAGTTCCTTTACACAACTTGATGTAAAGTAGGCGAACAAAATTAGTTCCCTCCATATCGGTACACACACTTCTGGAGCGCCAGGGTATCAACATAAACTAAATGTCCATATATTCAAGCATTCCTTTCTTGTCCATCATGTTGTTGTTTTATTACCTCTGAACCTATCTGGGTTTTGGGACCCTGGCAATTCCGAGTATATGAACAACAATCCAGTGTGGTGTGGCTCAACGTAGCAATACGCTCGCCACCGCACCTCTAATTACTCTGCGTGGGTTCGCAGGTTCGAATCCCATGCAGGGATGGTTATGTGCGAGAGGATTGCTGGACTCCTCGCCGTCGTTGGGTGGTTCACGTAACCGCTGGTCGGTTACGGCTTCCTCCACCACCAAGTCCATGCTTCTGAAAACAAACAATATAACTAATCCCATACCAGACTTGGAATGGTAACCGGACGGGAGGCCGTGGTTCGCCATATGGATAAGCCTTCTTATCAGCTTTCCTCTCCCCCGGGATAAATATGTAAATCTTATCCTTATCCGAAAACTGTATATGCAGTTTAGGTCAGACCATGAGAATAAAATATATCTTTCAAAAACGTTTTACAGTCGCCAAATTAAATTTGAGATGGTATCATTGAGTGCAGCACGACTTTGAAATTAGCATTAAAGCGTTGTTATATTTGCTCTTACATCCTTGTGCCAAGTATCTAAAGAGGAGAGAGAGATTTTATAATTTCGTCAAACAAAAAATATATTCATCTAAAAATAGCAACAGCAATAAAATGCTTTGGTATGGACAGGAGGGAGTGATACGACCAGGTTAGCTCCCACCATATGTGCTGATGTCAATAAGATTCACACTGAAAGATGACTAGTGGCAAAACTTGAACTAGTACAATAATATTTTTACAAGTTTCTATAACAAAATTGAAGGATTCCTAAGTAACTTCGATAAACCCTTATAAGGGCAACACGTCACATCTTTAATCATGTAATCAAGTTTTTGCTTTTAGAAAACAAAGTATGGGGAGCCGAACATTATGGATACTTTTTCCCCTGATGAATTATTCCATGAAGAACCAGTTATTGACTTGGATGCTCTGAAAGTTCCCACCCCAGGAAGAAGATTGATTCCTCTAGAAGAGATCATGACACTGGATGAACATTATCAAATGTGGGAGCGCCTATAACCTATAGTACCATTCAAAAATGATTTAAATTTACAGTAAACCTAATAAATTAGATAGTTATATATTTTAAATATCTTTACAAAGTCTGGTCAAAATCATGATTTTGTTTTATATATTTTCCAATTTACTAAAAAAGGTTTATTTATTTCGTAGCTTTTTTTAAATTTTGTAAAATATATTTTTGTTTTCCAAATGAAGGGTTATTTTTGAAGTTATTCGCTGGAGATGTTAAATCCTATTATGACATTTTTACGGGATTATCGCTTCTTAGGAATGCTATACACAAGTAGCATTGACATATTCGAGGTATAGCTTACCTGCTTTACTTTACATGGGCATGGATCCTGAGCATTGGACATCAAACTAGTATCGTCCTGTTACCAGTTGGGATCGGTAGCGGTGATCAAGTACCATAAAGTTACATGTACATGGTTGATGGGCCTTTATTGCTGAATCAGCTGTATTTTTCCGATCGGAAAATCGGGCAGCAAGAAATGAGTAGAGAAAATTTGCGGGTTTACCAAGCGCATTTCTTAAACATTCGTCGAGTGGAATTGTAGATAGTGTATCAAAAATGTGATCCGGGGAGCTTTTCAGTTTTCCGCTCGCGCATGTTTTAATTCTATGTTAATTTAGTGAAGCTGTCTGAATCTCTAGTCCCAAGGTGAACCTTTTACCCATCTCAGCATATCATCATGTGCGAATTGACACGCATTACGATTACTAGAACCAGCGTGCTGGAGAGAGGTGCCCGTCAAACAAGTCACGCGGCTTCGTCCGCAAATATAGTATAGAATAGATGGAATGTCAATTCAATCAGTTTCAGTTTGGTCACTCTGACATAAAACAAAACAACAAACGGACAAACAAAATCTAGAGGACGGGTATAACTAAAGGACCAAGTCAAAAGACGTACAAGTACGCGCCCGTCCACAAAAACACAATAAAATAAACATACACGATATAAAATCGGGCAGTAACTATTAAATACAAAACAATGAAAACGTCAGCCCACTGTGCGGGTCGAAACGATGTATGAATGAGCTTCATGTCCAGAAACATACAAAACAATGAAAACCTCAGCAAACTGTGCGGGAAACGAAGCATGAGTCGACTTCGTGTGTGTATGATAGGTTCAGTAAGAGTGACAGTGGCTCGAATATATATTAAGCCATTTGGAAAAACGAAGTCACTTCATATAATTGTTCTATTAAGTGCGACTACGAGTGGGCAAAAATTGAAGCAATAGATTTGCCGCGCGAGATTTACTCAACTTTACTCATCAAATCTTAAACAGGACGCTGTAATGTTTTGTGGTAAACAGTTACGTCCGCTGAAAGCGTCCAAAATCTATACATTGTCTCGGGAATTTCCGCATATGTTACGTCAAAATCCAGTATTTACTGTAATCACATACATTCGCGTATTCTTGTGTGTTTTTATTTCCGGCATGAGCCTTGTTTAACCAGGTTGTTTATTTGTGTTGTGAGTGGACATATAATATTTGTCATGTTTTAAACTTTTTTAAGGTTTTGCCCGCTCTCCAGAATTCCCACATTTTCAATTTGTGTGTATTATGGAGTTCTCAAAATGAACTATCCATATATAACAAACGAATTCTCTACACTTAATTCAAAAGTCCGGTGCTGGTTATTGGCTGAGCTTAATTACCTCCAAACTATAACCTAATGGGATTTTCCAATTTATCACTTCCAGTCGTTAGTCGTTGCTTCCAGTGGTTCCCATTTTGACCGGATGAGAACAACTATTTGAAGTAATTCATAATAAATTTATATACTTACGGGCCACCGCTATTTAGTAATTGACTCTTCATAAATAGGCATACCATATAGGCCTATGTAAATGAAGAAAACAACGGGGCAGTGTACAAGACTTGGACATTTAAGTCTAAAACCTTGCTTTAAAAACATTGCGTAAGGTGTCGTTTACTCTCCTAATTCTATAATCAGTTTTTCTTAAATATTTAATCGTCTGTCATGCTTATTATGGAGTCCAAGTATACTTTGTTCAGTTTGTCTTTGAAACTCAACGCCGTGGGACATCAATCCTGAGTATACATGACTCATCACGGTAAACATCTGCTCGTGATACGAAAGCTTCATCCAACTTTGCCCGGTGTACAGCTGCGAGCATTCGAATTCAATTCCCAGGTATACACTCTCGAAACCTCGATTTATCAACTAAGCAATTCAGCTAAGGCATAACCCGACACTTTAATTGCCACGGATGCTCTTTAATTAATAAAGCGATGCCGAATTTCCTAAACCGGGACGCTCGAGTTGTATAGGGTGTCCTTAAAGTCTCAAAATTGCAAAAGGATTTCATTGATACCATATATCTCTTTGGCCCTCATAGATGCATCAAATGAAGTAAAAAGACTTAGGCAATTACTGATTAAAAAAATAACAAACCTGGTAAAAATATATTGAAACTGACTTCATAACAAAATCGAAAAGGGGCTTTACGAACACCCTGCACTAAACGCTCCAATTTCCATTGTGTAACTTGGGAACGAAACCGCACTTCACCGAGCAGCCGACACCAAGTTCTTACCGTATGCTGCTCCAAAACATGGCTGAATCTAACACAAACTTCTCGGACCCCGGTTTGTGACAAGTCTCTATAAATGATTCTAACAACGAAGTTTACAAACTTGCACAGAACAAGGGTTTATTATGTCATTGTTTCCTTGATAAGCAGTAATGATGTAAAAAGCAGCTCAAAACCAAAGAAACTTCAGATGCTTCAAAAAGGAAGAAGTTAAATGACAAAACTGGACAGGAACACACGAGGGGAGGCTGAATTTGATTTGTATAATGCCACAAATCTTATCTAGTGACAACCTATGTACAAAAATGTATAAAAAGTAACATAACGTGATATGGAATGCAGTATGGCAGAGACAACTGAGTAGAAAAATTTTGTTTGAGCAGAATAACCATCGATATAATTAATGGGAAACACACAAATTACTAGTTATGCTAATTAAGAGAGAATCTCTCAAATAATACAAGTGATTAGCAGAATTTCACAATGATTGACACTATTTTCAACGAAATTTCAAAAATGGCAGGATTGCAATGTTAGTGAATACCTGGGGATCGAGCAGCTTCTGTTTAGCTTGCAGAAATGTGAAAATGAATAAACGAGAAAAAATGAAAAACCTATTGTGCACTTAATTAAAAATTACAAAATACACCAAGAAAATAATCGAAAACTTGTATAGCTCTGATAAGCTAAATCCCATCAAAACAGCTAAAAGCAGTTAATAAAATCATGAAAAACTCCAAAATGTAAGAAAACTAACTGATGTTGAAAAAAAGAACCATTTTCGATGACAACCAAGAAAAGAAAATGCTTTATGGCAAAACAATGCCCAGAAGTTCAAAGAATTATTGAGACATAAAGCCTCCTATTCCTTGGATTCAGCCTCTGCCGCTGGTTCCTCCTCTTGCTTGGCTTCACTGCCATTGCTTTCCTCGACTTTTTGTTTTTTCGCTTCGTCAGTTTCCTCCTGCAAAACAAACAAACATTGGTATTGTGGAACTAAGTGGAAGTCGAGCAAAACTCAATAATGTGCCAGATTTGATTGCATAGCTGAAACTAGCCGTATCTACTAAATCACTTTTCTTATTAAAGATTGAACCATGGGACATATATGCGAATATTTCAAATTTCATCAGATTGCTTATAACTGCAAATGAGAGATCAGAAAAATGAAACAAATGAAGATACACATTCGAAGTGGCCATCATTATTTAAATTTGGTAACCTTGTTGTGCAGAAATAGGGCGCTCAAATATGTTTCACCTTGAGGAAAATCTTGCAAACTCACTTGTGGCGCTTATAAATTACTCCAACAAACATAAATCTGATGTCAAGTCTGAATAAAAAAAAACATTTTGGACATTCTCTCACCGTCTGCTCATCAGCAGATCTTTTGGTTGCCTCTTTCTCTTCTGATTTTGAATCATTAAGTTCTTTTTCTTGCGATCGTGTTTTAGCATCTTCATTCACACCTCCCTCTTTTCTAAAAATTGTTTCCCTTCCTGAAACAAGAAATAACAAAATTAGTTCTAATTCGCATGTCTATCTCTTTTGAAGATGAATCAACTCGTATAAATCTGAAAAATTAAAATGTGCAATTTGAGATTGATCAACGATGTCGCTATTGATGATTTCACTGAAAAAAAAACTACAACAAATTAGTTCACAATTAAATATTGCTTAGTTCGAAAACCACTGAAAAAGGTTTTTCGTTAGGCAGGTGAAAACTACAAAAACCAATTGAAAAGTGCACTTCAAATATCCTGAAAAACATAAATTAGTAAAAATCTGTTATGATTGGTTGTTAATTGGTCTACATGGTCACACAAGAACCTTTGCAGTGGCGACCATCGTTCTATCTTGCGGTAATTTTGGAGTTTTTTGTTTTTCTTCTGGAATAGCGTCAGGAATCAATCTGTCCAAACCATGGTGTTTTATAACTTCCACACCTCCAGCTTGGCGCCGTAAAAATTCAAGACCCTCCTGTGGGTTAACGTATTAGTGTTCAACAAAAAAGGCGAAATGAAAATAAAAAATATATAAAATAACTTGGCAAAATATGAAAATACACAGATATAAGAAAACAAAATATATTAAGCCTATTACAGCATAAAATTAGCGTACCTCAGCTGTTTGGACCATGGTATTGTCTCTTGTAACTTTAGTTCCATTTGATTCTGTAACTGGTGCGTCCCCAGATCCATTTGAGGGTTTTTCAGCCTGATCATCCTTCAATTGTTGTTTAATTTTGTTGGCAAGATCCGGCTTCTCCTTTTCCAAATATGCCAATCCCTCCTACCATCATGATAATAAGGCATTTTAGCATCTTGTCGATATCGCATAATCCGCATACAAGCATATTGGCGTAGTTTGACAGAGACAAATTCAAACTTTATTCCATAGCATAAACAAATTTTCAGATCACCAGAAAATAAAAATTTCCATTAATAATTTGGAAATGGTTTTAGAATCAGTATTTTCACACTTACTGGTTTTTTTCTTTCCTAAAAAACGGTCGCGGGGCGCAAACGGCTCAACAACGCATCGGCTGTCGCCATATTGGAAACGCATAAGCTGCATCGCTAATTTAGCACGTGGCGGGGATAGAAATATCGACATTTCCCTTCATAAACTTGACAAAATCCTTTCTCACCTTGGCAGTAACCTCCATGGTACCATCCCTAGTAACTTTAGTGGTCTCGGCTGCCATTTTTTATTTGTGAATCTGCTAAAACAACGCGCAAAAATGAAGGCAAAATTGACTGAAGAGAACAAAGAAAACCGGTCTAAAGCGCACTAGAAAAAGCAAATCTGCCAGACGAACGACTGAAAACGTCACACACGTCGCGATGAGAGAGATGTACGAAAAAGCGGAGCCGATCGAGTACACATGGACGAAATAGTGGGAGGAATATAAGAAACAGAAAGATGGCCGCGGTTTACATCACGTGACCAAAGAGTGAAAGGAAACGGCATTATTTTTACCTTAGTTTTACTGCGCGAAATGTTTTCTGCGCAGAATATTATCCAATGAAAATGCTTGAATCGAACGTTGTTTATGACTGAGATGCCGTGTGTAAGCATTGAAGCATAAATTCCCGGATTTAGCATTCGTGATTGGATGATTTTTCGAGCGCGTACGAAATTGAAATGTACGTCATGTCATATGTTTGTACGGCGTTCAATCGCATATGCTCTTGGATGAACTGTTAATAAATTTAGCCTCGAGCATATTCAGAGATTTTGGGGTGAGTGACGTATTGTTCTCGATTCGCTCATGGAAAATTACTGGAAACCGTCACGTCGCGCTCGAACGAGCTTTATTTTCTTTCGCCGGAATGATTTAAAACGTCATATTTTTGAGTCTTGGCGGGTATTTTAAGAAGTTTTGATGCACGTTTTCACGATGGAATATTTCTGGAATACTTCTACGCCGTGAAATTTGTTCATATTGATTTTCCAGTTAATCAATGACTTAATCAAAGTGGCGAATGAAATTAATTGTTGTCGAACGCTTTCTTGAAATATTTATTTGCCATACTTTCGCGTATGACCGAATTTTACCGACATGGCTCAGTATTTTGACGCTTGTGGATATCTGTTAGTTAGCGTACACTATGCTATTAGAATTATGGTGAATAATACCTCTATTGTGATATTTTAATTGATTTAAGATGTTTCGTGCTGTAGTTTTAGTTAATGATCGAATACAAAATGATAAATAAATTCAAAGCATTTCCAGCAAATAAAAGCCTGTATTTAAATTTAGTATACTTTACTAAAGATATATAAAAGTTATTACGAAATTATTGTAACTCATTTTTATGATTCTTTAAAGTCCCAGTAGATTTTGGCATTTCATTGGCCGAGCGTAGCTTGGCTTTGAGATCATTCTTCTTTACTTCTGAGTGCACATGACCCTGCTTTGAGCAAATTTACTCAGAAAACCACGAGTCGACAATAAATCGCTCATTTGAATACAGCCGAGGTGGGAGTTTGGAAGGCGTTTCCCATCCTCAGTTCACGTTTGGTACTCTGTGATTTTCCGAAAACAGTCGCCATGGTGTTAAAATCGGCCAAGGACACGCACCATATATTTTTTCATTCATAAATTTCAAACGAAAAATTGATTTGAGTATATATTTATTTTGATTCTCCGCAAAAAATATACGCAAAACAAAAACAATGTACACAGAAAATTGAAAAATCGAGGAAACTGGAAGAAAACTTCAATAAGGTTTAAAAAATGTAGATATACAAGAGCCAGTAATAGAACTAAAATATAGAAAATTGGAATAAAATGATGACCTAACCCTCACCTGGTACACATAGTACGTTCCGGTGTCCGTCATCTTGGTTCGAGAGTAGGCCTACCCAAGATTGTATTCTTCGCTAGAAGGCTAATACTTTCATTTATTTCAAAACTTTTTGTGGGCTCTATGTGATTCGTTTTCACTTCGAACTTTTTTTTGATGACCCATTGAAAATTATTACAAATAATTGATATTGATTCCTCGTGCTACTCTCTACGCCAGGGGTCACCAAACTACGGCCCGCGGGCCGGATGCGCCCCCCGACGTCATTTTATCCGGCCCGCAATAACACGCAAAAATGGCTAAATTATATTCAAAGGGAGATTTTCCCGAGCATCGTCTTCCTTGTTTATTTCGTAACATTGGCCGATCAGCACGTTGCAAAAAAAAGTGACGTAATAATAGGCCTTTTCGCATCCGCTCAGACACTATTGTCATCTTGACAGATTTTCAGTCGTGGTTGTAAACAATATTTCGTTTTTGCGACTTTAAATTTTTTTTAACTTTGAACTTTTCGTTAGTTTTTAATTGTGTATCGGAAACTTAAGTATGAATCAAATAAGTCGATTATCATTTGCCTCCTTAGGAGTTGTAGTTTTAATAGTAGTAATGAAAAATTAGTCTAAAAATATAGCAGTGACAAAATAGGCTAAATTCTCTACCGGTACGCAACGTTTTCTGCGAAAGACGTATTTGTACACTCGTGGCGCGTGCTTTCCTACGAAACAGTTCACGTTTCTTAGGCTAAAATAAACGTCCAATGTGCATTTCGCGCTAACAGTACTGTAATTTTCTCGCTACTGGCTCCCCAAATTTAACAAGGTCACACTAACTTTGTTCTGTCTAAATGCGGATATTTCATGTAGGTGTGTTTCCAAAATATTGAAGTTCATCCGATATAGTTGTCTAGATATAGAAATCTTGTATATTTGTTTCCTGGGATGTTCTCGATCTATATTCTGCGATATAGATAGAATTTAATATTCAAGTCTTCAGAAATGTAGAATATATAAATATTGTTTGAATAAATTGAATGGATTTCCCAACTTTTGTAAATTTATTGTATTGCATTGACAAAAATATTCATCCGGCCCGTTTCAATACAGTTTGAGTCATACCCGGCCCGCGATCCAAAAAGTTTGGTGACCCCTGCAGTCTACGCGAAAGTCAGATGTCGTTTCCATATATTTGAGCATCGCTCTCTTGCTTTGTATATACATAGCTCTGAGTATACCCACTATTTGTCATTTATTTTTATTGACTTCTGCGAACTCCAAAATGAAAATAATTTTGATCTATAAAGCAAAATGTAAGGGTAATTACGTTTAAATTTAATTTTCTAATCGACACCTACAGTTGAATATTGATCGAACCAGAAAATTGTGTTTTCTCATTATACACACCATTGTCACGTCCTTTACAACTGTTCAGCCATGCTATTACAATTTTGGAATGGTATAAAGAAGGATGGCGATAATAACAGTTGAAAACGATAATACTAAAAACATTTCTCGGTCTAAGGATCGAAAGAGCAAAGGAGCGACGTGACTGCTGCGAATCGGAGATCCTTTATTAGAATGTGGAAATGAGACATCAGGGACATCTTTTCCGAGAAAATCGCATAACGGTCCCAGCCATCAGATAATTTGAACTCAAGGAGTTTGTCTTTCGGTGCTTTCTGCAAAACAATAATTGGGAATTTTTTTTATTATATATAAATAAGTCAGATATCAACCTCTCGTCGCGGTACGATATATAAATAAGTGTATATGTAGCAGAAAGTATGTTACAATTAAAATAACAGCGAAACGAGCAAAAAATGTGAAAATATATTGCCATGAAGGCCAAAACGAAATATTACGGGTATCAAATCTTTTACAGTACTGTTACCGTGGTCTTTCTGTTCGACTGCGACCATCAGATCGCCACAAAGTGCGCAATTTTTAATTTTGATGTCATCACACAAAAACAAACGAATCCCATGAAACGCACAGAAAATTTTGAAACGAATAAAAGTAATAACCGTTTAGTGACAACAACAATCTTTAACCTCTGAAAATTTCAAAGCAATTGATCCAGTAGTTAAAGAGAAACAACACGAAAAAGTAATACTAACACATGATAACAAAGCGACGTGTAGTATGTGAAACAAGATGGCGGACACCGGAACGTAGTATGTGTACCAGGTTAGGGTTAGGCAATAATATCAGGTACAAATACTACGGGAGTCACTTGGTTAATCGTCAAACTCGTAATAGAACTAAAATAAGGAAAATTGGGGTAAAATTATGTCCTAACCCCAACCTGGTACACATACTACGTTCGGGTGTCCGTGATCATGGTTCACATACTTCGGGAGCGCCCAAAGCCATCTATAGGTCCACTTCGTGTCCAGTAATAGTAATAAAATGCGTGACACACCTGTCGGACAGATAAATTATGCTTCCTGTATCTTTTCCTCAATACATTCTCATCTCGTAACATGATATTAGAAGTTTTTGGTGGGCATTCAAAAATCGCTGTGACTTAAAAAATAAAAACATGTTGATTAGCTTAGGGAAATTACGGTCTTTAACCACTGAAAATTTCAAGGCATTTGGTTCAGTTATTAAAGAGAAAAGTGAATCTTTCACAACAAGGAGAAGAAAAATAATACTAACACCAAATCAATAACAAAACGATCCATAGGTCAATTTCGTGTCCAAAAATCTGAATGGCGCAATAGAAAATAAAATACATACAATTTTCCTTATTAAAACGAGCAAATTTCCTTCCAGTGGGAGTGAGGGCACATTGTGCCTGAAAGATTTTGGAATCGTTTATTGAAGAAGCCTGTTCATTCCAGCTTTTCAACCAGACATCTTCACTTTTCCTCGTGGTGAGAATTATCTAAAGTATAGTGATGCTAATAGTTACACCGAAAGAAGTGGTTACCTAACTGGGTGATATAGAATTTCATTTCCACATTAAATAACCACTAAACTACCGGCGCTCCCGTAGTATGTGCAACAAGAAGGCGGACACCGGAACGTAGCATGTGGTGGTTAGGGCATCAGGTTAGGCCATAATTTCAGGTATAAATACTACGGGAGTCACTTGGCGAGTAATAGAACTAAAATATAGAAAATTTGAATAAAATATGACCCAACCCTAACCTGGTAAACATACTATGTTCAGGTGCCAACCATCTTGTTGCAAATATTACGGAAGCGCCCACTAAACTACCTACTTTTGCATTAGGAAAAGCTTCGTGTAAGGTTTGCCAGTAAACACAAGCCGGGAAATCGCTTATAGCATCTACATCTTTGTACATCTTCTTGAACATCTCAACTGAAGCTCCTTTTTCGAATATCTCCATCCATTGATCTCCAAAGTACATACAATTTTCATCGAAGTCATACACTGTATACCCCAATATTCTCAAACAATCGCGCAGTGTTTTTGTTCCACATTTAGCAAAGCTGGCTATGATTACCTTCATCTTAATGACGACTTAACTCTAATCACCTATTCGTATTTAGCTTCTCTAACGACTTATGCAGTACTGCACTACAAAAAGCAAATACACCTAACAGCGCTCACGTAGTATGTGCACCAAGATGGCGGACACCGGAATGTAGTTAGTATGTGTACCAGGTTAGGGTTAGGCCATAATTTCATTCAAATATTCTCCTCAATTTAGTTCTATCACGAGTTCGGGGACTAGACACGTGACTCCCGTAGTATTTTTACCTGAAATTATGGCCTAACCCTGACCTGGTACACGTTCCGGTGTCCGCCATCTTGGTTTACATACTACGGAAGTACCAACTTAAGAATACTAAGGTTTGCAACTTACATTTATTGCAGCGAACAATTACGAATAATCGCATCCCAGCGACATAAAATACGATGTAAAATAAAACCCAATATAGTATATAGTCTGGCAGCAATCACGAAGAAGAGAAAAAAGTTTATCTTTACATTCTCTTTATGTGAGTTCACCCTAAGTTTGCGTTTTATGATATTTAGATTAGTTGGTTTACATATTTATTCCTCACCGGATTCCAACCCAGGCAGGGTAATCAGAGGTGCAGTGGCAAGTGTACTCCCAACCGCCGAGCCGTGTAGGTGCTGTGTGTCAATTAAGTTCAAATCTACGAAATGTAGTTGCGATTGTAGTGCTTAGATTCAATTCATAAATAATTATATATATATATATATCATTTATCAAACATGGTATACTAAATACAAACATATAAGTTTGCTTGACATTTCTATGCGATCACACGCTGTTCTACATGTTGTATATTAAGACATGTAACTAAAAGGTATTGCATATATATATATCCAAAGAATTGCCAATTCTAGTATAACTGCTGAATGAATTTTAAGTGCGAGAAGTAGGCTACTTCAACTAGGTCTTCCGTAATCCATTCCCGTTCTCTGATAAAACGTACTGGAATCGCCTGGGCGACTAGAATATTACTGAATTATAATCTAGCTGCGTTCCCTTCGTTGCTTCATTACGTTTTAATCAGTCGACGATAACCTCAAACACGTGACTGCAGCGATATGTATTAGACGCTTGTATGCATTAGTCAAACAAAGTCATGTCTATAAAAGCAAAGTTTTCTCCGTCAATAAGTCTATGCATCTGTAACAAATCACTGGCTAGCTGATACCATACTCGACATGGACTGGAGGCCGCTGTACGTCCTATGAATAATTAAGCCGTCTTGTCGGCTTTTCTCTTCCAAGCAAATTGATCATTCAAATAAGTATAATTGAAATAGTTTTTTTTTTTTTTTTTTTTTTTTTTTTTTTTTTTTTTACATACATTTTTTTTTTATTAATAAAAACATCACATTATCACAACACATTTATATAGACACAATAGCACAAATACAATTGCATTTTAAAAAAACGAGCACACAATAGTTTTCCACTTCTTATTATGGATTGACAGTTTACCATTTTTAGTTGCAATAATCTTTTCACAGTTTATAATATTTTTTATCATATATAAAAATTGGCAAAATTGAGGCCTTTCATTACGCAGTTTACATTTGTATATAAAATATCTGGCACATAATAAAACACAGTTTATACCCTGATTTTGCCCTACCCCCAATAACATTTCTCTATGTGTCAAATTGAAGTTTAATCCATACTCAACGGTTAGCCAAGCGTTAACTATTTCCCAAAATTGCTGCACAAATTCACAGAGATAAAATAAATGTAACACGGTTTCAACATGCATATTACAAAATGTACATTTTGGACTTTGTGTTTTATTTATTCTATATAGCAGGTCATTAGTGGGCACTGCTCGCAAGGCAAATTTGACATGGAATGAACGAAGTCTGGATTCAATAGAGCAATAAAAAACTTTTTCATACAATGTAAACCAATTATCTAAGTTCCTGCACAATTCTTTTGACCATTTTTCTATTTTTTCAGTTGGCGGCAAAATTTTTTCATTACAAAGCTTATCATAAATATATCGAGACGTTTTATCAATGCTTTTAATATCTTCGATAAGACTAAGATGTGGATTGACTGGTGAGGTTTTTGATAAATTAGTTTTCCATTGCTGGGGTATACATGATATAATTTTTAAATACGCTAGCATGTCATCATAAAAACTAGAAAAACAATAATGATGAAAAACATACGGAAACATTGCAAGTTGCTGATTAGAATCACAAATATCTTCAACGAAACAAATATTTTTACCATTCCAATCATCCATATATAAAAGTTTTCCTTTGCAAGTTATATTTTTATTAAACCACAAAGGTTCATGTAAATGACTTACATCCCTAATAATCTTGGATTTGAAAATAAACCAATAGTACAGAGTATCTCTCAAACATCTGGAATACATATTTTTAATATACACTCCATGCGGATATACATTTCCATAAAATAAAGCCTTTCCTCCATACAAATTCAAGAAAAACATTTCTATGGATTTCCATGAGACATCAATTTCGTCATTTATTAAACATTTAACCCATCTTAATTTTTGACTAATGAGAAATGATTCCACATCAAGCATATTGACCCCCCCTTCCTTCACAGGTGCAATTAATGTCTTACGTTTTATTCTCTCCCATTTTGAACCCCATAAAAATTCATGGCATATCTTATTTACTTCCATTATAAAACTATTGGGCAGTATTACTGGTAAGATGGAAACTACATAAACCAATAAGCTCAACATCAAAGATTTAATCACAGTGATTTTTCCGAGGAAATCTAGATTTCTTTTGGACCATATTTGTGCAACAATTTTCAGTTTTTGAAGTTTTGGCAAAAGGTTCACAGTAAAAAGATCCGTATCATTTCCACACACATTAATGCCCAAAATTTTAAAACAGCTAGGGTTCCACTGAAGTCCTCGGTCTTGCATAGGAAAATTTTGCCAATTATTATTTGCACCCAGGTATAATGCTTGGCATTTATTCGTATTTATCTTGCACCCAGACATGGTAAAGAAATTATCGGTTTCAGAAAATACTGTTTTAATACTTTTTTGTGACCCATCACAATATACTGTTGCGTCATCTGCAAACAAGGAAATTTTAATTTCTGTATTTCCGAGACATATACCTTGTATATTATGGTTTTGTCGCATTCTACATGCAAATATTTCAATTATTAATAAGAACATATATGGTGAGAGACTACAACCTTGCCTCAAACCTTTCTTAACTTGAAACATTCTTGAACTATAATTATTATTAACAACAGTGCTTTGACTTTGAAAATATAAAGTTTTGACCCACTTAATAAACATTTGACCAAAATTAAAAAATTCCAACACTTGAAAAAGATAATTCCATGAAACAGAATCATAAGCTTTTTCTATATCCAAGTTGAGTGCTATTCCTGGAAGCCTTTTATATTTCAAAAAGTCTCTAACATTAAAAAATAATCTTACATTTTCGCCAATATATCTTCCCTTAGTAAATCCCTTTTGATCATTGTGAATCAATTTTTGTATCACATTTTTCAGTCTATTAGCTATACTTTTGGATGCAATTTTATAGTCAATGTTTAATAAGGTGATAGGTCTGTAGTTTTCAATGAAGTTGAGATTTTTTCCTTGCTTAGGTAGCAGCTTTATTATTCCCCTAGATTGTGAATTACTCATTGTCTCATTTGCCACTGAGTAGTTGTAGGAATTAAGCAATAGTTGTTTGAGATGTTCCCAGAATTCTCTGTAAAATTCAACTGTGAATCCGTCTTCCCCCGGGCTGGTATTTGATCTCATTTCTTTCAGTGCATTCTCGCATTCTCTCAAAGTTAATAAACCTTCACTTTGTTGTTGTTCTTCTTCAGTAAGTTTTGTCGCCTGTACAGTGTTTAAATATGTTTTGATATCTTCTGTCTTCGAATTTGTCTTGGGAGTTAATAGGTTTTCATAAAAATCAGCGGCTATGTTTGCTATTTTTTGTGGATCTTTGATTTGTTTCTCCTTATAGTGTAAAAGATTGATATTATTTTTGTTCACATTATATTTTTCTCTTTTTAGAAAGTATGCATTGCATTTGCCTCCATATTCGGCGTGTTTGATTCTGCTTCGAACCATTGCTCCCTGGGCATCTTGCGCAATAAGGATTTCAAATTTCTCTTTACTTTTATTTAATCTGCTTATTTCTTCACTGGATTTTGTTGGTTTGTCTTCCAGATCCTTAATGTCCCTTTCAAGATTGTCACGGATTCTATGATTTTCCCTTTTCTTCCTTGAAGCATATTGAATGGTGTATCCCCTAATTATACATTTCATTGTATCCCACATTGTTATTGGTTTAACATACGCATGAGAATGATCTCTCATTGTTTGCTCTATTAGTTGATGTATCAGTTCTTTATATTTTTCATCTATTAATAATGAGTTGTTGAATTTCCAGTATCCTGGACCACGATTCTCCTTTTTCCAATCTATGTCAAAACTCGCCATTCGATGATCTGATTGAATACTTGTCTCGTGTTCACTATTCGTTGTATATACGAGAAGTGAAGCAGATATGAGGAAAAAATCTAGTCTAGAGGCGACTGTTGGATTATATTGTTCTCTGGTATATTCTTTTACTCCAGGGTTTAGTTCTCGAAAAATATCGACCAATCCCATTTCTTCTGCTATGCAGTTAATTAGATTCTGAGCATTTTTATTTTTATGTATTGCTTGTCCCCCTCTTTTATCTAAATCATTATTCATTACAGTATTAAAATCTCCTCCAATTATAATTTCAAATATTTCCCTTTCTTCAATTTTTTGCAACAGAGTGAGAAAAAATTGTGTGTCATCTTTGTTTGGACCATAAAGGTTTACAAGCATTATGTTTTTTCCTTCCATTTCCATTTGAAGAAGTATATACCTGCCGTTTGGATCACAATTTAGATAAATTTTCTTGTATGACAGTTTTGCTGATATTAAAATGGCAACTCCCGCCCTGTGTGACGTATAATTCGCTGCAATTATTTCATACCCTTTGAATGTGTTTATTTCGTTTCTTATATCATCTGTCCAGTGAGTTTCTCGCAGGAAGATGATTCCAAGTTTTCGCAGACTAAACAATTGAAATATGTTCCTTCTTTTTACTGTATCCCGTAAACCTCTACAGTTAAAAGTGGTAATTTTCAGAGCCATTTTTTGAGTTTATTCATTTTTCGTCACTTCAGCACATCTGTATATTCTAGCACAATTTGTGCATACATGATTTTCCACATCTAAGATGTTTTGTTTGTATCCGCACATGCATTGCAAGTTGAAATACTCACAATTTGAATTTAAACATTTGGAGATCTGCCCTATGCCTGGTGTGTCATTTATCATTTGGCATGCACATATGGAGTGGCCTTTTCCACATCTGCTGCATTCAATATATTCTTCTATTAACTTCATACTTTCCAAGTAATTGCAACATGACAAGTGGACTATCCTCTGTTCACAATCACCACATATCATGTTGTTTCCATTTTCTGTGATTAATTTTTTCTTATAAGTGATGTATTTGTTACTACAGCACTTTTTTGTTACAAAATACTCAGTATCACAGTTTGGACAAGTAAACTCTTTTATGTTCTTGGGTATTTTGTTTACAAATTCACATTCTCCACATTTTTCTGAGAAACTCGAGTTTGATTGATTGATTGATTGATAATTGAAATAGTTGAATCCGGTGTAATTTTCATTTTGAACCCGAGTCTTTCTAAATTTCACTTCTTATTTTACTCTGTTTATATTAAGTCAAAATTTATCCAATGTATTTATCTAGTTTATATTTCAAAATCAGCATGGTGATTGGTATATAATGTAGGCTACATAAATTTTTAAATCTAGTGTCAATCTATTTTATTTTGGTCACTCTGACATAAACAAATCAACAACAAATGGGCAAACAAAATGCAGAGGACCTGGAGGACGGGCCTAACTTAAGGACAAGGTTAAAGAACGTACAAGTACGCGCCCGTCCTCCAAAAGCAGTCAAAGAAAACACGTGTATGAACCATGGTTATATTCTAGCATCCTCCCTTTCAAGTTCTATTCAGCCTATAATTAAGAACAAAAATGGTGACATTTGAAGTGCAAGTAACTACAGGCCTATTGCAGTGGCCTCTGTCTCATCTAAGATTTTTGAAAAACACATTTTAAATAACATTTGGTCTTACTTAACTACATCTCACAACCAGTTTGATTTCAAGCCTGGTCACGGGACTGACATGTGCATTTTTACAATAAAGCAGCTAGCTACTTATTATTCCAAAAAATCATCACCAGTTTTCATAGCTTTTTTGGATGCCACTAAAGCTTTTGATAAAGTTAATCACTGGACTCTATTTCGTAAATTAATCAACAGAATCCCTAAAATATTTTTTTCGCTGATTGTACACATGTATCGTAATCAATCCATGTTTGTTAGATGGGGTAGCAGTGTGTCAGATCCTTTCTCTGTTCAAAATGGTACCAAGCAAGATAGTATATTAAGTCCATATTTATATGCTGTTTTCATGGATGACCTTTCTGTTAAGTTGAATCAAGAGACCATTGAATGTGTAGCAAATAACAATATTATCAATCATATTTTTTATGCTGATGACATGTGTTGCATTTCACCTCCAACGTCTTCAACGTTTACTTAGCATATGCGATAAATACTCTATTGAACATGACATCTTGTACAACTCGAAAAAATCTGTTTGTATGTGTATCCAGAATAAAAAGTTTAAGCTGAATAATTTGCCTGATATCAAACTTTGTAATACTGTATTGACTTATGTTTTGTCCACTAAATATCTTGGTGTTTTCCTATCCAGGAATCTTAGAGATGACCTTGACTTGAAACGTCAGTATAAATCAATTTATTTTATAGCCCATACAATTTTGAAAAAAATTGTCAATTGTTCCACTACTGTGAAAAATCTTTTATTTAGGACGTATTGTTGTAGCATTTATAACTGCCAGCTCTGGTTGTTTTTCAATAATTATAATTATAAAAAAGTTAAAATTTCATATAATAATGCTTATCGCGTAATTCACTGTGTCTCTAGATCTGAGAGTGTCCGTCACAAAATGGTATCTGTGAACTTTCCCTCTTTCGAAGCACTCCATAGAAAAAATCTATGGTTGTTCATGACGAGATGCAGGAACTCCAATAACATTCTATTACAATCATTATTTCATTCCCAGATACTGTTTGTTGCGGGCTATCTTAGATTCTATACCTCACTTTTGATCCATTAAATTGCTGTATTATAACTCTTTTTTGAGACTTACTGTGAATCTGATTTTCATATCAGGTATTTTATGTATTTATTGCGTTATTTTTGTTTTGCTTATGTTTATTTGTTGTGTTGTTTTTTTATGGACCACAGCGATCTGGAGTAATAAACGAATTGAATTGAATGCCATGCATGTATAATAGTCACGTGACTGCCCTGTTTGCAAATGTAAACAAATTTATCGCGGCATGTCAGCTTGGTTTGCCCCCAAGCATTTCTCTGTTCTTCCTGTGTAGGCGATTGGGATTGTTCCTAGGCAATAGGGGTTGGTTACTTTTTCGTGAATTTGGAGGCTGATTTCGCTTGAGAAATCTAGCGTGGGGAATTGATACCGTACCGTATTTTGCGGTAAAGAAGAAGATTTTTCTTCACAAAACTCGAAATATGCAGAAGGCAGCGAGATTAAAAAGGGAATTGGAGATGTTGCAACAAAGTCCACCACCAGGAGTTTCGTGCAATCAGGATGAAACAAATAAAGATCTGTTGCATGCTCGTGAGTGAAGTCTAATCTCCTAATACTGTAATATAATTTTTGATTTTGCTTTAACCCAGTCTATTTATAAGTAAGTACAGAAGTACGGTACCGGTAGTCTATTAAACTTACACCGGTACTTATAGTCTATTTACCATTTTACTGGGAACAATTTTAATCGAGGTTTTGTTCGTTAAGCCTAATATCAAAAAGCCTATGAACTGGGTAATGACAAAGCCATGCTTCTAGACATTCTGGCACAAGTACTGTTCAGTTGGCTATTCCCATACTACACTTCATGTTAATGAGTTGCTTTGGCCCACCGTCTGATTAAGGTCTCCTTAAATTGACAGGTCTGGTATAGTTTAGTACCACATCCACTTCTAGTTGGCCTGGCTCAACAATTTTTGCATATGTCAATCCTAACCCCTACCTGACTAAGTCTCTGGAAAATTATGTCATTCCGACGTCACAGTGGCGTAATAAGGCTCACCGAAGTATGCGGATGGTCATCCAAAACGCGCAGACGATAACCCAAAATCGAGCAAGCTATTTTTCTCGTCGCAACGATCACGATAGGAGAGACATCGCCTGCTTTAGCAAGTTCTTATCGGCGGCGCAGATGCCATTTCGGGCGATCATAATTATACTTTGGCAATCCCTATGGCGTGATGGTGACGTCGTAGTGACGAAATTTTTGGATGGCAGGTGAGGGTTAGGAATAACATATGCAAAAATCGTTATGCTACGCCCACTGGAAGTACTTGTGGTACTAAACTATACTAGACCCAAATTGACAATATAGATACTTACCGCATCATTTTGTGTACACCACCTCAAGCTTTTCATTAAGCTCTACGTTTACGGCAGGGGTTCCCAACCTTTTTATCCCAATTTCCCACTTTCGATTAGGCTGAGTTGGTATTTCCCATTACGTATGGACTTGTTTGAATAGATTAATTTTCCTGTCAATAATAATTGGTATGACTTTCTATAATAAAGGCTTGCAATTGGTGTAGAGGTTGAAACGCCGTGAAAACATTCCTTCCGCCGTCTAGCATCCCAAGACAGTGACGATCCGTGTAAAGAAAATCAGTGTTATCCATCGAATAGAACAATTCAATGCTTAAAATTACAAAAAACGAATCAAAGTTTACATTACATTACATCGTTCAAATCAATTCTGCTGTTTTTTATATGGTAGACTGGAAGTCTGAATCTATTTTTGAAAATGCGCATTGCTGTTGGACAAGGAGATCCGTTCATCTTTGGCGCCGCAGACTTACTCGGCAGAATATCATCACACTCCACGAGACAAAGTTTCATTTATGTCCCACCGATGTTATGGAACTTTTGGTTCTTGCCATTCACAGGACATCTACAAATGAAGCAGTCAATATCACCTTTGAACTCATTTGAAATTGCCCATGTTGTCGAATCTTATCCTGCTTTTATTTTGCATTTTTTAGCAAACTGATAAACGAATGGATATTTGAAATATTTTGCCTCATTTCACGGGGTTACATAGAACCATTGGAGATAGTCTTAGTGCATAAAAACGCATTGCGGCAGTTGCTCAAAAATTTTCGTTAAAAACATGGAACGTAGCCGAGATGACAATGATCGTACTATATTTTTACATAAGCCATTAACTTTTATTAACAATTTAGCAGAATGGAGAGACGGGTCAAATATTTGTTCATCAGAGCGCGTGCCTACCTAATACTTCTGAGACATTTCTATAAAAACTGTTCTATTTTGCGCCTTTGCAACGAAAATCTTCTTGCGTAATGTTCAAAGAATTGGTGCTCGTTCGAGACATGCCTGCGAACTGCATGTTGTTATCGGCCGACCAAAGATCAAAATGAGTTGCGTAGCACGATCAGAATATAATGCCCAACAACGTGATATTTTACTAAAGTTTTGATTAATTGAATGGGAATCTTTTTCCGCTTCATGGCATATGTTGTGATTTTCATTGTGTAATATTTAATAATTGTGTTGTTGTGCGTACATTTTTAGAGGAGCATTAAATTTCCCACCTGCAACCTCCGAATTTCCCGCTAGCGGGAAATTTCCGACCGGTTGGGAACCACTGGTTTACGGGATGAATCAAAAAACATGCATCTCTAGATAAAATAGTAACTGATTTTTTAATCTATATCAAATCTATATCACACCATATCAAGTAGAAATATTGTTGTAACATGATCAAACTTAATTTTGATTGAGATATTTTATATTCAGAAATCATTGGGAGTGAAGGGACGCCTTACTATGGTGGATTATTTCAATTACAAGTCACTGTCACCGATCGTTATCCATTCGAACCTCCAAAAGTAATTTTTCAAACTCCAATATATCATCCGAACATTGATAATGGAGGACGAATATGCCTTGACTCACTGAAAATGCCACCACAGGTAATATATGCAAAGGATGCTCACCCAACTTTTTAGTACAAAATGGAGCAATGCCACATTGTGTATACCTTATTTTGAAAGGTGTTTTTGAGGCAGGGAAGATTCAGTTTTGAAAATGGGTACTATATGTACTGAAAAATGTTGCAATGCCATATGATTGTTAGAATTGTGAATACTTTTGACTTGTGGTTACCTTAATTCCTCTACATTTTAACAAATAAACAATATATTTTGTTTTCTCATATACGCAAGTCATGAAGAGAGGCAATCAATATATCGCAACCATATATTTTTTTTCGATATCAGAAGTAATATAGTTATTTCTAATTATTATATGGTCACCCTTTTTGCTTTATTCTAACCTTTCTCTATCTAATTGATTAGCTTTTAATAATTTGTCAAGTCTCGCGCCCTACTCAAATATAACTAGCTAACAATAAGCTATAAATAACAAATAGTAAGCCGAAAGTATGTTTTAATCGAAATTTGAAATACACAATGAAAATACATGGATGGAATCGCTATCACTGAATAATTAAGAAATGAAATTATCTAAAATAAGGCGGGCAAGATCAAATCTAACATTTATTTTTATTTTTAATTAGATTCATCCCTCCTTGTAAGGCACGCCCCAACTGTTTAAGTACCACTGTTCGAAATTGATATATTCTACTGGTTGATGTAACACAATATTCAAATGGCGTATTGGTAATTTTACAGAGATGCACTAATTTCAATTTTCTTTTTCTCAACTTGTAATTTAATTCTAGGGTGCATGGAAGCCATCACTTAACATCTCATCTCTTCTAATAACGATACAATTATTAATGGCAGAACCAAATCCTGATGATCCTCTGATGACAGATATAGTAAGTTTCTTTTAAAAAGATTTTGAATTAGGTTCAATATTGTTAACTCTTACTAAGAAACTATATTTAAAAATTTATGTATGATATATACAAATCACCATGCTCAAATATAAATTGAAGTGTAATGCATTGGATAATTTTTGATGAATATGATGATGGCAAGCAGAATAAAAAATTTGAAAGTGAAATTTTAGAAATGGTTACGTTCAATATTGAAATGACATCAGATTCAACTATTCAATCATATTTTAACAATCAGTTTGCTTGAAAGAGGAAATATGACAAGATGGCTTGATCATATGCCATACCATGGCCTCTGTGGCCTTTGCCTATGTCAGTGATTGTCAACCGTTTACTTCTTGTTGATAAATTTCACATGCAAGGATTGTACCGAGTCAGGGATTAAATGAGACATACTGACTGATGATACAATGTTTTACTTTTTTCTCCTGATTATTGTTAGACTCAATCACGGGTTGTATTCACTTTGGAGATTAAATTTGTACCATAATGGCTAATCTATGGCGATTGCCTATGTCAGTAAAATTTATGGGTGACGTAGCTCAATAACTAATATTGGTTTCCCGCAGTTCCTCTAACCCTAAAACTGTTTTTCATAATTTATTGTAATGTGTATATCTAGTGTGCTTTCTGTATGGTGGAAAAATAAACTACGGTACTGATTACAGTAGTTTTACTCTATTGGGGTAAATTCCACAGTACAGGGTTAGGGATTGAATATGACATGGTGACTAATAGACAACATCGAAATAATTGCCCAAATAAAATAACGATAGTTCAGGGACTTTGTGCAGGAGTCAACTCTATTGTGAAATAGACTCCTAAAAAGTATATTATTGTGTCACAGAATTGAAATTTCTTTTTTGCCACATGTAAAAAAACAGTGTGTTCCCCAGCTTTTTATTTTGAGGGGGGTGTTTCCAAACTTGGGGAGTGGTAGATCCTTTTTTTTCCAGTGATAAAACTGTTTTTAACTTATAAAAATGTGTTATGTATTTGACTATTCATCTGCACCAGCATATAACCCACTTTCTGAATATTCAGATACAATATTATTTTGGTTAAGAATTGAAGCATGGTGTCATAAAAATTATGAAGGTGTTTGAAATTTTAGGTGGAGTTCCCTCCCCATAGAGGGCTGTAGGGAAATTACTGGTAAAAATACGATTACTTTAGATCAGGGGCGGGCAACTTCTCTAGTCGGCGGGCCAGATGTGGGAAAATGAAGTCCTCGGTGGGCCGGATTATAACATGAATAGTATTCAATATCTTAATCACATATTTATTCGCTAATGCAAGAAAGAAAAATTTAAATCGCGTTTAAAGTAAAGTTTAAACTACAAATAAATAGAGACCAAAAAACCAATAATGAATTATCATAATGTACTAAAACTGTAACGAGAATATCGGTTGGAAACCGAAAACTTATCGATGGTTAGGGGATCCCCCAAAACAGAAACTGCAGTTTCGATTCATCCGCTCTTGTAAATTGCGCGCTGCGCATCGCACACACACACTCGGCGGGTCTCAAAATTCTCTAGCTTTACAAAAATCTAGATCACTATATCAATAATTGAGTGATAACTCGCTAATTATACGACATAATTCGCCAAAAATCAACAGGCTTCTGGTCCGAGATAAGATGAATGCACATGCAAAATCTGTAGCAGATTCAATCTCGCTTTCGTGAGATATCGCGTGCATCTAACAGACAAACATACAGACAAATACCTATCAACATACTTACCGATTAAAATCGATAAGTAATAATGTAATATCATAATGTACTGATGTACAGTCAGCGGGCCGGTCAAAATCTCGTCGCGGGCCGTATGTTGCCCACCCCTGCTTTAGATAGATCTCAACTTTGTTAATTTTGTAATTATTAGAATTTTTTTTCAGATAATTCCTAGTATTTCATCTATGTGCTATATACCTCGCATTACAAAGCTTTTCTAATCTTGTTCTTTATTTCTTTTTTTCCATCTTTCTCTGATCAGTCGTCAGAATTCAAATGCAATCGTAATTTATTCAATGAAAAAGCAAAACAATGGACAAGAAAATATGCAATGCAAAAAATGCAGGTTAGTTTTGTTCATTCCTTGTTTTGAGTCTTTGCGATTGTTTTTATATTGCTCTAAGCATTTGCTGACATGGGCAAACTACAGCCTGCGGGCCAGATATGTATAAGCCCGCTTGGTAATTTAATCTGGCCGACTGCTACTGCCACAACCAAACTAAAATTAAATTTTGATCTTTTAGCTAATAAATACCTCGAGGAATTTTTTGAGATTGCAATTAAATTTAGTTTCGGCACAATGCTTATTGTTTCCACTAATGCTTTTGTAACACTGTAAATATTGTTCATAAAATTTAACTTTTTAGTTAAACTTACATGACCCCCAGTCTAGGTGGGCAAAAGGTTTGGCTCCTGATCCAAAAACCTTGCCCACCTCTGATCTAGCATGCTGTTTGTGACTGATATGTAGTTTTTAGGTAATTTATTTGCTTGAATATTTCGTTAATCTGAACCCTTCAATCTTTTGGCTCATTCTCTCAAAAAATTGTACTGTTTTAGATTAGTTTGCAATTATACAAAGTAAGATAGAGTTTCAAGATTGCCAACATAATCTTAATGCTGAAATTGCTATCTTAGTTCTCTGATTAACTGCCCCGGATGCTTTGTCTGGAAGTTATGTTGTCAGTCTTAACTAAACTATTTGATTTAAGAGTCTTTTTGGACACTAACACAAATGTATTTAGAGCAAGGAAAGGTATTTAACGTATCCCCAAACCCCAATTGGTAGTCTTTACTAAGTTAGACTTTCCATTGCCAGTTTTGTATTATTCTTTTTCGGTGCTCCAGAAGAGTGTGTACCAATGTGGAGGTAACTAATTTTGTTCGCCTACTTTACATCAAGTTGTATAATATGACTGAAACCTATGGACACGGGGATATTCACTTGGCTAAAACAGACAGTTTCCAAACTCGTAATAGAACTAAAATAAGGAAAATCCAAATAAAATTATGGCCTAACTCAAACCTAGTACACATACTTCGGGAGTACCTATTTTTCTCTACAGGGAGATATGTGAGTGCTTTATAAATTTTACGCAAATTTGTTGGATATATTTTGATTAATATTTTTCAGATTCCAACGAGACCTAAAAATCACATAATAATATCTAGTGATGAAGATAACTCTTTCACATGCAAGAAAATTGAAGATATAGCGATGGAAACAGAAAGCGCACAGTGTTCAGGAACTGGCTCTAATTCTAGAAAAAGAACTTCTTCTGATACAGATCATCAATCAGTGAGAAAAAAGAGATGATTTATATTTTCTTCATTTTAATGAATTTTAGAAAATTTTTGTTCTTTTGGTACTTCTGGGCGGCGTTGAGCGCATTTGGACCCATTTTTTATGCGTTTCCCATGAGAAGAGTTATCTCAATATAGGTGAAATTTGGCCCACTCTCCTAATGCTAAACATGCAATTTCAGGCAGTTGGTTTTTAAAGGCACTTACTCTAGCTCAAGTGCTTCAATTAAAAGTGCTTTGCAATTATCCTTGTTGGGGGCCAACAAATATGCATGGCCTTAATCTCAAAATTTTCATTTTATCCGTTTTGTTCAGATACGCACATGCATGGGACTTTTTGAACAAATTTAATTAAAGTGCTTGACATGCTTTAATATGCAAATTTATTATACAAATTGTAAACTAGAGTCCCTCACATTCGATTTATTGGCCTTAATTTGTCGAAGTCAAAACTTCAACCTTTTTGCATGTAAGATGACAGTATTGCACGCCATAAAACATGTCAACTGTATTGCACCATTTTTTTTATACAATTTACATAATTGCATGAAGAGTCTGCTAATAATTTCATTTTTTATTCTCTGTGTCACAGACATTGATCAATGTCTTGGATAATCGTTAGTGAAGACTTGTTGTTAATTTATCATTAGTTCTAGGCTGAATATAATCAAGCATGTGATTCATTTACAAATAGTTGCCTTAGTTTCTAAAGTGTATGAGCAAATTACCATCTTCCCTCTCTGGTTCCGCTGTGGGTACTCTCGTGTCTACCAGGTTAGGGCCAGGCCATAATTTTATTCTGAATTTCCCTATTTTAGTTCTATTACGACTTACGAGTCCGGGAACTGTCTGTGTTATCCAAGTGAATATACCTCCTGCCCATAGGTTTCATTCCCTTTACACAACTTGATGTAAAGTAGACGAACAAAATTAGGTACCTCCATATTGGTACCTACACTTCTGGAGCGCCCCTCTGTGTGGTTAGTTAGAATTGTAGTCTCATGCTGTTGCAACCAGCACTTTGTGATTATTTATTGAAGCAATAATTGGTTGCAGAAGACTCCGTGTGTCTTTTTTTGTCTTTCATTTTTATTGCATTTCAGTGTTTTCTTATTAAATTTTGGTTACTCTCTTGTATATGTGTACCAGGTTAGGGTTCTGCCATAATTTTATTCCGGTTTTCCTTATTTTGGTTTTATTACGAGTACAGGGACTGTCTGCGTTAGTCAAGTGAATATACCCTCTCCCCTTTAGACAACTTTATGTAAAATAGGCAAACAAAAATAGGTATCTGAACCTTCATATTGGTACACACACCTCTGGAGCGTCAATTTTTGTGATTGATGTAGGAAGCCATGTCCTTTCTGGTATAATTCTAAAACAAGGATAAGTACAACAATTCTATCACATATAGTCATTACACGATTTGTTTCAAATGATATTGAATTGCCAGGTATCTTTGATTAAAAGCGCAAAATTTCCAATCCTTCAACCTTGCTCAGAGCAAATCTTCTTATAAAAAAACTCTTAATTAGATTTACCTTTATTGATGATTTGCTTCAGATCAATGAACTAATAGTATAAATGATTCTCGTTTTTTCTTCTATTTGTACTATAATTGTACATTTTCAGTTTTATAATTCCTCTGTATTGAACCACTGCCGTTTCGGAACACTGCTTTTCAATGTGTCTCTGTACTTTTATGCCTTTTTAGCATCCTGCCAATGTTCTTTCTTTTTCCATATTTTCGAAAATAATAACATAAATTTTCACATTGTTGTGTTAAAAAGTCAGCGACGTGATGTTTCCAAACCTCGTCGATAAGCTTGCTTGTCAGCTAACGCGGCAATCCCACCGTTCGCTAATAATGAGATTGCTATATTAACAATAATCTAAAGCAGGATGGGCAAGGATTTTGGACCAGGGGCCAATGTTTTTTCATTTATACTGGCGGGCCATGTAAGTGTGACGTTAAATATTACATTTTATGAACAATATTTACAGTGTTGGTTGGAAAAGCAAAAGTGGAAAAAAATAAGCCCCATGCCGAAACTAAATTTAATCGCTAACTCCGTGAGATATTTTTAACTGAAACATCTATATTTGGTTTTAGTTTGTTTGTGGCAACATCAGGCGAGCCAGATTAAATTCCCTAAGCGGCGTTACAAAGCGTTGCAACCCGCGCAGAGTAGTCAGAGATGCAATGGCAAGCATGTTTCCAACATTTAGCACGATGCGCCATTCGTTGAGCCCACTGCCGCTAACTACACTTCCACCACACTTCCTATTCCTACCAATCTGATCATCCATTCAACGGCCAATCTGTCTGTATACACACGCTCACAAGTACTTGAACGCCAGTTGACGATAATAATAGTTCGTCTACTGATGGAATCGGACATAGATCAGAACACAATTTCGCATATTTAGATACCAGCAAATAGTTAGTCGTCGTCAGCACTACACATTTTCTTCTTCACTTAACAATCCACCCTATGTGGCTACATATTCTGACCCTTCTCGAATAAAATCCTGTAGTTTCAAGTGAACAGCTGAACACGTATAAGGTAAATATTTTTACTAAGATACGAAGTTGTTTGAAAAAAAGTTCATATTTGTTTGAACCAGATAAAAAGATAAATCACTTAATCATGACGTTTTAATCGTATATACTTAGAATAATATATATAATTGTGAACAAGGAAGACGAGATTAGCTATAAATACTTTGGATTGTCGGTTTGCTTATAAATATATTACTAAAATGGCGTTCATAGCGTTGAAACTTTGCCCCAGCAGACTGTCTGAGCTTTACGCAACATCCCGACATTTCGCGCCTCCATGGGTCAAAATCAGTGATTCAAAGGCCAAGACAACTACAGACTACTAGCCAGTTGACTAATAAATTTATCATGAGTTAGCTATCTAAATGTAAATTGATTCCAGTTAGTGTGTTATTTGGATTTCACGTTCTTAAAACGCATTTGGCCGTCTTCGACATATCACGGAGCACGGCGAGCACATTCACTCAGGCGTGTAGAGTTCATTGTGATGTCACTCAAACGTATTCTTTGGCAGGCCTGATTCGTGTGTGGCTTCCGTTCGTTTCTCGCATAACGTTAGAGTCGTCGTGTGCCTTTGGTGGGGTTTCATCGTCTCGTGACTTCGTTTTGAGAATATTTTCTGATTTTGAGCCATGCAAATGGTGGTGATGATGATGATGTACGTGTTTTCCACTTCCGTCTGGACGATCTGCACTTTGTAGTCTTTGTGAATTCTCGCCAGAATACGATCGACGATCGTTGGACGACTTCGATGATTGAAGCGAGGTAGGCCTATTTGTAGGCTTTCTTACTGCTGCAGTTGGCTGTGTATGATGCGAATGTCCATTTTTAGGTCCTGCTTTTATATTGTGTTGTGCTATTCTTTGTTTTGTTAGTATACCGTCTGCTTGGATTCTGACGCCCTGAAAGTAAGACGTTGTGATTAAAGTCAAGATAGAATGGATAGCACTTGTTATGAATCTAGTGCAAGTTTGGGAATGAATAGGCTTACTATACGTCCCGGTTCAGTCGGGACAATCCCAATTTTGCAAGTTGTCCCGGTGTCCCGCCCGGTAGACTTATGTCCTGGTCATACAGTATGGCAGTCATAAATATAATTTTATATTCAAAATATATACAAAATTGTTTTTGAACGCAAGCAGAACATTTATCATTAATTTGCCACTCACTTCAGTGTGAGATAGAACTGCTATTTATTACGTCAAATTTAACGTATTATACATTACGTTAAATTATTCAAAATGCCCCGGAATCGAACCAAGGCCTGCCCAATGTCCCGTTTTTTGTTTCATATTTTTGGTAAGATCAGGAATGGATGTTTCCCTGACCATCGTGTTTGACATCGACCTCCGTAACGAAGGCTGCAACAAAGGCTGATCGGTAGTAACACCATAGCGACGCGACAGTTGAAATTTCAAACGCCCCTCAGTTACTTTTTTCAAGCATCGATGTAAACATTGGCCCACTTTCGCCGCTTTGGCTGCTATTTGCCAATTTTTAGTCATAATTTATAAATTCAGGGATGAATCGAATGACTCGGTGATTATTTTGTCTTTGAAAGACTTCCAGTTTGGTTTCTGTAACCAAATATCGGCCCGAAAGATAGATAGACTACTGAGACTAAGTAGGCTAAAATTAGCTGTCATTACTTTTTCAAGGCAGCTGTTGGAATATTTTAAAACAAATTTGTGCCTTGGAAATTTATACCCTCTACTTCGCTAAAACACTCTGGAAATGAGCATTATAAAATTTTAAATGATAAATTACTGGAAGAAGTTTTTAAGAATTCAAGGATCAGAGAATTTTATACACAAGACACGTTCTATAGAGAAACCTCTTTTTATCGAGATAATTAACAAGACAATAGACAGAAATGGTTGAAAAATGTAAGCAGACTTACTGGTCTCGTATGTTGATTCTTTTGCTGCTGCGCCATAGGTAGATGTTGCTGCCTTTGCTGGGGGCCGTGGTGTTGGTGATTATTTGATCTTACTCTTGCGCCTGGCAACAATCTTCCTCTTCTCTCGGCAACGTTCAGTCGCATTATTACAAAAATACTGGTGAATATTAAAATCACACCGCCGAGAATTCCAACAACCAGTGACGCCCATCCTGTACCGAAAATTTACTTGTTAGGGTAATAAAGCTAATCTGTCCAAGAAATTACGGTAGTTAAGTGAAATCGTGGTGTTATAATAAACTTTTTAATCCGTACTCATTTCTGGTAATCTGGCTGAATCGTGACCCGGGATGTTTTTGGTACTGCAAATGCATTTGGTGGGTTTTGTTTCAGAGAGAAACATCGAACGTGAAAATAAGTTGTTTCTAAGCTAACAATACACTATGACTATATTCAATGAAAATTTCCTTGTTAGCAATAGCCAATATATAAATATTATCGTTGGCTTTTTTTCAGGTAAAAATTCTATAAAATTTAGTATTATTTGAATCAATTACCGCCCGGTACGACTTCTGTTTTTAGCATTGTCAAAATGCTAATTCCGCATAAAATACCTGCAAATGTGTTATATCTGAAGTGGAAACACGCTCGTAAAATCAAATTTCATGATACGAAATAAATGATAAATATCATAGCCATTAAAATTCTCCTTTTTTTTCTTGTCACAAGATAACAACGCCAGTAGTGTTCTTGTTATACGCTTTACATAGCATTCAATCATATATTGCATTGTTATATAGATAGAGTGACACTGGACAATTTAATTACAGAAGAAACTGACGTTTTTCTCGCTACGCGAATCGCTTGTTGGCAGGTACTTCAACTTCAAGTCATCAAAAAATTCTTTTGATATAAATATTTGATGTATTAATCAAGCGGCAAAGGTAAACTAGAACCCAGTTGTTCGGTGTGTGGCCTGCTGGTGGAACATTTGACTGGGCAACATATCATGAGGAATCCCGCCAAAACTACTTGAAATAGGCGTTGTCAGGTTGTAGAGAAAAATGCTCAATCATATTCCCGCGCTTTTTAAAAATAATTGGTCGAAACACGACTCTACTGACGTTATATATTTCAGGAAATCGGAGAATTTTGTCTGCTTGAAGTTACGTATTGAATCAATTGAAATATTTAAAAACCACAGGTAAAAGACAAAATTGCGTTGGCTGCAACTTATAAAAATTTCCGATTAGAACATGTTCCATACCAAGCTACTACCTCACAATATTCAAATGAAGATTAAGTCTGACTTCCGACCAAAGGTCACAAAGCCTCTTTATTTCAGAGCTTCCCAGTCAATAATCTAAAGCGTCGCAGTCGGTTATCGATTTTGTACTGACCATTTCCGAAACTGCCAATTAATTTCAAGATCTCGTGAAGTCTGAACTCTTTGGAAGTTTTCGTTGAAATATAAATCAGAAATGGAAGGCAAATCAAAACTAATTACTCCGTTTTGAAATAGCCTACTTATTAATTAGTTCTACTTTTATTTCTATCTAAAATTAAGCATATTCACGGGAACTAACACAAAAAAGGTCTTCGGTCATTACTTCAAAACTACATTGATTTTCCTAGGTTTATTTAATCCTATCAAGGACTCTTTTATAGTTTGAAAGACTCACAAGAAACTAAATAGACGTAGATATACCATAATCTACAAAGACCATTGGTTTCTAGACTTCGTTGGAAGGCGTTTTTTAATTATGGGTTATAAGGTATTAAAATGTAATAAATATATTCAATATACCTATACACTTGGTATATTTTTATTAAAAATTTGGTATCCTTATCAAAGCGATAAAATCAACCACGCCCAAAGGTTATAACGAATTGTTCTCGTCACTATAGATATAACGCAACAATGAATGAGGCCCATGAAAACAATCGCGATGCCCAAATCGATTTGTTTGAATAAATTTGAATGCGATGCTGTTTGTGTTATAACGGTGAAATTTGCTAGTTACAATGCATTCAAAAACAGCTCAGTTTATACATTATTCGAAATAGTTTGGAGACAGTTTTCTGAATTTTAAACTATCCTTCTCACAGCAAACAAGACTGGCTGATAGCACTAGCTACTCCGTTCATCAATACTTGTTATGAATCGAAATTGGTTCTGCTTTTATTTCCCTCTATGATTTATTTACCTGGGAGGGCCTTGAAAAGCGTATTAGTTGAAGGTATTGATCTAATAAAAAATACGATTATTGAAGCGATAAATTGAGCTTCGCCCAAAATGGTGAAATTTGCTAGTCACAATGCATTCAAAAACAGCAGTTTATACATTATTCGAATTAGTTTAAAGACAGTATTCTGCATTTTAAACATTTCTTCTCAGCGCAAACAAAACTGGTTGGTATTTTCATGTTCTATGATGTGGGATTGAGGACCATATATTTTTTTTCCAATTTCAACTGATCGAGAATAATTTTCTCGTAAAACCGAAGACAATTAGTTCATCATCTCCGTACGATGGAACCTAATTTATACTCTCGCGAATGACAGTGACACATTTTTTAAAAATGGACGATCTTTTCAACAAGTAGGAAAATATTCCATTGTCACGATAAAGTTCGTCTGTGACCCAAAACAAAATGTAGTGTTGACCGAAACTCAATTGTGCAAATCCGCATTGATTTTTTGGGTTTGCGTAAGACCTCAGAGCTGACGCGGCACCCGTAATGCCATTTTCGTAATTACTTTTCCGTGTTTCGGTAATTTCTTTTATAGCTGATTGCCGGGTCACGTTATTTTATTGGAAACAGAAGTCACTGTATTTAATGCAACGTTTCCTAATCCACGTATGGGTGGAAATGAAAAATTCCCCTCGACTATAATCAAAAATTAGTTACTCAGAGCGAAATGCACATAATGCTATAAAATCGATATTGTTTATTTATTGTATTGAGATAATTAAAAAGGTTTGGAACTCAAGTATGAAATTGTTTCGACTAAATTTTTGGTCGACAAATTTTTTTTTTTTTTTTGTAAACGGGAAAAATTAATAGATAATATAGTTTTACGTATTTTCCAAATGTTTTCATAGTTTCACCATGGACTTCCGATATAGAATCTACCGATTTCTAAGATGCTTTATGGCCTTTATATTATGACGAATGACAGAAGAGTTCCTCCGCAGGAATACCCACTAAATTCAGTTATGAATTAAATTCAACAAAATGGATTTTCCTGTACTATACCTGCTCAGAGACAATCCAAATGAACCGGATAGTAATGCGTCGGAGTTTCATGTGCAATATGCATTTCTCAGTTTCAAACATGCTTTTAGTCATAAGTTATACTAGATTTATAAGCCATGTGTTATTTTTAACTAAGAAAATTGTTGTCAAATTTTCAGTACTCGCGTAGTGTATGTACCAGGTTAGGGCCGTAATTTTATTCCGATTTTCCTTATTTCTATCACAAGTTCGTGGACTGTCTGCGTTAGCCAAGTGAATATACATACCCCCTGCCCATCGGTTTCAGTCACTTTACACAACTTGATGTAAGGTAGGCGAACAAAATTAGTTACCTCCATATTGGCACACATACTTCTGGAGCAAATTTTCAAAAATGAGGTTTTAACTCACCAACAAATAAGGCAGATCCGTATTCAAACCTAAGATACATCGGCGTGTTCTTTATCACCACTGGATTATAATATTCTTGTACAACTCCGTGTGCATAGTATGACACTGAGGCTCCAACTAAAACAGCTGTAAAATGAAAACAGTTTTAGGGTTCCGCACATACGGTTTGTGCTTGTGTATATACCGATGTTATTTGTTCGTTGACTGCTGGGGAAATCTCTGCTAGAACTGTATAAGAGGGAATTCGTGTGCTGGGTTAAACTCTAGTTAACCGAGAGTTTGTGCTTTCAACTAAGCTCTATTTAGGATTGCTTTTAAGATTTCAAACTTTCTATAATGTTACGGAGGGACTGCTATATTTTGATAGTATAGAATGATATTTTTTTTATTGGAAAAATGAATATAGATCCCGGCATATCACAAGCCATATGGGAATAAAACAAAAACGGAAAAAATCCGCATGTTTAAAGTATATTGCGAAAAATTCAAACTTTTCGGTTTCCACTCGTAAGTCAGAAGCTGTGAATGACATCGTGACTGTCACTATGTCCGTTATTTTTATACTTTTGCCAACTTTTTAATAAGAAACAAAAGAACTAATCGATGTCACAACGGGATTGAAGTTAAAATTCACAAGAAAACGTGGCGTCACAATATAATTTTGATTTCATAGTACAGAATGCCGTCATAATATCTGAAGAAATTAGGGGGATAAGATCATTTTCCAATTAGTCAATGATTGTAAACTCAGTCATAGATTATTTTGTCGAACCAGTTCGCCTTAAACCACCTAGTGACATCAAATTTGCCTAACCACTCCTTTGACAAACTCTCCCCTTTTAATATAAAAAAAAGATTACCTTATATGACACAACATCAATAGTCCACAGCACCAATATTACTTCACCTTGACATGCTGACGACGAGACAGATAATTAGAACATGCAGAGGAATACACCACTTACTGTTTCGGTGTTGCACTTAGACACTCACACACAGCGTTTCGTGGAGATAAATGATCGTAAAAGATATTGTGGTTTAAAGAGACACAAGAAATGTATTTTTTTGTGTGTGAATTTTCCAATCAACTGCAGTGGAGAAAATCTTTTTATGTAAATTCGTACTCGTATACGACTTTTGAAGCTCAAAAATTGTGATTGCTTTGAACTATCATACAATAAATGCATAAACCTCGTCTATTGAATTACCATGAAACCAATAAGACTTTAACTCGTCAATCCAGCCCGTTTAGATTACGTGACGAAAAAAATAGCGCGCAAGAAATAATTGTGTGAAGTCAAATTGCGAGTTTGTGGCAACGCTCGTCATAGGCTACTTACCCGGCCAATAAATTCTCACCGCCCAAAATGAACAAACACATATATATGAAGAGTTGAAAATATTTTCTTTTCAAAATAAAACAGTGATGTTTTTAGCAATGAAGGCATTCTTTATGGTCGATAAACTAATTCAACAGATAAACGGCACTATTCTTGATTGACGTCCACCCATGCAATACATGCAAAATATCGACCGACGTCATCTACGATTAAATATCATGTTCAAGTTTGCACTAAAATTAACTGGGGCGAATCGATAGAAGAATGACGTAACAGACAATTGCATTCGATTTTATAGGATTCGGTTAATTTGGATTAAGAAAACGATGTGCCCCGCCCGTGTTTGGCAAATTCTGCTAATACTCAAAACGTCTGAGTGGCTTCTAGCCCAGAACTCTGACCGAAACCTTGACTATTGATGATGGCGTTTAGAAGAAAATCAAACAGCACATAGAGTTATTCAAAAATATGCATATGGGCAATTGGCTACATTTATTTCTAGGTCGAGTTGCAATATTAAATCGAACCGATATTAAACCAAACACACCGAACCGGTGTGTTAAAAAACTAAATGAACGTTTGTTTAAAACAAATCTTAAGATGTCTTGAGAACAAAATTTTGAGTGTAACGGGACTTTATGAACACCTGTATACTGGCGAAGAGAAGTACTTCATAATTTTGAGTCAATATTCTTCACTCCATGGGTAACGACCCAGCGAAGGAATGGACTTTTATAACAGTTTTACTAAAGTATTCATTTGAGATCGAGATGGCAAACTACATAAAAAATAAAAATTCTGGGGCTTTTTAGAACGATCAAAATGAGTTTAAAATAATCAAAGATGTATCGGCTCTATAATTGGAATAATAAGTAAAATTGCATTCGATTTTGCAATAAAACATAATCAATAATAGTAATTAATAATCATAAAAATATTCACTAAAATCAATAACACAAATACAATATTTAAACAATACAACATACTGATTAATAATACAACTCGAAGAAAATATTACAATTAAACATCAGAAACGGGATAAAAAAATCGATTGTATTTTCATGGTGACTACCTGAACCTAAAACACCCGAAAAATCATTGAAACCAAGCAATGGATGCTGGAATAAAATATTGTCAGGAACATATACATATTATAATTGCTTGTTGGCTGGCCCATCGGAATAAGAAAAACGTGGGTACTCCTGTAGTAGGCGAACCAAGATGGCGGACACCGGAACGTAGTGTGTGTACCAGGTTAGGGTTAGGCCATAATCTTATTCCAATTATTAGTTCTATTACGAGTTCGGGGACTAGCTAAGTGACTCTCGTAGTATCTGTACCTAAATCTATAAAGATTAACCTGGTACACATACTACGTTCCGGTGTCCGCTATATTGGTTCGCATACTTCGGGAGTACCAAAACATGTTTGTGGTCGTACCACTCTATATAGCTAGTGATTTTCAAGTTGCGCTACTGAATATCAAAATCTGGACTCTTCGGGCTTGCTTACCGGTTGGATGTTTTTGTTTTTATCATCATCCAAATTCATGCATATGAAACAATAAATTGGTTGGGTATCCCAGTATCTGGACTGCGGGACGTCATGATTCGCAATACAATGGTCGCCTGTGCGAGGCTGGGATATAGACTCCTTGAGGGCCGATCTGCTTGTCTGATTATTACAGGTTTAAATGCAGTCAAAATGACTTTAATCAAACACATAACACTTCGGCATATTAAAATCCATTTTACAATTCTGATTTGTCGCATATTTTTCACTATAGGTATCGCCACACCCGAAACATATCACACATTAAAATAGAATTACATATTTAGCCATGCACTAAGACAGTGCTTTTCAAACTTTCTAATTACGGGACGAACATTTGAAAAGGACCAAACCGCGAAATGTTTGATTTGGTGAGAAAATAATAAGAAATTTAAAAATAAGTTTGTAATTAATTTTTAATAGCAATGTAGAGTGAGGGGTAGAACTGAAATTAACGGGTAATCTTTCAAATCTCCAAAAGAGGTAGCAAATAAAATTAACAACCACATTGAAGTTCACATGAGCACGGTTTGAAAAACACTTCTTTATAATCATGCAAATTAGCAAAACCCAGGATGCTTCAAGCAAATTAGCATGCATGACCAAGTACACACCAAATTAATTTATAATAAATGCAAGATTTTCACTAATGAAATAAACTACGACCCTCGATTAAACCTTAACTTCAAATATAAAAAGTGGCATCAATTAAAACTACATACCAATAAAACATACATAGTAATATGACCCCAATTTATACTGCAATTACCGGATAGGACCGAGCGACGAAAACACACTGATTTGAACTAAAACTAAAACTAAGATGATGAGTTTTGTTTAACATAGAATTAAATTAGTATCGCACATAAGTTGAGTGGACCAAGACCTGGTAACTTGCTTCTGTCACAGATGTGACCCAAAACAATGAGAAGTGCGCACCAAGCACAGTGAGACACATGTAGACATATATATACATACTTTTTCGAATTTTTATAGATGTGACGTTGTGTATAATATACTCAATGTTGTTGTCACTGGTTAGTGTTCACTGTACAGTGTAAACTAATCAGGGTAAGGCATTGGCAGACCCTGGTACACATCTATAGACATTCGCCTTTGATGGAATAAAAAAAATTTGAGCCAGGGAAACGTAACGTTTCATGGTACTTCCACCTTATAAGGATTAGTTAACGATGAAGATAAGCTATTTTTGCCAAGTTGGCCAAAGCGCTCTAGCTACATTATTTTATAAAACTTTTTTTTCCCAGTGTAAAAGATGTCCGCTTCTAAAACAAACTGTTTTGCGCAGAACCTCATTCATAAATCAAATTTGCGAAATACGTGGAAACGAAATTTGCATAGATGAAAGTGAGTACACGCAAAGTGCTGTGACTATAAATGTGTTGTTGCTAAAGGCTTTACTTTTTTTGCTGTGCTTATGCTATCTTTCCAGCTAGTTTTCGTCGACTGCTGATCGTCCGAATTTGTGAGAGTGTTTGAGTCAGTTGCTGTGTTGTATACCAGCGTTTTCCAGTTATCCCCAAAAGGAGGAATGTTTAAAAGTTTAGTTCGCATTGTGAAGTTTGATGTGCGCGTCGAAGGATAACTTATCGTACTCTGGTCGCTACGAACCGAACCCGGAGACGTCGATTGTAATTTTACACTTGTGTTTCGCTTGTACACCCCCATAGTACCGTTGGCTTCCAAATCGTACATTTTTGCGTTATATCGGTCTGTTTTTCGTATGTGGACTAAATCTATTGTCCTGGAAGGGCCCTGCCAGTAGTCATCGTACACTATAAGTAACGTAGCTGCTGAGAGTGATGACGTCATTGTAATCCAGCCGATATATATTGCCAAGCCGAGGTCAAAGTTTGTTTGGAAAATCCCGGAAATTTGCATGTGGTCAAAGCATCTTGTTGAAATACATCCGGCAAATAGAGAGGCAGCTATTCCTGTTTGGAGACCTTGTAAATAGGTTGGGAGAAATCTTACTTAATGCATTTAGCGTGGGGATTTAATCCACATTAAAATTCGTAACCTAATATATTCGTTCTGCGATTTATTTTTTAGCATTTAGCTATTTTGAAGGTTACTGTTTTGCAAAACAATCCAAATTTTGAAAAAATGTAAAAACTTTGTGTAACACTTATATTATGAGTCCTTATAACAAATATATTCTAATCTAATATGTTATTTTTCTGCAAAAAATTTTACACAAATCTAATTCTACTATTTGAAGCATTTTCATAGACAGCGCATTACGCCGGGAACGCGCCCATCCACTTGATTATAAAAAATCGCCCCGTCCACATTTTTAACGATAAACAAAGAGTCAGAGCGCTTCTGAAAGAGTATGTTTCAATCTTTCTTGGGGCATTTGATGTGTAAACTACAATATAATATGTTTAAAATTTTCATATTATATCTGCTAATCTAAGGGTTTATTTATTGTCATAAATTTTATATTGTTAAAATATGTTTAAAGTATCTATACTCTACTAATTTTACTTTAAAGATATATGGAAATCTTTCTTCATACTCAAATTCAAAATACGCATGTTACGTTGTAGAATGCGTATGAGCTAAATCAAATAGGAAGTTGAGAAAAAACGTCATACAGAATGACCAAGAAAAACTGGGTTACTCGAGCCCGACATATCAAGGTTGTGGTTGGCATATCCGATATCTTGTATCCGGTCACTTACGGTCTCCGGATATCTATTTGCCACAACATATGGTCGGACAGGTTTTTGTGTATTGTATGTGTCCGCTGATCCCGCTCCGTTTCTACAAGATCCAAATAGTAAGCACGCGCAAGCAATGTTGCTTGTAACGGAACTTGCCAGAGCGATGTAGAATGCTCTCATCAGAGTGTAATTTTCATCCGCGGCCCATCGATGAGCGTGGATCAAAACGACAACAATTATGTTTCCTGCACCGAAGAGAATATGGAAAAATAGCGATGAATTACCTGTCGATTTACGTATTGTTAATATTACAATGAATATATGGCACTCCAGAAGTATGTGCAACAAGATAGCGGACACCGGGCCTTCGTATGTGTGCCAGGTTAGTCCATGATTTTATTTCAATTTTGCTTATTTTAGTTCAATTACGAGTTCGGGGACTAGTCAAGTGACACCCGTAATATTTGTACATAGAATTATGGCCTAACCCTAACCTGGTAAACATACTACGTTCCGGTATCTGCCATTTGGTACGCATACTACAGGAGTACCGAATTTATTGCATATATGATTTTCACATATGTACAAAAAGTTGTTACATGTCTTTTTTATTATAATTCCGTAACCTGCAGCCGTACAAATTAAGCCAGCATACTCCATGACGGCCCAGTACGTATTACCAGTGGTTTTGAACCTTTTTCGTGGGTCGTAAGTTCGTAACCCCAATGAAACATTCTAGAGCAGGTGTGGACACGGTTTTTGGATCAGAGGCCAAAATTTGATTTCAGTTTGGTTGTCCCAGCATCAGGCGGGCCAGATTAAATTATCTTGCGAGCCGGATTTGACCCGCGAGCCGTACTTTGCCCATGTATGTTCCAGAGGCTCGCTCGTTCAATCGATCAGATGTTCATTGGTTATGTATGTTATCATAAAATATATATGTCAATCAAAAAATGTGGAACGATAATTTGACGCAGAACAGAAGATCTTTCACGAAGCACTATGGTGAACGCACACTTATTATATGATTCTATTATATCTGTGGATTTGATTATATTTGAACAAAATAAATATAATAATAAAAACTCTCAGATTAGAATGGAAACTTGGTTGAAAACCACTAACGTAGGGAAGTCTATTCACACATCCATCTCATTAGTATTGTTGATAATTTGATTGATACTCCCGTAGTATGTGTACCAGGTTATGATTAGTCAATATTTTCATTTCCATTTTCCTTATTTGAGTTCTATTACGAGTTTGGGGACTGTCTGCGTTAGTCTAGTGAATATACCCCTTGTCCATAGGTTTCAGTCCCTCTACACAACTTGATGTAAAATAGGCAAACAAAATTAGTTACCTCCATATTGGTACACACACTTCTGGAGCGCCAAAATTGTAACGGTTTAAGAACAAAATTTGCATTATCATCAGCTTGTGGCTTGTTGCTCGCGGTCATAAGATTAAAAAACCAACATGAATTCTTGAGCGATGAAGGTACTAACTTGACAGTCTAAGCGGAAATTCACTGTCATATATCACCCTAATTGACTTATGAAAATGACAAGCCATTCGCCCGGAATAATCCACGTGTTCTGCGGTCAAAATTGAACCACGGAAACAAGGAACTTTTGAGAGAAAAAGGGGAATAAAGTAATTATAGTATTCTGTAAAGTTTTGATAAAATTGGATGAAACGTCTGTCATTGGCTGAGTTACACATCTAAATGATCTTAGTTGAAGGCCAATGAACTTGTAAGAATCAGTTCATGGAAACTGAATTTTCGAGAGAAAAAAAACGTAATGGAAATACTAGAATTTCTCTAAAATTTAATTTCTTCGAAATCGAATAAAAAAAGCGATGGCTCTCAATGGTCAAGTTACACATGTAATAAGTCTCAGTCAAGTTAATGGTCAATAAATTTCCGGGGTCAAAGATCAAAGAAGATAAATAATTACAATAGAAACATAATATTGACAAAGATTGCTTAACGTTTTCATATATTCTGGGTATAAGCCGATGTGGGATTATGAATGTTCGCACGAACCCGTTCTTGGAATGTCGCAATATTGAGCGAACCCGTTCTTGTATTTTTGTCTTAGTTGGGAATGATTTCTCAACCTGTTGTTGTGAGTTCCATGCAAAAGAGAATCCGTTCTTAAAACTGAGGTATTCATTTTCGGGCGCTCCAGTAGTGTGTGTACCAATATGGAGCTAACTAATTTTGTTCGCCTACTTTACATCAAGTTGTGTAAAGGGACTGAAACCTATGGGCAGGGGGTATATTCACTTGGCTAACACAGACAATCCCCAAATTTGTAATAGAACTAAAATAAGGAAAATCGAAATAAAATTATGGCCTAACCCGAACCTGGTAAACATACTACGGAGTGCTCATTTTCGTAATCTGATTGGAGGGCTGAAACGAATTTACCTTCAAATTTTAGAATATCAATCTTTTTTTTAATTACATTCAATTGAAGAACAATAATAACAGGTTGATGTTAAAAAGCCTTCTAGGAGCTTGATATCCTGGACATCGCGGGATTAGATTTATCATCAAATAATTATTTTGGGGATTTTTAACTCCTATTTTCCGGTCTCTATTCGCCGCACTTCACTTGACATGGACATGGAAACGAACGTGCCTATCTATGCCCATGGGATTGGCGGTTAACCGAGCATATCCACAGGATTAATTTTGAAAGATAAAATCAGCAACCCTACTATTAATGCGTATGAGAATAAAACTACTTGTTTTTACTATTTTATATTCGCGTTAATACCTCAGTAATTTGAGTTGCCGTCCAATTCTTACTAACTAGTTATTACTAGATTGCCTGTGTGTTTGTGACTTTTGCCTTCCGGAAGTTCCGCATTGGTAATGATATAATGCAGAATACATTTGGTGGAGCTCATTAACGAAACAGTTTATATTTTGCAATCACATTTTTAAGAAAAATTATTTTTATTTCGAACAGCAATAACTTAGAATTTTTTATCAACTAATTAATTCATAAAACTTTTCTAACTTCGACATGTGCATAAATTAGCTCGTTATATTGTCGAAGCTGAACCATCACAATAGGAGTTTATTGTATGTGAAAATTTTACTTAATTGGGCTCGCAAGAGACGTGCGGAACTTTTTTATTCCTGCAAAATAGAACGCAGGTGTACCGTTAAATATTAGTGAATTTCTCAATTTTTCAATAGCATCAGATCAATATCTGATATGAGTTGTTTTGTATTATAATGCATAATTCATTAGATTAGTTCAACGTAATCTTTCCCTACTTCATATTCCTGCATATTAAAAACAATTAAAATTTTACTAAGATTTTGAAGTAATTTATGGTCTTGACATAATAAGTCAGGAATGGTAGAATATTATAACGACAGCACTTCATAACGACGATACCTATAAGTATAATTTTAGCGCATTTAAACTGTTCGAAAAACCAATGTCTACTCTTTCCGAGTTGGTGAACCCCTCGCCTGGAAAGTTTTTAACAAGCCCCAAACATTAGGTATGCGGAATACCAGTTCTTTTTAGATATTCACAGCGTCCACTTATACCGATAATTTTTCATTAATGATATGCAGATGACCAGATGATGCAAATTCAGTCTCAATTTCCCTCAAGAGCGGGGCACAATGGGCTAGTTAGGGGTTGAACTATCAGACTTGAACATTTTGATGTCGCGAGTAAAAATACTTTTTAGTTTAACGCCAGCCCACCAGCGCACCTCAACCACAATGTGACTAAATTGGGTAAATGACACCGAACCAGTACGATTCCGGTAGATCCAATAAATGTTATACTTTATCTGCTTGTTTGAAGCCTTGCAAGAAAAATATTTGCTATTAATTGTGTTATCTTGTTTTAGGCAACCTTCATGAAATATCTCCCCTTTCTCGTTTTCAGAATAAATTTATCGTTTATGAAGTTGGCGATTAAGATTGATATTTCCTAACGATTTAGTCACTGATATGTTAACTTGAATAAAACTTTAAGTGAATCTAACGAGTTAGTGCTTCCTCCATTATTCGCGACATCTTGGCACAAGTTAGCTGAAATGTCCAAAAAAATTAAAATGTAATTTAAAAATCAATGTTACTAAAAATAGCCGTTTTCTTAGAATCTGAAAAATCGAATTTTTTTTTAGTTTGAGTGAAAATTGTCACAAATCATAAAATCGTTTGATTATTGGGCTATATGACGATACTCAATACTCGCAGCTTGCAAATAGTTTGCCCAAATATGATAACAATTATATTTTCAAAGTATGTGTACCAATATGAAGGTAACTAATTTTGTTCGCCTACTTTTTACAAGTTGTGTAAAGGGACTGAATCACTCTGCTAACCCAAACAATCCCCGAACTCGTAATAGATCTAAAAAAAAGAAAATCGAAATAAAATTATGGCCTAACCCTAACCTGGTACACATACTATGGGAGTACTTTTTCAAAATCGCAGGAGTGTGCGAGAACGATTCTCAAGTGTATGTAGCAGATATCTTGCACGCAAAAAGACATTAACAAAATAAAAAATTCTCAGTTTGTCAAACTTCGTTTCATATCCCTTAATTGAATTTTTACCACAAGTTCAACTTTTTCATATTGTTAAATCGCCGCAATAAAATTACTCATTTAGAATAAATAATAAGTTGATGCATATGTTGAACATGTATCTAACGTTACGATTAGAAATTAAAGCCCTCCGTCAAAGCAGTAGCAGTAAATATCGCTGTACATTCATCAAAAGGACGATGTCGCAAGACAGTATTCCAGAAGGTATTTCAATTGAAAAGATCACTGAACATGCCGTTCACAAAAATAGAAAACTCATTTGTCGAACGTGTTTTCCTTAAACATAACTTCGTAAAATGTATACCATCATTTTTCATATTGTTTAATTGTTTTTATAAAGATTACTAAAATGAATTATTGTTTTTAATAGAGACTTTGCACAGATATGTAACATCAATATTATAAGTCAGAGTTGAGAATCGAAACCCTCCATATCATTAATTTACCAATCAAATACCAGTTAGCAGTTTAATACATAGAATTGATTGAATACATAGATTCCATATACCGTGTATGTGAAGTTAAGATCAGAAGTCAAAGATCAGAGTCTCTATCTCATTCATTTAGCAATTAAAGGGTTTTAGGGCTCCAAAGCAGTTAGCGAAATAGCAAATCTATGCAAGTAAAGTGGGATTGCATAATATTCGACGGCTTTCTCGCTCATATACCAATATAATTTCATCATACGTTGCACTAGGGGTTGTTGCACGCATGACTTGCTTGTCAATTTGCTTTATGGATCATGTCACTAAATGACATATGGCGGACAAGATATTACACGTTAAAAACCGCAAGAAATCCACGTTCGCAAATCGTTTTTTAACCTTCAATATACGCAGAAAACATGCCGGTGAAATGAATAAAAGCGCCTAAAATGTTATCCGTTGGGAAAGCGCCTTAGGGTGGCCTGGTGAAATTATAAACCCTGAAATACTGGCGCAATGCCTGTTTACATAATATATGTACGGACAATTCTATTTGACCATTCTATTCTATTATTCTTGCTACGGCATCCTTGCAGTATACATACGGATCCACTTGCACAAAGGTATAGTGCGAGGAAAGGTAGTTTGTTGGACTCGCGAAACCCTAAGTGAGAGTTATGCACGGACTTGTGTAGATTGCTAAAAGACTTTGATGCCAATTGCAGTTAGTTTACTCAGATAATCTTTATTACTCTTTGCAAATTCGCGCACTGGCATGAAATTTTCATGGTAATACTTGCTTTCAATTTCGACATATAACTAAAATAATAACTAATGAAAAATATTAAACAAGACATGCACAGTTACACCACTACAACTAAAGGAATTAGTCGTTACATTTCATGCAAAATAGTTTCATATCAGGCCGGACTGCGGGACCTTGCCGCGGCCCAATCGCTACTGGTGTAGAAGCTAAACTACTTGTCGATTTTGTAAATGAAACGCAAAGTTTTGAATTTGCTGAAATTAATTTCTATGTGTACTAACTATGCTAGAATAACTAAGGAATACTGCATACCTGATACCAAGAACAGCAGTCCGCCGATCATTGCAGCTCTGGCTTTAGCCCTTGGGTTTGTATTCCCGATACTAGTGCATTTTATTCCCAGTATCGTTACGACAACAGCTATAAATCCCAATGTTATTGAGGTAATCATCAGAGCTCGGCATACTTGGAGAACTCCTGTGAAATAAGAAAAGTTTGTTGGAAATTACACGATTTTCGCTAATTTCCTAATTAAAGATTTGGTCAGCAACAATGAATTCTCAATTTTGCATTTTGGAATTTGAGTTAATACAAATATTCAGTGTTTAGTTTGCAAAACTGAATTCTGGTTTTTGGCGTGTTTCCATAACACTATATATTACATAATATCACCAATCATCATCTGAAATACTAGAATTTTCGACAGGATTTCCATTTTTTCGTATGTTAGGGTAAATGGCAGTGAATACCAAAAAGTCATACATTAATGTCCAAAATGTTTGGCCAAATTTTCAATAAGTTTCCCAGATCATTCAGTATGGCAATTGGCAAATTCTTGTTTTATTCAAAAATTCTATGAACCTCTTCCAATTTCAAAAATAACTAAATATTTGCAAGCCAAGATCAACTCGCTGGCAATTGTCAATGAAAAATTGATTTGAGCAAAACTACTAAATATAATTTTTGATCAGGAGTATATGGAATAAAAGTATCCATATTCGTCTGCAGATATCTACTATGATACAGAGGGAAAACCCCGGGTCGAAGGTCGAAAGGGTCCCAATTGAAACGTTCCAAGTCGTTATTTCAACCAATTGTATTGCTCTAATTACGAAGGTGATATGATTAATTGATTAAAATGAGAAATGTCAGTCGCCATGGATCCGCATTCTGTATTGGTAGTTTATCATTGTATGTTACCTGTTACGTATTGTGAGATACCATACTAATATTTTTCCTCACAATAGTTGAGAATTTAATAACAAGAAATGACTGGTAATTTTAACCCTTTCTCCTAAAAGTATTCCCTACGAGCGAAAGTAATAATGTCGGTGCGACAGAAGAAACAGCGTCCTGGGAATTATTTCTCATCAATTATTTTAGGATATTCAAAATCGTAGGCTGATTAGAGGAAGGTGCAATACAGGAATCAACACGAAAATTAAATCCCAGAATGCAAATTCGGATTTAGTTGGTTGAAATTAGATTTTGGAGATTTTGTTTTTTTTTATGACTGAATTTGTGGATTAGACTATATTTCTTGTTCTTTAGTCCGTGTAGTCAATCAGACTCATGAATGCATAGTACAGGGTGTCCATAAAATCCCTTACCAATTTCAATTTTGTTATGAAGTCAGTTCTCAATATTTCTTAACCAGGTTTGTTTGTTTTAAATCAGTAATTGCTCAAGTATTTTACTTCATTTATTACATCTTTGAGGGCCAAAACAATATATGATATCGATATATTCCTTTTGCAATTATAAAAAATTTTAGGACTTCATGGTCACCCTATGTATTGACTCGTTTTCAACGTCATTGGTCCGAATGCAATTTTTAGGATTTTTGACAAAAACTTCCCAATATCACATATCGCTATAATTTGCAAGCATATTTAAAACTTGAAGCATAAGATTTAAAGCTATTTCTCTTGATTGTATCCACTGTGAGGTATAAATATCACGTTTCGCTCAAACGCTTTTATCCGCGAATGCAACTTGGGAAATGGCTAAGATGTAGACTGACATAAACAAAAGCTCATTTTCATTTTCGGAGGGCTCAGTGAATATACATATTTGATCAAGACATTCTGCTTTTGACATGGGCAATTCAAGCAGTTATTCAATTTGTTAAATACTTTTGAATTCATTAGCTTGCCCTTAATTGTGAAATATGACCAATGAAACACCAATATAGCTTTATACAAAATCATATTTCTTTCCATAATATAGCTTTTCATTCCAAAGATGTTACTACCATTACATGAATGAACAACCAACGGTAGCCAGATATGTATACGTTATACTTAGCGATTGCTTGCATGACTACAACTAATTGGGGAAAGCAAATTTGAGAAAGAGTTTCAAATGTATTGCTAACGTCTAAGTAAATAACGATGTCTAGGGTGTCCATAAAATTTTAAAATTGCAAAGGGGAATTTATCGATATATTTTTTACCCTATATTTTTTGGCCCTCACAGATATATTAAGTGAAGTAAAAATACTTAAACAATTACTGATTAAAAAACAACAAACTGGTTAAGATATATTGAGAACTGACTTCATAACAAAATTAAAATTGTAAAGGGACTTCTAATAGGGCAAAACATCTTATTTGCGTTATTCGTGACTGTTGTATTAACAATTCGTTATAAAGGGTATGCCGAAATAACAGGTTAGCGCGAGCATATACATTTTACCATGTCTAGGAGCGTGCGAATTTTGGCGCGTACTTGTTACGTGTCATGTACCTTATGCAAACAGATTCAGTCCATGCGCACATTTCATACTTAGTGACCGTACAATTGAACCCGCGTACATTTGAACCCATATGTATATCTACGGGTTCAATCTATATGCGGGTGCTAAAACCCATGGGTTAGGGTTAGTATGGGTTCAAATATCCGCAAAACAAAAAAATTTTCAGAGATGCAATAGTATGCAGGTGCAATTGTCGTGGGTTCAAATGTACGGGAACCATCATACTTCATCCAAATATTGCCTTGTTCATAAATTCCTTGTTTTGGTTTTAAACAAAAAAAAATTGCATTAATCCTCATTCGTGTTTCAGAAATAAAACAAAAACGGGACTTGTAACTTGAAGAGTACTTTTTTGTAAGCCAGCCAAGAGATGAAACCTTGTTCTTTCATTTATCCTTTCCTCATTTAAGCTCGATATATGGATTTTTTAAAACCTGGACGATTGCATGGCATACTAAGGTCGTCGGTTGGATTGCAACCTACTACAGAAATAAAATAGGGAAATGGGAATTTGTTTGAGACTTCCGTCACCTGCCCTAAGCCTATAATGTCCATTGACTTCATTGCTCATCTCTTAGAAGTCAATTAGCTTTGTCCGGAATTTCCGGGAGAAATGGATTTTATAAAAAAAATTGTGTGTTTTGATCTATGTTTGAAGTCAACGCGGAGTTTTACTTAATAATTTGATTCCCGTTACCATCTTGAAATATTCCGAGTACAGGTACTGTATAAGGTAAGGTAGAGAGTACGGTTTCGTTTTGGCTTTTGATTCCATATATTTGAGCATCGCTCTCTTGTTTCAAGAAATCCCTATTTCGTACTCTTAAAATCCAGAAGTTTTGGGATATACAAAATCTATTAGTCATCACAATACACAAGGGTCAACGCTCCTGAGCAGTGTTTCATCGTGTTATCGATTCATGTATTCCCATGGCACCACCACAGCGACCACAGAAACAAATTGCTCATTGCATTCAAGTTTATGTTTATTGGTAAATAACAAATCTAAATTCTCATTATTTAATACTATCGATTATCGTCGCGTGGACATTTATAGAGAAAAGCCTTTAAGCCTAAATATATCCGTTTGTCTGAAATTATTATTGAACGGGTCAAGTAAATAAAACAATTAGTTGTTGTATTTTAAATTTCCGCCAGGGTTTCAGCAGTACAATCGAAGCTCCAGACGTGTGCTGTACCAATAATGGAGGTAACTAATTATGTTCGCCTATTTTACATCAAGTTGTGTAAAGAGACAGAAACCTATGGATAGGGGGTATATTCACTTGGCTAACACAAACAGTCTCCGAATTCGTAATAAAACTAAAATAAGGAAAATCGGAATAAAATTATGGCCTAACCCTAACCTGGTACACATACTACGGGAATACCATACGGTAAGGGGTTCCGCGACTTTTATGAATAGATTTATGATAAAACGTAAAATAATAAAACAATTAACTCGGACATCTATAATGTTTCATTTGGGGTTGCTTTCCACCAAATTGGTTGAAAAGCCCTGCTCTGGTGCGTTGGTCTATCGGTAGATGTGGTATACTTTTCATCATACATAGAATGTAAAATAAAAATGTCAGGGTGAGGTGTGACGTGAAAAAACAAAACTGGGTATCGCAAAGCGATTATGGCAGAATGATTTGACATATTTGCTTCAAGTAATTCATTAGATGAACAATCATTATACGTACTATGATAAAAAAATTCTTGACAAAACTAAGTTAATTTATTTATCTTGTATAAGGTAATGTTTTTTTTTACTGTGTGTATCTAGAATGCGGGCCTGAGGTCTCTTATTCTGTGAGCAAGATTTGAATCGTATTTCTAGGAAAATTCGGCGATAAAGCGAGATATTTGGCATAAAAAGTTCACATCGCAGTTTTCTTAATCTCGGGGGATTTGCATTCGTTCATTCTGAGTTTATATTGAGGTAAAGCAATCAAATCTTGCCAATTTCTATTCCGGGAATAACATCATTATAAATTATACAAGAAGTAAGAAAATTTGTCTCTTATGACGTACCATAGCACAACCTTGAACACAGCGTACAATAGCTATAGTTTAGACCAGTGGTGCTCCATCATTTTTAGTTTGCGGACCGATAAAATTTTAAAACTAATTTGCCGAGGGACCTTTAAAAGCAAACCAAAAAGTCAAAAACACAAATCGTAATTAAATGAATGTATAATTACGACAAAAGTATGCAATTCAAATGCAGACAATTCAATTTAATAAGAAATTTGAATCCATTCAGGGCTTGAAGTGGGCGAACCTCTAACCAAGTTTGATCCATCAACTGGAGTTGAAACTCACAAAATAAATGAGCAGCCCGTCAATACCTTATATTTTGCAATTGTGATGAAATATTGGAATATATTTGGCGGACCGGCAGTAAGGTTGACGCGGACCGGCGGTTGAGAACCAATGGTTTAGTTAGACCACGGGTAGGCAAGGTTTTTTAACCGAGGCCCACCTAGTCTGGCGAGCCATGTAAGTGTGACGTTAAAAGTTACATTTTATGAACAATATTTATAGTGTTACATAGCAAAGAGGAAAAACAATATGCTTCGTGCGAAAAAAAAATTTAAACGCACTTTCAATACATTTCTTGAGCTATTTTTAGCTAAAACATCAAAATTTGATTTCAGTTTGGTTGTGGCAGCATCAAGCGGGCCGTACTTTGCCCATGTCTAGTTTAAATCGCACTGACTGTCGTTTCAACGATTATTTAGGTAAGGCAGTATGTTGCTGAGAGGACCACACTCAAATTTATATATCTATTAGTATAGTAATAATATCATCATTAAAACTTTACTGAAGCTTTGCGCGTCATAATGTTATGGAATAGCTTTAGAATATGATAATGCAACTAAAACTAAACATAGTGTGTGGTTTGTACTTCATACCACAAATCCAGCATCCACAAACAATCGATAATTCCACTTGTCTGAGTTCGAGTATTGTTGAAATATTACAAACAGTACCGTACTATGTCGCACCGGCATCAATAGAAATCGAGCTATATAATACATGAGCCAGGGATGAGCGTCGCGAACGATCTCGATTTGTCGTGAACGACGGTAATATAAAAAAATTTTCAAATAAATACACAAAATTGCTCTTTTAATTCTTTGGCCATCCACAATGGCAAATCTACTCCATTTGGTAAGTTTAATATTCGTTAAAATATAATGCAACATTGGAAATGTTTTCTGTTTGGGATGCAGTTTACTGACATTTATTCTAATTTGCGATGTGTCGTATGTCTTATTTAAGCCACAAATTTAAGGTGTCCCAGAAGTGTATATGGACTAACTTTGTTCGCCTACTTTACATCAAGTTGTGTGTAAAGGGACTGAAACCTATGAGCAGGGGTATATTCACTTCTCTACAGTGACAGTCCCCAAACTCGTAATAGAACTAAAATAAGTAAAATCGGAATAAAATTATGGCCTAAACCTAACCTGGTACACACACTAAGGAAATACCCAATTCGATTATGACTGGGTTCTGTTTGGGATGCAGGTTACTGATGGCATTTATTCTAATTTACTAGGGATCCTAACTGTTCATATTTTCACTTAAAATTCAAATCTTCAATTTTCTGTAAGTTGACTGGCTAAAAAATGGTTTAGGTGCTTTTACCTAATAATATCCAACCCAAATATGTATATATACGCCAGTCTATCGATATTGACTGTACGGGCGCTTCACTAAAAGAATTACCCACGAGCGAGTGCTTCTGACATTGCTTTAAACTTCTATATCAAAACAAAATAATTTATTCGATTTGAAATCTGGCATGAAATTGAAATTGAAAAATTCAATGTGCATAATCTTTAGGATTGAGTGAAAATATTTGTTTGTTTTCCTCTACATAGATCAGATGAATTAAGTGAATAATAAGTTCAATTATTCCAGGACATGCATCCACGTTGCCAAATAAAATATAGCGTGACATTAAAATCTTGAAATTTTTTACAATTACAAAGAACAGATAACAATAAGCTACACACATAACAGATAGTAAAGCGAAAGTATGTTTTTTTTTCAAAAACACGTTGTGAATACGTGAATTGAACGTAAATATTCAAAATAGGGTCAAAATTGTCTAGTTCCCAACGTTTGAGAACCACTGCTCTAAAGATTAATGCCGAACGTTATATATATAAGTAAAAATGAACACTCACCAGGCAGCCCTATGAAGAACTTGCTGTAAACGGAACAGTGTGTTTGTCCTGTACTGAAGGCTCGACATTGCGCCCATAACCCGTCGTACCTGGAAAGAAGATTACTAGATGCATTGTAAAACTTCAAACTTCGACAATTAATAAATTTTAACTTGGAAATAAATTGTTTGAAATATGGTGACACACGCGTTCTGTGTATCGATTGCTTCTAGAAGCATCATAGGTCATACTTAGTTTCTTTTTTTATCTAACACTTACCTTATAGTGTCATCTATGAGAGTTTTTCCGTGACTGGTTTGTCTCCACTCTGGCGATGCGCACGTCACAATCATACCTATCCATGATAATACTCCAAGTACGAAACCCACAAGTTGGAGCGCAGTGGAAGCCATTTTAATATATCCGCAATCCCGTTGATTGGTGCCCTGGCACACCTCTTCTTGGTTTCTTCCTTATGATTAACTTGGCCTACCAACTCATGCACGTGAAATTGTAGCAAGCGCCAGTTCTCAAAGGTAAAGTTTTACTGAGAAATCTTTGGATTCCGATAAAAAGCGCATCAAGGCCAGTTGCTTCAATTTAAATCCAGACTAACTAAGGCAATTTAAACATAATATGGAGAAAGCTGTATAATATGATACAAAACAAAATAATTTTTAAGGATGTTAAGAATATTAAACGCCATTTTGTGACTGAAAAATGCCTTTGGGCTACGTTTTTGTCCATGCTATCGCAGGAGCTTTTTGTAAGATATATATTCTCAGAAAAAAATCACTAATAATAGGTATTAACGTGAAGGTTTACGTTGCTGGAAGTTCCGTTGCAATTTGAGAAGAAGCTAACTACTCCAGACCCGTCAGTGTGACGCATCGTGCTGAGCGTTAGAAATACACTGGGTTGGTTCGCAGGCTTCATTCCCGTTTGCCATATGATTAAGCCGTCTTATGGACTTTCCTCTCCCCCGGGATAAATAAGTAAAACCTATTCTAATTTTTATTCATTAAACTGTTATTTAATGCAATACCTATTCAACAGCCCAAATTGGCTAAGTTGCGTCATGCTAAAATTGGGTACATGACGTACATCATTCAATATTATGGAATTCAACATTTTTAAAACGAGTTTCTTTTGTGTCAAATTACTTATAACAACGCTTTTGTGTATTCCACTACGTATATATACTACATTAACACACAACTTTTGGAACATCAAAGATATAAAGTTAGTTGTTAGCTTCGTGGCACGTAACCCATTTGCTGTCTAGAACGAAAAATCAATCTGCAATAAATAATTTTGGTGAAATCCCACAATCCTGCAACAAAACAAGGTGCTACCGTGGTGTTCGTACCAAGATGGCACACAACCTGAACATAGTATGGGTATCAGGTTACGGATAGCAGGTTGTGCGCCATCTTGGTCCAAAACAATGTATATTCAAATTAGACCCTTTCACTATTTATACTTACATGCGGGGATTCGCGGATATCACGACATTTCAAGAAAGGGTTCGCGTGATTGCTACTACTAACTACTAAAGCCCACAGTCTATCCAAAATAGCAATGTTACATTCTATTTATCTGATACAGGAAATACTGAGAAACTTTTTCGGCAGCGCGTCGACTACGTTCAACAATCGACGAACTGGTACAAAATCTCTTCAATAAAACCAGACAAATTGCACTTCTCAAGTTGTGTACAAATAACGGTACTCCCGTAGTATAAGTACCAACACAAATACGGATTATGGTTAGGTTATAATTGTATTCCGATTATCCTTATTTTAGTTTTGTTACAAGTTCGGGGACTGTCTGTGTTAGCCAAGTGAATATACCCTCTGTCCCTAGGTTTCAGTCCATTTAGACTAGAGTTTACACAACTTGATGTAAAGTAGGCAAACAAAATTAGTTACCTCCATATTGGTACACACACTTCTGGAGGTTCCATTACATTTGAACCCACGTACATTTGAACCCATGACATTTACACCTGTATGCTATTGCACCTATGGAATTTTTTTTGTTTCACGGATAGTTAAACCCATACTAACCCTAACCCATGTGTTTTAGCACCCGCATATAGATTGAACCCGTGGATATACGCATGGGTTCAAATGTACATGGGTTCAAATGGACGGTCACCACTTCTGGAGCGCCCAAATAGCTACTGTACCTCAGTCCATTCAAAATAGTATGTTATAAAAACGCCCAAAACGTTTTCAACAACGCGCCCACTGCACTCTCAACTTCAATTGACAAGCACACGACGAAAATGAAGCCTACCTGAACAAATTGAGCTATATTCTATTTACTTGACATACCGAAACTTTGCGCAACGTTTTCGGCAATGCGTTAATTAGTTCCAACAATCAACGAACTTTTATTTGATACAAAACCTCATCAATAAAACCAGGCAAATTGCACTTACTACTATATAGCGTAATTTATCTAAAATACTGATGTTGTAAAAAACAGGTCATCGCAGACTAATTACCTATTCGAATACCGTAAAAGTTTACGTTGCTTGAAGTTCTTGGCAATTTGAGGAAGAAACTTACTACCGTAGGCTCGGCGGTGTGGCGCATCGTGATAAACGTTAGAAACACACTGGTAATTTGCACTTATCAAGCTGTGTACAAATAACTACTATAGTGCAGTTTATCCAAAATAGTAAAGTTATAAATACCTCCGAAACGTTTCCGACAACGCGCCCACTGCACTCTCAACTTCAATCGACAAACACACAACGAAAATAAAGCCTACCTGAACGAATTGAGCGATATTTTATTGGCGACATATGCTCCCCTGTTCTATTGATTGGGTTAGGCTGTGTCGCGTGTCCTAAAGTCCATTTATAAAATTGCTTAAACCACTTATCGATTTCAAATAATAACATTGAGCCGAGATACCAATTTTTTAAATTATCTATTTCTCACTCGGTCGCGTTTTAACCTATTTAAGCAAAAGATCATTTTCATAAATAAGTTTATTCACTTTCGTTAATTTGTTTAATCAATAAATGAATCCATAAGAAATTAGTTTATGAATGAATTAGCTAATTCAATTTAATTCAACTACCTTCTGATTAATTCAACTTTCCTGTCGTCGAAAACTTTTCATATCTGAAATATCTACATATGGTTTAAGCGAATATATAAACATTTTTACGATAATTATATTTCACAGTCACTCCGGACAGGTCTAAGTGCAAGCATACACTTAAATATGCATGGATACTACATTTCCAATACGCAGGAATTTGTCCGATTTCCCCTTGTGACTGACTGACTAGCTAGTGCAGTGGTTCTCAAACTTTTTCGTTTGTGGCCCATTTTCGTCCACTAACATTTTCATGCTGGGGAAAAACGTCAAGAAAAACATAGAATTCTTTATGCGAAAATAGACACTTTCACCTCAATAATAATTAGATTGAAATTACCACTCTGTAACAAAAAAGCATCATCCATTGCTACTACCATCAAATAAAACTAACTCATCAACAACTCTAGCAATTTTTGTTAGGTGTGTGGCCCGCCTGAAAATGTTCCTGTGGCCCAGTTGTGGGCCATGGCCCATTGGTTGAAAACCAGTGGACTATAGTGCCTGAACCCAAGATATGCAACCTGGTGCTAGCTCGGTTTATCCAATTCGCTAAACACGAGGTAGAATGACTTCACAAACCTTTCGACATTGAAGATTATAATTAGACGAACAACTCGAATACGTTCCACATTACTACTTAATATATTTCGAATCTATTCCCCCCATACAGGAAGAATTTGGACCAAATGAAATGCATTATAATACGTTTGCGCTTGCTATTTCTGTCCAAAACTCATCGACTTTCCATGACGGTATTCATGGTTTAGGATAAACCTTGTTTTATTGCTTAACTTCAAAATCGGAATAAAATATTTGATTTGGATTTTCTCCCTTTTCCATTACAAGCACAATTCATAAACCTGTGAGAATGTTACCACAGCAGGACTGCTGATTTGAAAAATAGTACAGCGCTCTTCAGATTGTACAAGATTAAATATCGATCAACAGGAGAACTTGAAACAAACAAAAATTCGATACACTATCAGGGGAGAGTTACTTAGGCAACTATGGGACGCCAAACGGACTTTTAACTTTAGTCAACAGGTATACATATGATTTGAATTATTCGCCAAAAATCTTTTGCCCAACAGAACCACTTCACAAGCTAACTTTGACCATTTGCCAAAAGTTTCATATTTTTCCCAACTCAGAACATATATATATGTCATAAAATAATTTTTTAATGGAGTGTTTTATTACATTCGTTCCGAACGAGTGCCCAGAAAAACAGCTATCAACTAACACAACCGTTTCCAATCTTTTTCGATACATTTCTCTCATTGCCTATCTTGAAACTCTTAATTTATCGCTGGTAATACACGTAACATGCACTCAGGCTTTTAAACAGTGCAAAAAGCTATATTAAGCGCATAAATATACAGAATATTGATAAGAAGGTTTAGAAACCCCGCACTCGCAATTAATGATTCAAATGGTTTGGTCTCATATGAGTTGCCTAAAGTAATGGCCTTCTCTCTAAAACCGATACAACTTTCACAGACGGTGTGACGATTTAAATTTAAAAGTCGACTTTTCAATCACTATTGTTTACTGCAAACATATCGAATATACAAATCTTATTCTCCTAATGTGTATATAGACGTGCATATTACAATTTTGAAACTTCCATTTTTATGAATCTAAAAGCCCTCCGTCCATTTTATATAAGTACACCTGGGCGACCAAGTTACAATTCCATGAGCTTGAATTTTTGGATCTTCCGTACAAAGCCCCACCACTGATGCGAAAAATGTGAGATTTGAGTGAAACACCTCCGCTGTGTTTTAAAATAACAAATTAGAAGTTATTCAGTTAGGGTTGGGGTTCGGAAAGATGTGAAAATTTAAACTTCCAGCGCAATCTACATTCTTAACCCTAAAACTAACTGGACAACTAATAGTTTTTTATTTTATTTTGAGAGGCGGCGGGGATGTTTTTTTGGTGGAAGCTTTTGTACAAAAGATCCACATTTTGTTGTTTTCAATTCGAAACTTTTCCGCCCATTCAAGCACAGTATTCACTTACCCATAGGTGTAAGTCTGTTAAGAGCTTTAAAAGCAGTGAGGAAGGGATTCAGAACGTTCACACGAATCCGTTCCTAGAATTGCCAGGAAAGGGAGATGCATAAAATTTTTGGAATGAGGGAACTTGTTTTAGTGAGTTCGACACAGAAGAGAAATTGTTCATAAAATTTGAAACCCCATTACTGCATATAAGTATAAATAGTGAAAGGGCCTAATCTGAATATACACGGGTGATCGCTGAAAAAGCAGAAAATTTGAAATTCAGACGAGATCACGAATAAAATGCGTGCTTGCTCATTTCTTTTCGATACTTTATTTTTGTCGAGTTTTAGGTTGATACCTTTTAGGTTCTATTTGATTTCTGTAATATTCTGTGTAATATAACATATACCTTTAAAAAACTTTGTAAAAGTTATTCATTGTAAAATAAAAAGCTGTTTGACAAATTTTCTGTTTTTCTAACGACCACCTTGTATATTGTTTTGTTACTGGATTGTGGGGTTGC